GTAACTAACATGACCCCATTTTGAAATAGCTTTACATACGACATACAATTCTCATTTTTAAGCTCTTAAACCGAGTGCAAGAAACACATACAGCATTTTAAATGTTCTGATGATGCAGTACCATGCAATCTAAACTGACCTAAAATGTCCAACAATCTGTATCATATATTTTATACATGATTATTAAATGAGTTCTGACTCATGGCTGGTTGACTACAGTGTAAGGGAAAGCTAAATTTATCAGGCACAGTTTCAAAGGCGGGCCTACCAAGGGAATCAGTTAATATATTGCATGTCTTGCCACCCAGGCAGTGTATGAGTTTAATTGAGGCCAAATGTCAGAGCTGTCAGTGAAAGTTTATGTTTTACACTAACCAAAAAACTAGAAATACATGGAATGTACAAAATAATGGAAACACCACATGAAACATTTGTGTTCTTTGGCCATTTCATGTGATACATTTACCATTTAGTTGAACTTTGAGGGTTTATAGTTTTAGAATGTAGTCCATCTACACAATTTATTAGCCTCCCTCTACCCTGTCCATTGATCACCACTGACCAGATATTATTTGGGACGACTATTCTCAGTACAGCAGTGATACTGACATGCATTGTAAAAAGAAATCTGTGAAAAAACAGAAAACGTACAGGCAAAAAAGACTGGTACATTTTGTGTAGATTTAACACACAATTCTGTCAGTCATTTACTGGAAAATTCTGTTAAATTACATATTCTGTGTATATACATTGACAATTTGTTCACTTCATATAATGAACATTGTATAATTCTACAGTTTTATCTGTAAAATATCATATATGTTCAAATCAATTCAAGAAAAAATCTTCTGTTTCCTCCACTAGAACCCAACCAACATATCAGTTGGTTGATAATATTGCCATTATTGACAACCCACACATTTAGTGGCATCACCAGCAATACTGTTGATAATTTACTTAATTTTTTTAATAGACAAAAATTACATCCCAGTTGATTTTTCTAAAATAAATGACTAAAAAGTCAAGTTTCCATTGTTTTTTGTTATATATGCACCTTGATCATGATACACTTGAAATGTACCTATAATATTCATACACAAGGCTTATTTTTCAGTAACTACATGGACTACAGTGCTAAGTGAATGAGCTCATCTTATGTGTAATAAAGGTTTGAGTTTGAACCTTCCAATTACAGAGTTAAACAAATTATGAGACTGCGTTAATATTCATGCTCAACACCTTGAAACTTATGCTTAGCCAGATTTTTACAAAGGCCATCACTCAGCTACAAACCATTTTTTGATTAAATATATTGCTGGAATCATGAATATTCCAATATTGTAACACACAAAAACAACCTGTTTGCCGCAGCAGCCTTAAAGAGTAGGCTTCATACTGTGCATGCTGTTTGCTTACTCAGTGCAGAAGCTTTTTACACACTGTACACTGCCCCCCCCCCCGCACCCTCCTTTTCCCTTCTGGACTATCTCTCTCTCTCAGCTCTGGCCTTTCCTGGCCTCAGCACAAGGACAGCATTCAGGGTGTTTGCCGCTGATGTTTGTCAATGGGTCTGTGAGCTGGGCTTCCAGTCTCTCTGAGCCAGCAGAGAGGAAACTGTCTATAGGATAAACAGGCCTGAAGAGGCCTGCTGTGTTTGGAAGGGAGAGACACACTGTGGCACTGATCCTGCCTGTTGCAGGGCAGTCCAGTCAAAGCCTGTACTGTTAACGTACAGGCCTCCATGCACTTTAAACTAACAAACCATATGTTGGTTAGAGCTTTTTCGAGCAGTGGAAATGCTGGATGTTATTCTCCTGTTGATGCCACTACTTGCATAAGAAGGGCTTTTATGGCCTATGTTAGGTCTCAGAATCAAACAACCTGCCAAAAGGACTCTCTTCAAATGAAGGCTGTTCACTTAAAATGCTACTGCTGTGAAAAGAGCATGATCCAAACTGCATCCAAATGAGCAGTTTCAAAACATAATTTCCAGTAAAGTTCTTTAAGTTGTTAAAAGAGTCTATTGCATTTTTGTACTCATTCCTGTATGAGGTAAACTGGAAGTATCAGCATGCCTCTGTGTAGACATATCACCAGAAATAGGAAGAATATTTTAGACAACAGAATTTCATCTCCTGTCATGACAGCCTTTGACATGTTTTTATGTCCTGTTGCGTGCCCCACAATCTCAACCTGGCACAGATGCAGGCTCTTCTGGTTACTGGATTGAGCTGAAGTAAAAAGAACTCTCAATTTTTAGAATAACATCCTGGTTCAGTCAGTGCGATGACATTTTTAGATTCCAAGGACAGTTAACTTCCCTTCTTCCTGGTTACCATTGTGCTCGAGTGATAGCAAATCTCTCAAGTGAAGGCTGAAGCACCCCTGGGTTCATATATAAGCCCCTCACAATGGCAGAGGAAATGGTATTTTTATTGCATACATGCAAGTGTATCTAAGGTTTGTTGACTTCTGCTGTTTAGTTTGCTGTAGAATTAAGTGGTATCTGGGCTGCAAACAACAGCAAATGAGTAAATGAAGAAAAAAGGGCCCCAATCTAACAAGAACAAGAAAGTTTTGTCAGCCAAAGATGAGGTCAGTTGTTGCTGACTTCCAGCTACAGTGTGTAGTTTGAATGTGAATTGAATTGAAACAAAGAGAATTCCATTCAATGAATTTGACATGCATTGATATATTACTTCGCCCTGTTTGGTCACTTGATCATGACATTTTACACTTGTTAAAATGCATCGACTTCATCAACTTATTAAATGAACTGACAATGACACATAAAATAGGGTTTGACCAATTTTCCATAAAGCATGGTGCATATTATCACCCTCCTTCAGTCACTTAAACAAACCAATTGAATAAATGCATGTTAATCTGAGAGTCTATGTTAAAGCAGGGGTTCTTGATCCCAGACCTGGGGACATCAAGCTCTTCATCTTTCTGTTGCTTCTCAAATATACCTAATTAGCTAATTAGCAAACCTTTCTTAAGCTGAATCAGGTGCCATATAACAAGAAAACACAAAAATATTCAGTGCATGGGATTGCCACGATTAAGATGAAATGCACGGTGTTCTTTGAGCTTAGAACTCCTTTAACCATCAGTAGACATCCATATACTATGTCACACACCCAGTAAGGAAGGATATCAGCTAAACAGGAAATGTCAGAAGAAAGGACAGCAATTTCTACAAATCCTCAGAAGCTATTTATAATATATATATATATATATATATATATATATATCAGGGATTCTACAATGACCGTTGGCTCTGTGATTATGTTTTTAACCTCAGTGTGAGTTACTAAATTGCCAGTGAGTTCATCATTGGACAGTGAGGGCATAAAAATATTACGCAATGCGCCCACACTGATTGTTAGCAGTTTACTCTGGCTTTGTCTCATATGCTCTTCATTACATATACATTTAATGACATCCAAAAGTCATTCATGGATGTGACAATGCCTAAGATTTATAGTAGGCAATTTACATCTACAATCTGCAATCAATTACTCTTAATTGCTGTTGTTTATAGTAAATCCTTTGAGGGAAAGAATCTTGATTTCATTAAAACATTTCAGGATCCTTCATTTACTCAACAGTATTATTGCATAACAACAGGGGTGGGTAAGTAAGGGGTAAGTAATATATATATATATATATATATATATATATATATATATATATATACTGTAGTCACTACACAATTACTATACAGAGAGGTGACAGAATAAGCAAATGTTCCTCAGGTGAGAACATCACTGCTGGATGTGTCAGCAGGAACAGTTTGTTATAGAGGCGTTGCAATGCATAAACCTCTTGTTACAAAGACATGCACATTTGAGAGTTTAGTGGTGCAGAAACCATTAGCAATATTCTACAGAGATGTGGAAAAATCATTATGGACAGATGAGTCATTCTTCACCATATTCTCCACAAGTGGGCGAGTGCATGTGTGGTGAACACTGAGACAACAGTACAGGCCTGAGGGGGTCTGGTGGCTCCTTTATGCTATAAGGGCATTTTAATTTGTGTCCACTTCTATTCTTCGAGGGAAGGGTCCCTGCAAATCAATGCAAAGTTATTTTGACTGATCACCTTTATCCTATGATGAAACATTTCTGATGGCTGTGATCTCAACCAAGATGACACTGAAGAGGTCACTGGAAGGGTCACTGAATGGCTCGATGAGCATGGAAATTCAAAGTGACCAAATCTCAACTTGAAAGACTCAACTTGGAACACTACTGACATGATCAACAGCTTTCCACCACCATCAAAACACCATCCCTCCAGCACAGTTCCAGAGACTTGAAGAATTTATGATAATTTTAGGCTCATGAAAAGTGTTCTGGCAGCTCATGGTGACCTCCATACTGAGAAACTTTATGTTTGTCACCTGTCTGTATAAACCTGGCTGCAAGAGTGTTGTGAGTTATTTGACCAGGCCGTGATGAACTACTACCCCCATGTGGTCACAAATGTTTACGCTACTACTTTTCAGTAAAAGTGGGTGAGAGGTGGAGAGAAGTGGTGTGTTAAAGCAGGACACTAAACCGTAGAGGGCAGGCGGGGCTCGAGGACCAGGTTTAGGAAGCACTAAAAACGCACCTACGTCATATAAAACAGGCTGACAGACAAATAAAACAACAAAAATACAAAATATGTATAAACCACCCCGTATATAAAGAAATTTAATAAAGTTTAGTTGGACATGAAAAAACTCAGAAGAACATCTATAAAAATTATAACCCATAAAATGTTATTTAATGGCCAATAATGCACACTCGAATGCCATCGCTGTCCATATCATAATCTACAGGATTTTTTAATCAGTTACAGCCTATTTAGATACAGTAAATGTTAAAATTGGACTGTAGATCATTCAAAAATCTAGAGTCTAAACACCGTATGGACCTACCTTAACTACATGTTTTCGGTCGGTATTTCTTCAGTAGTAGTCTATGACTTTTACTCTGAAAATCTCGACAGGAAGTTCACAGCCTGGGAAGTCCGACAGGATGCGCGGATCCCTCTGAGGGATTTTCCTTCATTTAATATCCTCTCCGATTGAACTGACACAAAAAAATAACATATCTGAAATAACACAGCGCCTGCCATGTCTGAGACGTACGGTACGGAAGCTTATTTTGTGCATTAGTCTGTTGTCACGGTTCTCGAAGCCAGGCTGTGTAGATTTAGCAGGTGCTCAGTTCTCATCCGTCGCTGTAAGCGCTTGCAGGCTAATCGCTGAGATGTACTGTTAGCACCCAGGGCCGGAGGGAGGAGACGCATACAAACACAGGCTGTTTGCTAGATGGATGGATGCGGAGTTTATCCAGCAGGAACCTCGAGCTTGGGATGTCAATGTTAGGACAGGACAGGAACGACCTGTTTATCCTGTTTATCGCTGGTTTGATATAAGAAGATTGTCTGTTAGTACCGTAGTTACATAGAGCGCAGCGAAGCCTGGATCAGCTGTGTTTGCTCAGATAACTAGCTCAATTTATCCAAGACTACTGATAACACTACTCTGTTCTGTGCCATTCCACAATGCTATATTCAACTTACTAGAAAAATACGCTGACAATGTGTGCCTGACTTAAGCCAGGTCTAGCCATATTCTACAGGATAGTGTACTTTTTTGGGTTAATAAATATATATAAAATGTCAAATGGCTTGTATATACTATATTACATAGTCTGTGTATTGTCTATTGTACTACAAAAACACTACTATATTTGTTAAATAGGGTAAGTTACTGTATTATCTTAGAATACTATAGTATACTATGCTTTACTAGAGCAAACGCTGCATTAAACACTGTAGTTGGTATAATAACTGCTCAGTTTGGGATTCTTGTGGCTGTTTAAACTATTAATAATCTCAGTAGTTTCACTTGTTGGTTAAGTCACTTGTGTTAAAGCAATTAAAAAAAGGGAAAAAGCTGAACTAAGCAGTGTGGTGGTCTTTCAGGGCTAGTTTTCCAGACACAGGTTAAAGTCCCAGGGAACACAATGCAAAATATTAAAAAATGTATGTGTGATACTAATGATGAGTGTTGTACATCCAGCAAAGTTTGCATGAAAAAACTCAACATTTCTACTGCTTAAAAAAAAAACACTGATCAGAACCGTCTGAGCATGGTCCTCATATTCTCATTACCACGCATGATTGCCATCCCTCAGTCCAACAGCTCCAGCCTGCTACACCACTGAAGCAGAAATAAACAATTCAGCGCAAACAGTAAAAAAAGACTGAGGCTTTAAAACTTTAAAACAGGCTTTACATTTGCAGGTGGTGTTGTAGACCAGTGTTTCCCAGCCCTGCTCTGTACATTTTGGTGTTTTTCAATGCTCCCAACAAACCTGATTCAACGAACTGGCTAATTAACAACGCTGTACTGAGTTGAAGTGTGGTGGGAGTCTTAAAGCAGGGAAAGCACTAAAATGTGCAGGGCAGGACACTCCCAGGACCAGGGTTGGGGAAACACTATTGTAGACTACCCTGTTGTGTTCATGGCTCACAAACACATTATCCAAATGTGGCTAGTGAATGAATGAACGGATAGACGAATGTAAAAATGACCACACGATAGGCGGACAGACAGATGAGCTGGCTAAATAGCACAATTATGCTTGCTAGGCTAGCTTTGATTACCATTAGCTTTCTCATATTAAGTTTCTCTGGCTGAAGAGGTCATGAGGGAACACATTAGCTTTGTGTTTGGTGAAGGTCCTGCTTAAGTAAGCTCAAGATTAGAACTGCCCAGTTTCCATGGAAAGAGGAGAATGTTTGCAAAATACACCAGCCACTTATTGGGAATTGAAAAGTTATTCACAGGACATATATTGCACATGTAAATTGTGTATAATGTGTGCCTACAAAAACAAAATTAATCTACCCAAGAACCCAAGTTTCCCTTGGGGGTTTAAGACTAACCATTGAGCAAGCGATATGTTTATATTAATGAGATGTTCTTGTTTTGTTTTCAGATTTCCTGTTCAAGTTCCTAGTGATTGGGAATGCAGGAACTGGAAAATCATGTCTCCTTCACCAGTTCATAGAGAAGAAATGTATGTCTATCTAAAGTATATCTAAAATAGAAAAAAACATAATCATCACACTTGTTTACATGCATGCCATAAGACAGTATTCTTTCCTGTACCTGCAGTTAAAGATGACTCAAACCATACGATTGGTGTCGAGTTTGGCTCAAAGATCATCAATGTGGTCAACAAGTTTGTCAAACTCCAAATTTGGGACACAGCAGGACAGGAACGATTCAGGTGTGTTCAAAGAGGTTTGGGTGGAAGACAAACTAGGCCACTCAGCAATATGCAGCATTGCATAGGACCACTTTTTCCACCATAGACTTGTACTTTGACATAACTTACTTTGATAAAATGCGTTGGGTCATTGTTGCTCAAGGTTTTAAAGAAGTTTGAAAAAAAGGTTATTTGCGTTTTAGTACAGTTAAGAACATGTAAGGTTGTAACATGAATGTATCATTCAGCTGTTGGTTTTGACTAGGAGAGTGAGGCTCTGGTATTCATTCAGTTTAAGATTAAGCTGCAGAATGCTTGATTGATCACTGCTATGCTCATGTTGATGCATAAAGGGGCACTAGGAAAGTGCCATTATCTTAAACCAGGCTTAACATTTATGGTGTGGTGCACGTGAAACACTTTAAAGAGCGGAATTCAAGAACAGCAGAAGAAAATAGCTTACTGTCAAAAAGTACAGCTGCACAATATATTATTGGTAATCATTGGCTTTTGCAATACTGATGTTGCAAAATGCTGCAGTATGCAAACAAGCCTTTTAATAAATCACCCTTTTTAAATTGTGTGCAGTTAGCTTCCTGAATATCATTAGATACTCAACATGAGTTTCTGTGATGCGAATCTAAAATTAGCACACGACCGTTAAGACAAATCAGAACTCCTTTGGAACAATATGCTCTAGTCAGGGTAAACAAAAATATAACTCTTTGGCAATAATTCAGCCTGTCACATTTGGTGAAAGAACAGATGCGCATATGATCCCATGAACACCATAACCAATATCCTGACTTGAATCCCTCTGAAATTTTATTGAGGATTTTGAAATTTGAAATTTCAGGCCCATCAGGGGGATGCTCATAACCTTGGGGAATTGAAGACTGTTTGCTGAAAGGAATGAGCAAAAATTGAACCACAGTGCTGTGAAAAGCTATTTACTTCTTACAGTAGATCTCTCAAAGCTGTAACTGCCAACAACAGCTTAACAGCAAAGCACTGATGTTATTAGTTGGTGATGTGAATATTTTTTTCCTTTATAAATTTCTCTTTTTTTGACTATGCTTGTGAATACATTTTTTTTTTTGGTTTATAATTAGAAGTACAAAAGCAAAAGACATTAATCAATCTGAAGGGGATTATGTGCACTGGAAGTATATAGAATAACTAAAACAAAAGTGTTTGAATACTTGTTTGCCCTCACTGTAAAAAAAAGGCCAGTTTTTAACCTTGTTAAAAATTAAAATGTTGCAAGGTACAAGGCACATCTTAATTACAATAAAATGCTAATATGGTGTTTGTCCATATCGCAGCCTTAATGAATTCTAACATTAAATATATGAGTTGCATTATTTTCTAAATGTTATGAACAACAACGCTGTGTTTCCAAATAACCAATGCAGTGAGTATTTCTGTCCTGTAATTAATTCTTTTGTCTCATCAGATCTGTAACAAGAAGCTATTATAGAGGTGCAGCAGGAGCTCTACTTGTGTATGACATTACCAGGTATGTTATCAGAGTACAGTAGTGTTCTTGTGGGAGTTAGATTGCACTCCACAACTCTGCTATAATAAGTTTTTATTGCAGTAGGTTAATCTATATGTCTTTATCAGCCGGGAGACGTACAATGCTCTGACCAACTGGCTGACAGATGCCAGGATGTTGGCCAGCCAGAACATTGTCATAATATTGTGCGGCAATAAGAAGGACCTGGACGCTGATCGTGAGGTCACTTTTCTGGAGGCATCCCGCTTCGCTCAAGAGAATGGTACGTCTGTCTTGCAAGAAACGTGCATGTCCTCAGTTTCCAGTACAGTGAGACAGCTTACTAAATCCATGTGTTTGCTGTGAGAGAGAACACTGGCTGCTGTAAAATACAGTTCTCATTATATTGTCTTAATATTAATACTTAAAATGTAATTATTGTTATTAATGTTTATTAGAATGAAGTTTTTGTGTATTTTGTGTTGCTGCTATGATAATCATATACCTAAAATATTTTAAACTTTAAAACCCGCTTTTACTGTTTTAAAAGACAGGTGACATTTAAGGTTTGTACTGTGATTGTACCACAAGAGGCCACTGTAGACTTGAAATTAGACACAACTTCACTGAGTGGAACATTGCCAAAGATTCTCTTCTGGTCCATATGCAAGTTGAGCCAAGTGACATACAAAAGCAACACATATTAGTTCATATGTATATATGCTGCTAGTGAATATACAGTTAGTAAGTAACTTGAATACATCTGTTAATACATTTAATCACTAACTGTATGTGTGTGCTAATGTACCTGAATGTGCTAATGTATTAGTCAGTAAGGCTAGTAGTGGCCTAAACTGTGTTTAATTTATAAAATGTTCTTGAACATAAGTCTGCTTGCATTTCAGAACTCATGTTTCTGGAGACCAGTGCTTTAACAGGGGAGAATGTGGAGGAGGCCTTTGTTCAGTGTGCCCGCAAAATTCTCAACAAAATAGAATCAGGTACTACTGCAGAGTTTAATCTGTTGCAGAATGCACTGTGTTGTGATGTAGCGTGTTGTGAAGGGTTTTGGTTGTGTTGGATAGGTGAGCTGGATCCGGAGCGGATGGGTTCAGGGATTCAGTATGGTGATGCAGCACTGCGGCAGCTACGCTCCCCAAGACGAGCTCAGGCCGAGAGTGTGCAGGAGTGTGGCTGTTAGCGCCAGCGCCGCTAGAGCCAAACAGCCAGGTGAGAGAAGACTTTTTACTTTTGATTACTTGCAGAATTTCAGAAAGAAAGGGTGTAAATCTCTGGCCTCATGATGACCAAATTCATTCACAGTTCTAAGTAAACGATTCATTGCATGATGAAACCTGAAATTTCACCTCTATTCCAATCAGTTTGAGTATTTTGCTATGGTTTAGTATACTTTGCTAATTATTTTTCAAAATACATTAAGTACATAAATGTGACTGCAGGAGCTACACGATATGGCCAAAAGTTTGAGGACACCTTATTATCAGACTTTAAAGAGCTTGTTGGACATGTGGAGTTGGCCCACTCTGTGTGGCTATAACAGCCTCCATTCTACTGGAAAGGATTTCCACAAGATTCTGGGTTGTGTCTGTAGACATTTGTGCCCATTCAGTCAAAAGAGTGTTTGTGAGGTCAGGCACTAATGTTGGACACGAAGACTTGGCTCTCAGTTGTTGTCCCAAGTTATCCCAAAGGTGTTCAGTGACCAAACTTGTCAAACTAAGGCTGCGTCCTGAACCATATACTGCCATACTAATTAGTATATCAAAATTAGTACGTCACCATTAAAAGCTCATTAATTAGTTTAGGACATATAGTATAGTAGTATGCGGTTTTGGCCACAGCTAATGTCTTTATGGACCTATCTTTGTGTCCAGTCATGCTGGAACAGGAAACGACCTTCCCCACACTGTTGCCAAAGTTGGAAACACATAATTATCTAAAAAAATCTTTGTATGCTATAACATTAAAATTACCCTTCACTGGAACTAAGGACCCAAACCCTGAAAAACATCCCCATACCATTATTCCTCCCCCTACCAAACTTTACTGTTGGCACTGTGCATTCTGTGGATAGCGTTTTACTGGCATCCGTCAAAGCCAGATTCCTCCATCAGACTGCCAGATAGTGAAGCGTGATTCATCACTCCAGAGAACCCGTTTGCACAGCTCAAGAGTCCAGTGGCAGCATGCTTTACACCACTCCAGCTGACTCTTGACATTCTGCATTATAATCTTGTGTGCAGCTGTTCGGCCATGAAAACCCATTTCATGTTGCTCCTAATGCAAAGTTCTTGTGCTATTGTTGCTTCCAGAGGCAGTTTGAAACTTTGTAGTAAGTCTTGCAACAGAAGATAGGCAGTTTTACACACTACGTGCTTCAGCATTTGGTGGCCTCGCTCTGTGAGTCTACCTGACCTACCGTTTCATGGTTGACCTGTTGTTGCTTCAACATGCTGCCATTTCACAATAATAGCACTTACTGTTGATTGAGACAGATCTGTTAGGGCAGAAATTTCACAAAATGACTTGTGGAAATGGTGGCGTCCACCTTGACATTACAATGTTAAAAATCACTGAGCCTCTTCGGTTCAACCTATTCTGCTGCCAGTGTTTGTCTATGGCGATTGCATAGCTATGTTCTTGATTTTATACACCTCTTATCAATAGGTGTAACTGAAACACCTGAACTCAATAATTAGAGGGGGTGTCCACATATTTTTTGCCAAATAATGTATTTGCACAGGAATATAGACAATAAAAACAATATCAATCAATCAATCAATCAATCACCGTTTAATAAACCTCGGAGAACATTGAGGGTGACCCTCATTTACAATGTTGTCAAGTTAATACAGTGAAAAGGGATTGATGATGAACATATCAAGTAATAAAAGTAAATTTAATAAAAAAAATGGCTTAAATCAGGTAAGCATAAAAAATGAAACATTATTACAGTTTAATATATTTTATTATTAATGTAAAACAATAATTAAAGCTTAACTAAAATGTTAAAAGTTAATAAAATCAAAAGAAGATAAAGCAAAAGGAGGATAAGATTAAAAAAGAAAACTAAAATTAATTAAAATGACTCAAAATAATAATAAAATAATCATAATTAAAACAAGAATAAGAATAATAATAATAAATAAGCCAGAAATAAATGGGGAAAATAAAATAAAATAGCTAAAATAATGAAAATAACACAATAATAGTAAAAATCAGGTACAACAGTTGCAGGCAGAGTGGAGGTGATTAGAAACTAAAAGTTTAAAATGACTGAGTGACACCAGCAAGCCGAGCTTTAGTGTTTCCTGTAGTTCCAGCTCGATTGTGCACTGTAACTAAATTTTCCCAGTTTAGTAGTGGCATGTGATCCAACCACTGGAGTGAGTCTGATAATTACCATTATTTACAGACATCATTGAAATAATATATGCTGGCATATGGCCGGAGAGTGTTTTATAAAAAAAAATAAACCAATGTGTTTCTCGCCGCGCTGCTAGTGAGGGCCAACCAACAGTGATGCAGTGTTATACAAAGCTTTTTTATATTTTACATTTGCAACATACTTTATTGAATATTATCATAATAAATTATAATAAAGTCTAACATTGCAGTCTAGCAATGCATTTTATACCCCTTGTACATTAAATGTGTAAGTTTGAGTGGAATTAGTTTTGTTACTAGCATGGTGTATGACAGAATTGTCTATTTATAAGCTGTTATGTCTGAATTAAATAAGAAAAAATTAGGAAAACGGTTGGCCTGGTGCTTATACATCAGGCATTTTGGACACTGATGTACTTGTATCACCTTGTCACTGTTTAGATAGCAAAATCCACTGCCTGTCCTGTGCACAACTTTTAAAATGCTAAATTCTCTAAAAACAGCCAAGCTGCATTCCAACAAGAGCAGATTTAATGAGGGATGCTGTTATTCACATTGCTTTACACATTATAATCTGCATCTGAGGTCTAAGGTAGTTGCTTTAATAATAGAGTTTAGATGCTTACATGTTATGCTTTAATTGGTAAATCCAGGATTCAGGATTGGAACTTGTCTGTGATAATGAGGAAAAATTGATTTTTTAAAAAAGTATGATATCCTGTGCCCTTTCACTTTATGTAGACTACATATTGTACATGAAGTATTTTCATATTATAGCAAAGCAGCAAACATAATTCCTGGCTGTGTTCACATCAGTAGTCAATAATGAGTAGGTCAATGATAGTCTCTTATTAAATCGCCTATAACTGCTAGTTCTGTGTAATTACCCCTGCCTGTCCCTCTTGTCTGTAAAAGGATGTTAGTCACAGCTCAACAGCATCTGTACTGTATTTGGCATGCTCTAGGAAGGAGGAGTCCTCTTTGATACTGGGGACTATTTTGGTCATTAACAACCCCCCTCCCCGAGCCCTGCTCAAGTTAGCTTCTGCATGCGCAAGTGACGATGACACAGCGATGCCGAGCCATGCTAAGCATGTCCCCCTCCCGAACTCCCCCAAACATGCACAGATACTCCCACAGGTTCACCCTCTTTCCTAACCAGAGAAAGAGCAACTGCCTAAACTTGTTGCCACCCCCAGAACTTATCAGTTGGACCGCGCACACACACAAAAAACACTGCAGGGCAGTAGTTATATTTAACTCCAGACACCCTGCGTCCTTCCTAGACCCTTAGCCAGGGAGGTTTCTAAGGACCCTTATTTGGCTACTTTGGATTGCTAACCAGAAATAGAGGTCCAAGGTGGATCCAAGGTATCTGTGGAAGGAGAAGACTAATTAACAGGCAGCTACTCATGGACAACTTAATACTCCATACACAGAGATGAATAAGAAGGTCTTAGTTAGTAATGGTGTGAATTCCTATTTCATTTTTTGAATTCTTTTCAAAACGCAGCTGCAGTGCAAACTGTGAAATTGCATGCAAGACAAGACCTGGAATATCATCCCAAGTGATTAATACTATTTGCAACACTCGTTAAAACTCCTGGTGGAAATATTTTTCTTGTACTTGTTGAACATGTGTGCAGCTCCAGTCATTGAGAGATGCAACCCTGTTTAGTGCTTTCTCTCCTTGAGCATGTCTGATTCAGCTCATGAAGGTTATGATAATTAGCTGGTGTTAATTAGGGCCATGACCCCACAAGACTGGGATTTGATACCCCTGCTAGTTGGGGCCCCTGTGCCATATAGAACCCTTATATGGAACTGTAGACACGATGGGTCTAAGGCCCTTGGTTCTCAAAGCCAGGAGTGCCCACCCTGTTCTTGGATATCCAACCCTAAATGAACATATATAGAGCTAATTGAGGTCTTCAAAAACACCCACAGCAGTGAAAATGTTTGTGAACCTTTTGGAATGATCTGGATTTCTGCATAATTAGTTCCAAAGAATTTCGTAATCTTCTTCTAAGTAAATAAAGTAAAGAATAAATAAAGGTAGTCTTACAGAACAACACCAAAAAAGATCGTCAGATGTTTTAATCGGTCCAGAAGTGGGATTGACCTGCACTGCCATAATTTTGAAAATGACAAATGACATCAGAATTTTGTTCAAATGCAAATCAAAAGAGAGGAATTCATGAGAAATATTACTGAAGCTCCTTAGACTGGACAGCAAAAGGTTTTTTAAAGACTTAGGACATGTTCAGGCAGTTGGCTTAAAAATGCAAGATGATCAGCATTCAGATTTAGGTGTGTGTATCTGTGGAGGAGAGCAGTTATTCAGCCAGTAAGGCTAGCATAAATTACATGAATGGTAACGTTGATTTTTTTGTGCATTCTTTATTTATTATGCTGGTGTAGTTCTTCAGTGTGTTAAAGTCCTTGCACAAATCTTCGTTTGTTGATATGCTCATGGTTTAAATGAATGTTTCCCCATTTGGTCTTCAGGCAGGTTTTGTGAAGATAAGGAGGATATCAGTGGGGAATGGGGTGAAAGGCCCAAGAAAGTGGAGCAACTCTTCCCTCACCTTCCTTTTACTTCGGTTCAGACGTGCCAGAGATCCTGGGACGTCTCTGCGCTCCAGAAGTCTGGAAACCGTTAACTGCCCCCTGGGCCTAGGCAAAGATACCCGCTGTGTTCAAAACCCTGAGGATGATGAAACTAGGCCCTTGCTGAAAGTTCTGCACTGAGCTATCTTAACCCTCTGTGTCCTATTCTACTCCCATTAACATATGTAGATCTTGTGTAGAAAAGAGCTTACATCATTACTTTGGAGCATGTTTTATGGACTGCATTACCAGAACTTCAACGATTAGGTTTTATCAGTTCGGGAGCAGGCCAGTGTTTACTTGGAAGGTCTTATCAGTGACATCTGTTACGTACACTGGTTTTACCATGACACAATACATTTTTATTCATTTTTTCTCTCTCGCTCTGCAGATGAGTATTCCTTTTGGTCTGGTAGGGCAATATAATGGAATATACAATGTTTTATAAAAGTGATTGCCGTATTTTGCAAGAATGCACTGTTCTTCTGTTCTGATGTTTTTGGTGCACAACATGTATAAGAAAGTTATGTTACTGTAAAAAACCTGGAATGTCAAAATACAGTATATATAAACAACCACTATCTTCTCATATACATATATCATAATGAAGGAAGTTTAAAATGTAGATTGAAAAGTCACTGTTACACAGAGTATTATCTTCCACAGCATATTTACATGCTGTTGTCCTGTTTGAAAATGTTCATTGGATTGACTCATGCAAAGTGTTATTAAAACTAGTGTCTCATTTTTAAATGTTATAGATATAAATGTGCAGCCAACTACAGTGTTTTGGAAAATTGCAATGTATGTTGAGTGCTACATTCTGCTTATTCTTGGACCCTCACTTCAAACCTAGCCAAGATTTTCATACATGGGAGGTCATGGGTCGTATCATTTATTCATAAGATCCTATTATAAATTGATGTTATTTAACATATATAACAGACACAATTTAAGTATCGAGGCTAAACAAATGCCTCTTACGCTGCTCTTTCTATAGCTTTTTGTTTATTAAAAGCCTTGAATCATTGATTTCTCCCACCGCATAAACAAGCTAAAGTAACAATCAGCTTGTCTAGATTAAATGCTACAGATCTTTTCTGGGAAACAGACTTTGAATTGGGCATTAGTAACAGAAGGCATGTTTATTGTGCTGGTGGCAGAAGCTCTTAATTTAAATGAGTATTTTACTTAATCTAGGTTTGCTTTATTTCCCAAACAGTTTGCTTATGTAAGTTGATACAGACCACCATAACTTCATCTTGTCACTAATCTGAGTCATTATCGACTGAGTCATTAATAAATAATAAATGGAAAGCTACTTCTTACTGTGCAGATAAAGACAGCAAACACAAAGAAAGTTATGTTGTGCAATTATATTCATCAAATAAATGCTAGTATTTCATAAGTATCTCCAAGATGGCAAGTTTACAGGAGAGGGCCAGACCCCTTTACTTTTAATGTAAATTGATATAAAGAGATTTTATAGCAAGCAATTTTGGAGAATTTCTATTGGTCCATTCGACATTACATTTTCACACAATGTAAAGGGCAGCCGCTGTGTTCAAATGATTTAGAAAATTAAAAACTGAAAAATGGGGGTATGTGTACAATATGTATATACACATTTAATGCTTCTAAAGACTCAACAAAGCAACTTTCTCTGATTCCTAAAGTGAGATTATTTCCTGGTATCAGCACATCATAAAACTGAGGGGCAAATGCTATTCAGAACTAGGAGTGGATAATATTGTCTATAGATTTCAGAATAACAGTATGTATCTAAATACAAGCTACACACATACAGAGCTAAAAGTGTTTTCATCAAATTATTATTATACCATAATGCAATATACAAAGATATTAGCATCATCATGTTGCTGCTATTAAAAATCTGTCATAACAATAAGTAAGAAACATGACTGGTAATCACATATGTACACAAAAGTGTGGTAAAACTATAAAAAGATTTATTAATACATTAAATAAGCACATTTTAATTGCACTGACATAACAGATGCCTGAGGCCTAGAAACAATAAATTTAATCCAAGTACACTGAGTAAAAGCAATAGATAAAAATTTGATCTTCACAACTATTAGTCACACCCTTTAACAATCACCATTTAAAATAGCTGTTGTGCTAAAATACTCTGAAAAGATCTAGAAATTCTCTCTGTGAAAAAGAGTTTAAGAAGACTACGTCCCCACATTGGTCTGCAGTAGTAATGCAGAATCCCATTAACACCAGTCTGCTGTTACTGTTACACATTCACATATACTAACTCACATTCAAATACAGGCAAGCATCCAAACACTCAAGTCTTTTGTAAACACCCTTCTAACCAGCTTTCTTGGCTCTTTACACAGACGGCAGGTTGTACATTATCCTTGTGCTTCAGTGGCTCAGGAGCAATATTATGGCTTCATTATCATCATCACCATAAACAGTTACCACTATACAAAAAAGATATGCAGCCTTTATACTGTCACCTAGGACAGAGTACAATTATTTGACATTTTGACTCTCAGTGTAGCATTTACATTTGTAGGCGAAAGTTTTGGCGCCCCTTTTTTTCAATAACTTAGCAAATAAATAGAACTTGTGCATTAAAATAACACATGTAAGTGTGTTCTCTGTAGAGGATTCCTAGAGTTCCTAAAATCTCATTTGACTGGGGGTGTTCAAACTTTTGCTTACAACTGTATGACTTTTGAATCTGATTGTTTACCTAGAAACCTACAGAACCACATTCTCAATTAGCTTTTTCAAGTTTTATAGTCATGTTCTTTGAGCTGCCTTAAATATTGTCATCAGAGTTGCCATTCTTTGGCCAGATTTGAAAGCAACATCTAATATTTCACTGACAGGTGTATACTGACAAGAATTCAAGGTGACAAGCTTGGCTAAATATTTTAGTGGGTGTCAGCTGTCATAACATATTTTAAAATGTAAGCAGCGTCAAGCTTACATGGGTAAACATGTAAAAAGATCATAGTTCTCACAGGCTTGTTGGCTTCTGAGCTCCTGTTTCAGGTTCTGTTAGCCCTTGTAGGCGATAAGCACTGAAGCAGCTCACTAGTCTGCAAGAAAAACCTGCAGTGGCTGAAGCCAGAGAGGCCAAAACAGTGAAAATGACAACATACTGATACAATGCACCAAAATCCCCCTCTATGCTGCATTTGTCACACACCAAGAGCTTCTGGGCTTAATATTCAGTTTAGCTGAATCGGCTGTATTAAAACTTTAAACTGTAATTTGGCCTGCAATTTAACCACCCCTGAAACACACGCTGTGCATTTTTTGTTGAAAAACAATACTATGCAATACATCTTCACATAAAACAATAGACACTGTTGACAAAGACTAGCAAACATTAGATGAGTGAATTTAGGGCAACTTGACCCAGTTCATATTAGCAGTACCCTGTGGATCACATGGAATGAATGGATGAATGTAAACTTATGAACGACCTCAATAGACAAAGAACGAAACAATACATAATTTACCAGTGCAAATTTAAACCATACGCAATTCTTAGAAAATACAAAAACATTAACAGTCTAGATTCTAGACCAGCGCCCTTAATACGGAATTAGAGTGACTGTTCGTGATGCAGCAGGTACAGTATGGATACTAAAAATTATTTTTCAGTTTCAGTGATTGTTGACAGCAGGCCAGTTTTAGTACTGTAACAACACAACAAAAAACACACAACATGTACATTTTACTCTGAGCTAATCCTGAGGTGGCTGTTTGTGGCTCTAAAATGTGGCTTGTGAAAACAGTGAACTGTGCTGCACATCCATGATTTTCTAAAGTAAATCACACTAATAACGAATACCAGTAAACAAAAGTGACATGTGATGAAGTGCTGAGGCAATGCATTCGCTATGCACCATTTTCATTTCCAGTACAAATAAATAAATTGCATTAATGCTTTTACTGAAATCAGGGCTAAACTGTCAGCTTGACATATCTGATTCTTCATGGCAATAAGCCACTTAGGAAGATGGCTGAGGTGGTCATACATTTTCCACCAGTGTCCATATGGAATGTTGCTGGGAGCCTGAGAGGTTTGCCAAGTCAAAGTCTTTTTAGTTGATTTTCTCTTCATATAGTAATGTGTGTTTGATTTTACCGCGACCTAGCAGAGAAGCAGCGCATGTACTCCGTCATCCAGGGGTTGTAATCAGGGACGATCTTGCTTTTGCTCATCTTCTCCAAGTCAGCAGATTTTGCCCTCCGTTTGTCTTCTCTTTTCATCTGCTTCTCCATCTCTCGTCTGGTTTTTGCTCGTAGTGCTGACTCGTGGATCTAGGCAAAGAGGAACAGACAAACTTGAACCAGCACATCTAATAAATCACTTTCTAAGTCAAAAGTTTTTCTTATTGATATTTAACCCAGAGGACTCCAGTTAAACCACTGAGAGTAAACACTAAACAGACACGAGTTAACATAATGTATTGTTGTCACTCCTTATTTTTGCAACATTGTAGAACCTAGACCCCACCATATCATATTGAACGAAATTGTTAACTTTGTGAATCGTTACACCTCTAAAACATGGATGGATGGATGGATGGATAGATAGAAAGATAGAAATATGATACAGTGATACATCAATGTCTGATCTGATACATTTTTTGATACAGCAAAAATACGGAATGCCTGAAAATCTGTCTTATGTTAATATGTTAAAGTTTCCATTTTTAGTTTATGGTGCATCCAGCATAATAAAAGTGCATTATTTTTTTAATAATGCACAACACACACGTTAAAATATTAGCCCCAGGCTAATATACACTTGTGAATAGTGTGCTTTTCCTCTCTGCTTCCGATTTTGAGGTACCAAAGGAGCAATATTTTCAGCGACGGGTCTGCCCTCATTGTAAACTTGCTTGTTTAATTTTAATTACACTACATACACTTCAATATAATGAGTATTAAAATGAGTACTTTGTTTGCTACAGTCTGTTGAATGTATTGTTCAGCACCTCTAAGTATTGAATTGAGATGCTCATATTAAACAATACAATATGTTGTACTGTTACACTCCTAACAGAGAGATATGTAAATGTACTTTTCAATATGTAATCCCTATTAACAGTGAAATTTAGGTTTTCTTCTTCCTTCATCGCTTTTTTGGACTGGTTCACTGGGGCTTAATCTGCTCCCAGAAAAACTAACCACTTTTGTGAACTTGAATTGTTAATCATAATCAAATGACTTTCTATTGCAATACAGCTTTTTATCCACAGAAGATCGCTTGAAGTCAGAATGCACATTGTGCGGCTCAGAAGCAGCTCACCTCCTTGGTTGAAGCAGCAGGACCCACATTATGAGTTTTTTTGGAGGCCACCTCTGCCTGTCTCTCTCCTGATCCATACATAGCAAAAGGGTGCCTGCTTTCTTTGTCAGTGTCTTTGGTTGTTCCCATGTCTTTGGTTATTTGAGGCTTGGTTTTAGACTTGCTTGGCTTGTGTGAATGGCGGGGTTTGCTCTTGGTCTTCCTCTGGGCCCAGGTATCTGTTTCTGGTTGGATTACAGAGGTGACAGGTGAAGCCTCTCTGCTTTTCTCTTCCTCCTCCTCCTGAGCTTCAACATCTCCTGTGACTTGTTCTGTGATAGAGAAGAGATTTATTGAGTTCATAAATTTTATAGTCACAATATGGTTATTTTGATGAAGGTTAACATTTAACGAAGCCTATTACACTATTACAAAGCTATACCCTGTGTAGTCCCGGTAATTACAGTGTTAAAGTATTACATATTTTAGCGTTTCAGGACCTACCTATAATAGGGGACTGTATTTCTCTGTCGTGTACTGGTTCGGGCTGTTCAGGAGCAGCTGCCTCTGGTGTTTCCTTCCCAGATCGAGGTGCTGGTGAAAGTGAAGTTTCCTCCTTCAGCTGAAGCGGCTCAACTTTACTTTTGCTCACAGGTGTAGATTTACCGCTAGACTCGGTGTCACTTCCCCATTCCCCCCAAAACCAGGGGTTATGAGCTTGCTCCAGGAGTCGCCTGGATAACCTGTACTTCACCAGATCCTCATAACATTTTGCATACGTTTCCCATTTCGGATCCTTGAATTTCTTCATATATTCCGATCTAATCCGCTTTGTCACCATATTCCTCCACTCTTAACGCTGTAAAGGAAGATGGTTAAAAATCAGCCACTTTCCGGCAAGGCGACACATTAACACATCATGTATATGAGGACACTGTGTACGCTAACCTACACCAGATCGTAGGGCTCGGCTGCGCCGTTTTGTTTTTCCTCCCTTAGCGCCTCCCGCCCGACATTTAAATGAAAACACTTCTAAAGGCGAAGCCTTTTCCTGAGAGGAAGCCAATGGCTGACCAGCTGCTTCTACTTCTTTGACACACCCCTCCATGGACCCGCCTGCTTAAGCTATGGCGCCTTTACTCCTTGAGTCACATATGTAATCTAGTTACAGGTCTAAACAGCAAAGCAAAATACGACACGATAATCCTGTCAGCTTTTTATTGTTCAAAACTGCCATAATGGAGGCAGAGCCAGTTTGTTAGATACACATTATCTTACATAAGGCGTCGTCGTAGCTGGCTAACCCCGTGTTTACAATGTTGAGGAGTGCGTTGCTGAATGATCCGTGAAGGAGTAACAGCCTGTAGACGTTAACGGCCTAAAATAACTATAGCAGTTTGTGTCAACAATCCACGGATACGACAAGATATCGGTAAACGTGTTTTTGATTCGTCAACATAACCCTAGTTCATTCTAAAGTGAGGAAGGCAGGAATAGCCAAACCAGGGCTTTTACTTACAGTTTCTGGTTGTCAGCGAAGACGAACGGAAGCAGGTGGTGTTTGTAGCCGTGCTGGCGGTGCTGCTGCTTTGTGCTGCTCGAGTTTGGCTCCGCCAGGTGGTGAAGGACGGGGGTGAATACAGCAACAGGCTCGGGGAGTGAGTGGAGTGTGATTTAAATCATATATTGTGCACAGAAAAATACATTGTTTTTTGTTATGGCTAAAATAGTCGTTGCTTTCTGTTCGTTGGTCATATATTCTAGCCTTTTTCAACGGTCAGTTTTGTGTGTTTGGAGAGCCTTCAGCAAAAGTAGAAAAACACCTTTCAACCTAGTTGTTTTTTCACCTTTTTTTAAAGAGAGATAAAAACAATGGACTGACTCACGTCTATTCCTGCTCCAAGCCTTATAGGAACAGCTTTCACCCTTTCTCATATCCATATATTAAGTGAATTACTGAGTGTCGAATATCAGCTGTGTCTGGCTCCAACATTCTTCTCAAGTCAAGCTGGAGTCAGCTTTCAAGGCAGAAGCCATACAAGTGTGAAGTGTGATAAAGATAGAAATGAACTCAGTCACATCTCTTTCTGCCTCATGGACAGTCTTTGAGCGCCTGATTGTTGTCAGTTTTATGGTTGGTGTAGCTGTGAGAGGTTTGGCCTGTTTAACTGAATTAGAGGAACATTACTGGACACTTTTAATACACATTATTTCTGTGAAATGAGGGGATAAATATGTGCTGAACACAGTTTTGATTTTGCTGCGTTTTTTTTTTCTTCTTTTCAGTCTTAAACTACACGTCTAATCAAAAGTTGAAATATCAAGACATTCCCCCAAAAACCATATGCAAGGTGCGTTATGCAATTAAGGTAATAATGCACATAGACACATCTCAAAAAATACCAAATGATGGAATTTAATAAATTAAAATGTATGTACATTTTACATTGCGTTGTTTGACAATGCACAATGATCTTCTTTTCTTGATTTTACCCATTCTGCACTGAAGCATATTCATTGCGTGACATGGGGTTACGACATAAATCTCCAACAGATCTGTCCCATATCAGCACAGTGCTCCACTACTGTGTGATTCATGGCGAGCAGACGCAGATGATAACCATGATAATGAATTTAGAAGCATTTGCGGTGGACAATGCTGGGTCCTGCCTCATCATACTCCTGCTTGGTGATCCACATCTGCTGGAAGGTGGACAGGGAGGCCAGGATAGAGCCACCGATCCACACAGAGTACTTACGCTCAGGTGGAGCAATGATCTAGGATAAGAAAGAGAAGGGTATGTTTCAGAGATCTGCATGTCTTTAGCTGTAGAATGGGGATACATTAGAGCAAAGAACATTTATATAATATGTTACCTTGATCTTCATTGTGCTGGGAGCCAGGGCAGTGATCTCCTTCTGCATACGGTCAGCAATACCAGGGTACATGGTGGTACCACCGGACAAGACGTTGTTGGCATACAGGTCCTTCCTGATGTCAATGTCACACTTCATGATGCTGTTGTAGGCAGTCTCATGGATTCCAGCAGACTCCATACCTGTTCAGAAGAAGGGAAATGTCATCAGCTGATGCGACAAAAGTTGTGACATAATGTTTTAGAGGGAGTGGATAACTACGCACCAATGAAGGAAGGCTGGAAGAGGGTCTCTGGGCAGCGGAAACGCTCGTTACCGATGGTGATGACCTGGCCATCAGGCAACTCGTAGCTCTTCTCCAGGGAGGAGGAGGAGGCAGCAGTGGCCATCTCGTTCTCAAAGTCCAGAGCCACATAGCACAGCTTCTCCTTGATGTCACGCACAATCTCACGCTCAGCTGTGACAGAGCATTGTATGAATTAGCAAAATGTGCAGATTACGCAAAGACACCCCTCTTTCAGATTAGTTTTGAGGGGAGAAATTGGTCACAAATTAGCAGTGATTTTCAGTTAATAGAATTGTGGAGAGTAATTACCGGTTGTGACAAAAGAGTAGCCACGCTCAGTCAGGATCTTCATGAGGTAGTCAGTCAGATCGCGACCAGCCAGATCCAGACGCATGATGGCATGGGGCAGAGCGTAACCCTCATAGATGGGCACATTGTGGGTGACACCATCACCGGAGTCCAGCACAATACCTGAAACGCAGCAAATGAAGGTATGAAATTCACCCATTCAGATTTTGTACTTTGGCATAGAGTAGATTGTAAATATTAGGATGGATCTGGGGTATTATGGGACATCAGGTAATATGGAGCATGCATGTCATAGGCCTTCAATGACAAAGCCATTCCTTTATTGAATGTTACTACAAAAATACTTTTTAAAATGTAATTAGTAACATTTCCTCACTCATTTAGTAATAACTTACTACACTATACTAGGATCAGCTAAACTTCAAAGTGCCTCTTATTATCTGATGTTCTGTAATATCTGAATCCACCCTAAATTATTGCAATAGTGCAGATTCTGTGCATGTGTGATGTGTTCCTCACCAGTGGTACGGCCAGAGGCGTAGAGGGACAGCACAGCCTGGATGGCCACATACATGGCGGGGACGTTGAAGGTCTCAAACATGATCTGGGTCATCTTCTCACGGTTGGCCTTGGGGTTCAGGGGAGCCTCAGTGAGCAGGGTGGGGTGCTCCTCGGGGGCCACGCGGAGCTCGTTGTAGAAGGTGTGGTGCCAGATCTTCTCCATATCGTCCCAGTTGGTGATGATGCCATGCTCAATGGGGTACTTAAGAGTCAGGATACCCCTCTTGCTCTGAGCTTCATCTCCTACATAGGAGTCTTTCTGACCCATACCCACCATGACACCCTGACAGAAGGCAAAGAGTGATTTAATATTACATTACTTCATTTGCCGTTGGCTAGACTTGATTATTATAAAAGCTGTCTAAAGAGTTACAGTGTCATGTTTTACAAGGTCATGGTAAACATACCTGATGACGGGGGCGGCCAACGATGGAAGGGAAGACAGCCCTGGGGGCGTCATCACCGGCGAAGCCAGCCTTCACAAGGCCAGAGCCGTTGTCGCACACCAAGGCGGTAGTCTCCTCGTCGTCACACATATTGGTGGGTTCTAAGTGTCAACATGATGATAGATCATTGAGTGGGTTTGTTGAAGCACATACAGTACAGAACAACACAAAAATGTCACAGTTTTACACTACACTTTTGAGGATCATCAGCATACATTACGTTAATGAGCAGATATAAGATTCATCTGAGATGAATCAAAACTTAAATATTTATTTGAGTTTGATAAAGCCAGTAAAATTGCTGGTTACCACATGAAGTAATTTTTAGTTTTAACTGACAAACCATTTTTATTAGTGTAATTTGAGTCTAATCAAAACGTCCTAATGCTGTCCAAATCATCCTAATGCGTAGTGTGCATTGCGCTCATCCGGGTTGAATATATATAGTTGTAAAAGTTTTAAGTTTTACAATGTAAAAGGGGTATAAAGATTTAACTGGCATCTGTCTGAACATGACAAGGATGTGTATAATCAATAAGCCTTTGACAGTCTATAAATTATGCATGATAAAAAAAACTAAAATGTTTACAATCTCAATACACAATTCTGACTGAAGTTTAAATATTAAGGTCTATCTGCAAACAAAATACTATATACTTTCCTTTCTCTCTTTTAAATTATCTAGTTGAATGTGTCATTTTGCCTATATGACATCTATGACTACAGTTAATTAGCTTAATTGGGTTAACTGCATTCGCATAAATAAAACAAGCAAACATTATTTTTCAGTCAGTCAGTCCAGATTGTTTTTTTCCATCTTCCTTACCTTTGGTGGTACCTTTCCTAGATGAAGCTCAGTGCAGAATGCAACCACTGCTGGTTCCAGCTACGAAGGACTCCCTTTCCACAGGGTCCTTATATACCAACGATTTTATTACCCCCCATGCACACCATTGAAGACGTCGGTGTGTTCAGTTGGGTTTTTGCCCAGCCTGCACCCATATTAGGTTCTTGGACGGGACTTCGTAGAGTAGCTGCCGGCCTCCCTCGGTTACAAGTGCATTACTGTCCTAATAAGGCGTGATAGTCATGATTCGAAGCCAGGGCGCCCGAACCGTATATGGGGAGTAGTAGGATGCACATGGTGCTCCTTTACTACGATGGCATGCCGGATCTGCTGCAAGTGGGCTGGAGCATTAGAATGAAAGCCCTTGGCTATGGATAGCAACAGATAGTCCAGGATTTATGAAAACTGCAGCTCAAAGTTCTCTCATCGTGGCCAGAATGAACGGGGTGTTGCACCGAAACCTGCTACTTTTCTTATCTTTTTCCCTTTTACGGCGCTGTTGAGGAAAGTTTTACGACTTTTGTCTCGCTCGGCACATCGCAGGAGTTCATTTTTAAAGCGAGTATTGCAAATTAGTCACTAAAAATTAGAAAGTTCTGAGTTTTAGTGTTTATGAACGGGATCTTTCCCATTGCTTGTCCTGTAGAGTAGGTTGGTTTGCATTAACGTTTTGTAGTTTTAAGTCTTGTGAATTATATTTTATGGAGTACATAAATGCCGCTTTTCTGCTTTCTGTCGTTTATTTAGTGTCCGAAGCCGTTTGTGTGAGAGACAAAACTTATCAGACATGTTAAGACTATTAAACCGCTGATGTTGAAGTTTGTTGATGTAAAAGATTATTCCTAAACTATGGAAGTCAGTTTTCGCCACTTGAAAGAAAAAAGACCATATAGTTTGTCATAATAATGTAAAGAAAAACAAACATACAAACAAAAAAAAATTATTATGAAATGCTAAGTCATAAGTATGAGAAAGTTATAATTTTGAGATTCTAAGTCATAATTATGAGAAAGTCATAATTATATTCTTAGTCATAATTATGAGAAAGTAAGTCATAATTATGAGATTCCAAGTCTCAGTTATGACACAGTGAGTCAAAAGTATGAGATTTTAAGTCAGATTACTTATTAGACAGTAAGTCAATTGAGATTCTAAGTCATAATTATGAGGAAGTAAGTCATTATTATGAGATGCTAAGTCATAATTATGGGAAACTTGCTCATTATTATGCCTTACAAAATGGCTATGTATTTTTTCCAGTGGTGGAAACATCTTCACAGCACAGGAAAAATATCACAACAATTTCCTAGTACTATGGCCTACTTAAACTGAATACTAGCCACCGTTCTGACTGAAGTTTAAAAATGAAGGTATCTGCTCTTTTCTTTCTCTCTTAGCAGTTATGCCATTGAATGTATTGGTGTTTTGACCATGTAAAGTCTATGATAAACAACAGCAGTGATAATTTTAAACTCTGCTGTCTCTTTTAAAGTCAGTGATCTCGAGCATGAGCGAGTCTGTCTGATGTTCCTCATGAAGGCTAACACAGTTTTCTGTGTAACTGTATACAGTCTTAACTGTAGTGTGGTCTTCAAACAAGATGAAATATTGCCCTTTTCAGTGTTTTTGCTTTACAATAAAAGTTTCAGCACATACCACTACTATTTAAGTCCAGCGTCACAGAAATGCTGTACCTGATTTCTAACTGTATGATTTTGAGGTTAGCTTTGTTACTAATCATGTCCAGTCAAACAACTGGAGCAGAAACAACAAGCAGTTACAGATTAGTGTTTAACTAAAGACATATACTTAAATGTGCAGAGAATTGTAGCCACACTTCACTTTTTTTGGAGAGAACACAGAAAACAAACAAGCTATCTATTCCACATGTTCCAAGTCTATAATTAAAGTCACCCTTTGTAAAAGTTTAAAAATATGTATATATAATAAAAATGTCTTTGTGGTTAATTAATTCAGTGTCATACTGAAAATATAAGAGAAGTATGACAACTTGATATTAAATAATTCTCATGTTTTGTGCAGCCTCCCTTTTCTAGCATAACAGCAGTGAGTCTTCTCTTATAGCTCTTATTGAAACTGGAGAATACATAGCATGAGACCACTCCTCAATGCAGAATCTCTCCAGATCCTCCAGGGTCCTAAGTCCATTTGGACTCCCCTCTTCAGCTCACCCCTCAGGTTTTCAGTAGGGTTTAGGAAAGGGGACTGGCATGGGCATGTCAAAAGTTGATTCTGTAGTCATTGAACCATTTTTGTGTTGATCTGGATATGTTTTGGGTGTATGTTTTGGATCCATCCCAAAAACGTTTTGATCCGGCATACTTTCTGAATAGTTGTTGGCATGGCCCCAAAATGCTACTTTTTTATGCAGATATCTAATCATGATACTTTGAGAAATCTTTACCTCTCTAACTGTCCTCCTCACTACGTGGAGGGAGAAAATACACTTGCATCTGCCTCCAGGCAGATCCACTACAGCTCTGGTTGTTTACAACTTATTCTTGCACTAAGAGTGAACATGGCCTTTTTTGGGCATGTCAATATTTTTGTACAGGCACTGCTTGATTTATGATTTATATATCTTCCTCATATCAATGAATGACTAAGAGAATCTGGCCTCTATGTCATTTTTATGATCCAGTGAAATAGGTGAGCATGGATGACCATATAAGTCATCTTTTGTTCATAAGAATTTATAGGGGTGCCAATAATTGTGAAGTGGTTTTGTTATGAACATTTTTGATGAGTTTTTATTTTCTCAGACTAAATTTACCTAAATATAAGGTTAGAGGTCTCTCATATGTTCAGTCTAAGACTGAGGTAAATGACTACAGAGACATTTTTTAATGAACTTTTTTGAAGTCATCTTTACCAATTATGGAGCTGACTGTATGTGATAATTCCAGTCTGATAACATGGGCACATAATCAGCCTAGCTTTGCACCTAAAAAATGGAAACTGAGGTTGCTGCTGCCATATGACTGAGCTGATGTCCCTCCACAGACCACTACAGCTACGTCACTTTTATTGGAGTCTATTTGCTTGTCAAGGCCAGACAGACAGAGCAACTGCCACAGGCCGTGCGTCACCAGGGGAACTAAGCAGCTTAGTCGCTTGGCTAAACAGGAGAGCACTCTGAAGAGCCTTAATTTGGTAGGTTCCTTCTGCTTGGACTTTAATCTGGTCAGGAGATACAGTGTAATAAAATCACATCCCATGGTCTTGGCAGAGACTCAAAAAAATTTTTAATCGATATATGGAATGATTGAAAATGTAATGTAATTGAAATAGTCCATGTAAATTATGATTTAAGTAAGAAATTGTCATGTCATAGGATACACCCTTTTAATTCAGAGACAGATTAGACATAGATTGGTCAGGAAAAAAGAGTTACAAAATGAGTTTCAGATAAGGTGTCATGACTCATGCAAATCTTTTCTAAGGGCAACAGTGCCCTCTTTTGGTGGTAAGTGCTTGGTCAACTTCAACTGAATCCATGAGAGACTTGTCGATTGGGACTGAGAAAGGATAGGTGCCCGTTTCTCCGCTTAAGTCTAAATTAAACACTGTGAATAAAATCAAAACTTCAATGTCTATATAAGTGTTTTACTCTATATAAACAATTCTGATAAATCAGCATGCCAAACATTAAAATATTCCCATAACTTAGAAGCATTTCATCACAACGATAAAACATTCTGATTGAGGAGTGAAAAAGCAACATATAAGCAACAAAAAATTTCTAATAGTGTATGCTTGCAAATACCATTGTGACAATAATAATCATCTCTCAGTTTAAAATATATGAGTGATTTCCTGTTACACCAGCGAGTGATTATTCTTTAAACTACTTTAACATGAATACACAAGACAAATCAGGAAGAATTTTGTTGTAATATCTGTGATTAGTGATTCAGACAGACTGTGCAGTCATGTTAACATGATCAGATTATTTCTTGATGTTGTATAGAAGGAAGTTATGTGCTAAAGAACTACATAGATTTATAGTGTCAGCACTTATAATGTGATTTTACATTGATTAATGTGGTGGAGATTATGACTTTTTTAAACACAATTTATGAGCTCATTAGGTTTGTCAACTGAAATATCAGAGACAGGATCTCCATGTTATACTACTGTATAATGTTATAGTGCTACTGAACAGGAACCACAATAATAAGCTTTCACACCTATTGTTAGTTTTTACATACATTTTGTCTCTTATTAGCAAAAATACTGCACATCCATATTAACATGTTTATGTGCATACTGTGTTAGTACAAATTCTTATCATATGATGTCAAATATTCAATGACAGCTATTTAAACTGACATCACAGTAGCACCCTGTCTTTATCAATGATAAGGTAAAAAAAATCTAGTTACATGTAAAGTGGCAGTGTTTTAAACTGGCCTACACTTAAGTCCCTTTTAAATATAAAGTTTTTTTCTCTTTGTCTTTCCCTAATATTGGTGAAAGAATATATACTGTACATAGGCACTCAGACACAAGAAAATACAATTCCAGCTGCAGCATCAACATCTGCTTATTTTCAAGCTGTACTCCAGTGTTTATATACTTATACTTCTATCAGTGCTTTCATAACATTACATTTCTTCTACTTGGAGAGAGCCTCTCTCTGCTCAGACTGTAGAAAGGCCTGCTTTTCCATGAGTTTGCGGAAAAGGCTGTCTTGGTTCGCAAGAAGCTGAACATGGCGGCCACATTCCACCACACGATGCTGGTCCAGCACAGCCACAGCGTCTGCACTTTGGATGGTGGACAGACGGTGGGCAATGATGAGCACGGTGCGGCCTTCCATCAGCCGATCGAGAGCCTCCTGCACCAGGAATTCATTCTCTGCATCCAAAGCACTGGGGTACAGTGGCAAAAAAGGAGTAGAGAACACTTGAAAAATTACGATATGGACGTGAGTTTTTGTACAAAAACAAAATATCATGCTGCATTATGACCAAGCGGCCCACTCCTTTAGAGCTGATTAACAATGAAACTACCATTCACAATTTAATTATAATAGTTTTTGTGATATAACAATGTTATAAACATCCATATTTTATATTCATATTTGATACACTTGCAGCTCTACTACTTTGGCTTACAGTGCTGTAGAATGTCACTTCTGTGTTTTAAAATCAGTATTCTATTGTTTGACAAATATATTAATAGAAATATTGAGTATACAATAAATCTGATGGAAACAAAAGCAGTTCTACAAATCTAGAGTGGCAATAAAAAAACGGACTTTAGAACATCATAGTAGTGCCTTTACCCCTCTATCCAGTTTGCTATAAAGCTTATATATATTATAAAGATATCACTCTAGATGCTAAACCAAGGGTCCCAATCCTGACTGATGTCACAAAGGAACGATTATATGAACATGTCAAAATGTATAATAGTTCATTTATCTATTGCAAATCATTATCTTACCTTGTGGCTTCATCTAATAACAGTATTTTGGGATCCTGTCAGAGACAAAAGAGTCATATTAGTCTGTAATGTTGAATAGAATGAAATGTATTATGAAATATTCAGTGGGAGAAGCAAAATGAACTACCTTCAGCAAGGCTCTTGCAATAGCAATTCTTTGCTTCTGTCCACCTGTAGTGCAAAACAATGACATTGTGATGCTAGGTTTTACATTAACAGAGATTTAACTCTACATCAAAACAGTGTAATGCTGCAATGCAAAAACACAATGCATCATGGAGAATGGATATTCAATTAATAATGCCATCTAATGCCACTGCGTGGTTTGAGCACTGATGTTTTTGCAAACCAATTAACAGCCCACTCCTGCACATTCATTCCAAGCGCCACACTCCTCCATCCCGACAGCTCTAGCCTCATTAATAGATTTTACCGCAGATTACACATCAATTTTTCATTCAAATTTTGCTCCAGTATCACAAATCAAATCGAATCATAAGATGCTGTGTATTGTTCTCCTTCTGTAATAAACACGGTGAGGCATCTGCAAGAGAGTGTTAATGAGGAGCGCAGTAATTCCATCTCAACATGTACACGTTCAAAACAAAAGAGAGAAAGTAGAGACTTGGAATACTCTCATGCAAATCAAGAACTAAACAATTTAACACAGCAGAGACCTCACAAACGGCAACTACAAACATAGGTCTATATGTGGGACGAAATGAGTGCAGACAATAGGCAACATGTGTGTGTAATGATGTAGGGGTGGAGCCAGGTACAAGCATGAGCTAGTATGAGACATTCTACACCCGGCAGGTTCAAATAGAGTCTCTCAGAGGGGGGGACACATTGTAACACCTACAAGGTTTGAAATGTCACATTTACATTCACTTAAAATGTACATTTATTATATCTATTTCATTGTGAAAAATTAATAGTTAAAATTATAATGCAACATACTTGACAGCTTTCCTCTGGTGCCCTAAAGTTGAGTTAGCTCAAAAAATGAAAGGACAGTGCCATACAATTTTAAATTTAAGTGACTTTCAAATTTTAGTGTAGAGGGGAAAGAATACAGTTTTGTTTCAGTGGGGCAAGAGTTTTAAAAAATAATGACATATTTGAAATTACAGAAATTACATTTAAGTGAGACTATAATAAAGATATATTTATTTTTAGTACCTGAGAGCAGGACCCCTTTCTCGCCAACCACAGTGTCGAAACCTTTGGGGAAACCATGAATGAAGTCATGTGCATTAGCTATCTGCGCTGCACGGACGATGTCCTGTGGTGTGACCCTACTGGGGTCTGTTGCCCCATAAGCAATGTTCTCAGCAATGGAGCAGGAGAAAAGTACTGGCTCCTACACAAAAAAAAACACAATTTTAAACCAATTTAGGTATAGGCATTATATAATGATCTTAAGTAACAGTGTAAGTCCTAAATTTCTTGCTTCAGGTGCTATTGTGCTCTGCCTACCTGGCTTACTGTTCCAATATGACTCCGTAGCCAGTAAGGATTCAAATCTCGAATGTCATGACCATCTACAGTTACCATGCCTAAAGGCAGAGTAAGAAATTGAATAGGGCTGTAAGAGCAAATCAATACTAATGACATGGCACATTTTCAGTATAATCATATTAAAGGTTTGTAACTACATTAGAGGAATAATTCAGCATTTTTAACTTAAATCTGCTGCATCTGTAGCATGACTGTGATTACAACAGACAATTTTCATGTTTCCCTGTACTTAGCAAAGCAACTGTACAATGGCTTCTACTGTAAGTGTGTTTGAATCAATGGTTTTCTCTTCTTTTACTAAACATAGGGATGTATGTCAAAATTATTGCCTATAGTAATCCATCATACAAGACAGATGCTCAACACTCAAAATGCTTAACACTCAAATATATCAAATATGTCAAATATATCTCCTAACCCTGACACTGTTTGTAAAAGAACTACCAAAAGAGGAGATCCTAAAAAGACCCAGTCCTCACCTGAGTCTGGGTCATAAAAGCGTAGCAGAAGGGACACCAGGGTAGATTTTCCTGAGCCACTGGGCCCTACCACAGCCATCACTGAGCCAGCTGGAACAGACAGACTGAGGTCCTCAAAGATGGGGGCATCCTTTCGTGTTGGGTAAGCGAAGGACACGTTATGGAACTCCAGAGCTCCTTTGAGCTGCTCTGGTTTTAACATGAGTCCCTCTGAGACACAAATGTGACATAGGTGCATGATGCATGACAAAAAATAATGTTTGGGGAGTATTTGTGTCATAACTTTATTGATAAGGATAAAATAACCTGTGCTTTTAACAAAGAACCTGTGATATATGGAATGGGAATACATACCATTGAGAGGAAGTTCGGGCTTTCGCTCCATTAGCTCCCAAAGACGAGTTCCAGCACCAAAACCCTTCATCAGCTCAGAGTAGAATGAGCTGAAACCTTTCAATGAACAGTGCACAAATATCACTTTTCTAACTGTGTGTCAAATAGTACTAGTACTAATTCCATCGTGTCAAATAGTACAAGTAATGTAACACAAGCACTGAATGATGAAGAGTCAGACAATATTTTCACTGAACTGAATTCACTGAGCATCATTAACCCCTTAAACTCTAATGTCCACACTTCAATTCCTCACTTGTAACTACAGACCTTATATAGCAGTTCCATATTAGTTATTACATAATAACATAATGAGCATAAAAAGCCTAGAGTTTAAGGGAATAAGTTAAATTTGGAAAACTAAAGTAAAACTACACAAACTACCATGACGCATTTACATTGTATACTTAGGGAAAGTGAGTAGAGTGTGTCATTTGGATTATGCAGAGCAGTTCATCCTCACCAGCAACACTGACGCCCACCCAGAAGGCATACATGAGGAAGGAGGAGAGCTCTCCTACAGTCATGTGCTCACTGGCCATCAGCAGCCCGCCCTTGTACAGAACACTCAGAATGATGATGTTCCCGCTCAGACCCGTCTAAACACAAAAACACAGTTCAAAGTTTTCGGAGCCTGTTTATATGAGCTGTTCAAATAATCTGCAATAAAGAATATAGGGCAGTAAATTCTGCCTAGATAATATGTAATAAAAATATGTTTTGCACTACAATAAATATTCACATAACAATTGCAGGTTAAGACATTAATCTGAAAATGTTTTTGTAAGTAACTAAATGAACACATACAGCTCCAAAGAACCCAGAGCGAAGCACAGCTTCTTTCTTAGCCAAATGGAGAACATGGTCCACCCTCTCTGCATACTTCTGCACCTCTGTCAGCTCTTTGCCGAATGCACGAACTGTCCGCAAGTTACTGATCTTCTCCTCTGCCAGCTATTGAACACATAATAAAGAATAAAGAGATGGTCTTAGTTATTTAACCCTTTAATTAATAAAGTGATCTGATGTAATTACACTGATATAACACTCTGAAATCTTTATGGCAGCATTAAAACAAAGGATTTTCCTTCCAAAAACAAAGGCTTTGGTTGAGCTCACTTTTCTACTACAGGAGCAGTGCTAGAGCTAAATAAAAAATACACAGAGCTGGGTCTAACCTGTGTAGCCTCTGCCAAAGAATCCTGTGTTCGTTTGGATATGGCGCGCAAATATCTTCCATAGATAACAGCCAGGCCAGCCATAGGAGGCACAATCATTAGGACAAAGGTAGCCAGACTGGGAGACACGTAGAACTGAAGAAAAGGAAAGTGAAAGCTGAAAATCTCAAGTCAAACTGTTAATTCATTTAGAGTCAGAAATCACCAAGACCTCTTGTCTCAAATAAGTTATACTGACTCAGTAGTATAATATCAGAGATATATTTTCCAATAAAAATCTGACATATTGTGGAATCCAGACACATGCTGGGCTAAAGCATCAGTCAAGTTCCAAATAACATGACCATCTTTTTCAATCTAACCAAGATGAACAGCAAGACCAAGGAGATAACTTCCATAAACACCACCTCATTTCAGAACAAACAGGTTAAGTTTGTAATTAAACTGTCCCAAATGTTTATAGTCACCAACCTTTTCCATGCATTAACTTGTGCTGTAGGTTAACCAAAACAAACAATCTTTATTTTTATTTATTTAACTTGTTCCCTTAAATAAGTTATCAAATTCCAGTCGACATTGTTAAGTGGCAGCAATTAGCCTGCTGCTTACCATCATGCTCACTCCAGCGGCCGCCTGAGCAACTGACCGAAGGCCATCAGACAAGTTGTCAGTGAGCGCATATCCGACCACAGATGCGTCTGCTGAAAGGCGGTTAATGAGCTCACCAGTACGAGTTTTATCAAAGAATCCCACCTCCTGCCTCAAAATCGAGGAAAAAAGGGATTCACGTAAGCTTCTCACAATCCGCCGCCCTGTAAAAACCATCACAGACCACATTTTAGAACACATTAAAGTCAGACCTGATTTAATGCAAATCTCACTGACAGGCTCACATAAAGAAAAAATACCCTGTTACAAATTCCTCTTTACTGTGAAAGTTAAAAAAGAACAAAATAACCTATATAACTGTTCTTCAGGTGACTTTATCTTTTGCAGCATGGCCCATACTGAGATCTCACCTGAAATTTCCATGAGGTAGACACGAGCAGCATTTGCAGCACCTCCACACAGGAATATCCCTGCTAGCATGATGCACAGCGACGTCAGGGAGGAGCTGAAGTCTGCAGATGAGCTTGTGTAAATGGTGTCAATCACTCGACCCAGGAAAAATGGGGCAGACATAGTGACAGCACTGGAAACAACCAGGAAGCCCACCGCAGCTGCAGTGAAAGATAGATATCAGCACAAACATATTACACGATCCAATGACAACTTGGAAACATGTGACAATGACAACAGAATATGACAACGGAAATTTAGATACATTTTTAAATGCAGAATGGCCAACATCCAATGCCTAGTAAATGCTTTCGTTCAGAAACATCAGTGTTACCTAGTCAGTGTTAGCTTAAAATTCAGTGATGCAAAAGCAAATTTTCCTCATCTTTTTAAAAGAAGACAGTTTGTTATATCATGTAAACATTGTTAGAGTTTCAAAACATTACCATATACTCCCTAGTTCATATGTCGCACATATGGAAATTAGGCTGCAAAAACAGCCTGTTTGGAAATAACTGTTTTTTGTAATGTCACAAAAATGAATGCATTTACATATATCCACCTATTCCGCTTACAGCAGTTCAACCTTGCCTATTTACGTTGAAGTTAAAAGGGGTGATTCAGTCTGGACTGCTTTTTTCAATGAGGTTCAATACAGGGAAGCCAATCAAATATTGTACCTGTCTTTTAGGCACAGTAACAAAACAGTAAGACTGGTTTAATTCTAAACATAATATTAAAAAGAGGTCAGAAAATGGTCATGTACAAATATTTTGTTGACAGTTTTGGTACATAAATCCAAAAAGACATAATAAGAGAACCTCGGGGATAATGTAGGATGTGGGTCCTTTAAGGCTGGCATGTATGTTACCTGAAATGACACTGGATACAAAGGAAGTGAGATAAAAACCTGAACAGATCAAATAATTGAGTCAATACCCGTCAGTCTCCAGCGTTCCGGATAGGCGAGCTGCAACAACTTTTTGAGGTCATTTGAGGGTATCCGAGCAGGTCTGTCGTTGGTCTTGACCTGACTTTTCTCGTTTCCCGCATGCTCTGCTCGCTTCGAGTCCGCTGAGGTGCTGTAGAGAGCAACAGCCCGCATGGAGTGTGGCCAAACACCAGGGAGAACAGAGCCCACTCCCAGGCGGATACAGGCATGTTGGGACGGGACGTTCCTCACGTACAAAGGTACAAAACAGACCCCATAATGTTCAGCTCCCCGCTCTGAAACTTGCTTGTTCCGCGACCTTCCCGAAGTCCGACAAGGCAGCTGGTAAAGTCTTTCAGGATGGGAGCAGGAAATGCTCCACTTTTGTGATAGCAGTTTTCCTGCCGCGGTGAATCTTGTCATTCGCAGCATCATTACTCCATAAAGTTACAGATAAAAGGGATAAAAAGTCGTCCTGCATTTGCACATTAAGTTAGCTGTGATCCAGCCTGAATCATTATCACTTTCATTATCAAATGCTGTGAAAAAGAGCAGAAAGTACGAAACCCACGCTCTAATAAATATAACTAACAGTTGAGGTTAACAGCTATGACTAAACGCATCAGTCAGAGTAACTCACAGCTGTTTTCAAACGCAGCTTCATTCAGCACTGCAGCAGCATTTCGGCTCCTGATCTCTTCAGAGAACCCAAGCCCGATGTGGGCCAAGTTATTGTTCGTGTCCGACGGTTGTTGAACAGCATTATCTGTCAGTGACAGCTCCACACAGCCGTGTTTTAACTCGTTATCTCCTCTCCACCCAGTCCGGTCACCGGCAGCGCCCCACTGTCACCAAAACCTGACACAGCCACCTTAACGTGCTCGCCCCTGCAGTCTACAACCAAGATGGACGTGATGCGTTTGGCAGCAAAATATGTCAGCTACAGCGTTAAATATAAAAACACAGCTGAAGAGGTGAACCCGGTAGATGTCCTAAAGTGTGAAGTATCGAAACTAAAAGAAACTGGACTACTACAGTTCAATGGCTGCTCCATAGACAGTACACTTTTTCAGACATGTCCAATAAAACGCGATTTATCGATTCCAACGACAACGCGGATTCGCCGATCTTGAAATCATTATTTCCCGGAAATCGTCCTAGTATATGAGGTGAAGATCAGAGAATCTTTGCAGCGTTTACATACATAAAAACTTAATAATAATATGCGCAAATGTGAGCTTACAGATGCCACCCTCTTAGTTTTGAAATGGCACCCACGTGTCTCATCTGTTTTACTGTAAAGATGAACAAATTGCCTTAGTTATTCAGAACAGGTAACAACTAATTGGCGCTTTCACACGCAGACCTTCTGTGGCGTGGAGAAATGTTCAGGTGTTTGGAGCACATGAACAATGAGACAAGGATTATATATGTGTGTAAAGATTAAAATACTAGTTTAAGGTTGATGTTAAAATATATGAAACAAAAATCTCTCCGCCGAATAGTCCATCGATTATTACTGCCTGTGCGGAAGTGCAGGGTCAGAGTTAACTCGCAACTCTGCTTAAGGAGGACCACGTGTGTGATGTGACCGTAAGTGTTTTTTGTGTTTTGATGAAAGCAAATCGCTTTTAACGACTAATTATTTCACACTTATAACACGAAATTAATGTTTGCTATCACTGCGTTAACAGCTAGCCAACGTTTTGGAGCCTCAAAACATAACAGACCTAAATGTTTCAGAGTTTAACCGAATTTATTAAGGAACATTGATCCAGATAAAGCAGCGAACTGTTTTCATTTGTATGTTTGATTTATCTTGCATGAGGTATACGCTATCGCGTGGATTTCATTTAGATTGTTTTTGGGTCACAATGTTGACAGTCATTCTGGTTGATGGAAACGATATTGCCACTGTGGTTCGTATAGATGAGTAACGCAGAAATGAGAAGCAGTGACTGGCCACAAAAGTCATTGAAGGAGTTTGGATGGTTTTGTGTAGACATACAAAAATGTCAGTTTGATTATTGATTTGAATTGTATTGTATTGGAAAGAGGTCCTTCATCCTCCTTCAACATGGTCTTTTGCAATCTGATTATCTAGTTAACGTTATATCCTCTGGAAACTGCGGATCATTTATTTAGATATTTAGATATGACTTAGGTTATTTAGAAATGACTATTGCACAGTGTTTGCAATAGTTAAACTGCTTAGCTTCTGATGTGGGTTAGACTATTTATGCATTTTTTTTAAATACAAATTGTTTAAATCATTTATGTCGGCAATTTGTGTGTTTTTGCCAGTATAAACACCATACAACGCCGAATTGGATCTGTTGATGCCCCAGTCATTGTGCCACCGTTACACCTGATTTAATTTAAGGAAGGATTGATTAACCAAACTAGACATTGGACGATAACTTCAAATAACTGTGCCAGCACACTAAAGAAAGTAAACCGTTTGGAAATGTTTCAATGAACACATTGGCATACTTAAAATCACTGCTTATTGTATTGTTGTCATTTTTATTTATTAAAATATTAAAGCGTTAAATCAACACATCATGCCCAGATAACAGCTTTTTATATGTGGTTTCTCAGGTGCCTAAAACCTTTGCACACTACTGTGTTTGTACTCTCAATAATGGTTTCTTTATGCTCCTCCTTTTCTCCTCAGCCACAAGCGCTTTTGGACATGGCTTCCATATACGCTGGCATTCATCAAAAGCTGAAAAGTGCTCAAACTCCATGGTCAGATAAGCTGAAGCTTGCTCGATTTGCATGGGAATCCAGTCAGTGCATTCTCCCAAACAAGGAGCAGGTTAATATTCTTTTTTGGTGCCATGTAATGTAATGGAAGTAATAGACTTTCAGAAGATTTTAGTAATGCAGTAGTGTGTTATATGTGAGCCTTTGGTTCACTAGGCAAAGACTGAAGTCTTTCAAGGATTCTAAATGCACATACTTACTGTTATGTCCCCCAAAAAGTCTGCCAAGAACAGCATACACATCACAGCAAGATTTACAGATATATTCATAAGGAATACACTATACCTCTTTATATCGCTCAGATTGCCCAGTCATCTTTCATGATTATGTCTTTGCAGGTTTTGCTTGACTGGACTGCACATGCTCTTTCTTGTTACTACAACAAGAAAGTAGAGGTGCCACTTAAAGTCGTGGAAGGCTTATGGACCTACTTGGATGATGTTCTTAACAGCAAGAAACTTAGTAATGTCCTGAGCCAGGGAAAGAATATTACTCTGAACTCAGCAGTGTCTCAGGTAGCTAATAATCAACACATTATTTTATGCTTTGCATATGTGTGTGTGTATATATATATATTATAGTATACAGAACCAGATTTTCATTCTTGTATAATGACCTGTAACTATGAAAGAATGAGCCCTGTGACAGTAGAAAACCTGACGTACACTGTAGGTTCTACTACATGCTTGGAAAGGATGGGGTGGTGAGGGAGGGATATTCAGTTGGTTGCAGTGTCTAGATGCTACTAAATATTACACACTGCCCTTTTAAGTGCATATGTTGCCTGTACAAATTATATCATTTTAATATATACATACATACATCATCTAAACCGCTTATCCTTCTGGGTCACGGTTTGGTGCTGGAGCCTATGCCAGCTGTCATTGGGCGGAAGGCAGGATACACCCTGGACAGGTTGCCAGTCCATCGCAGGGCAATTTCATTGCAGGGCCATTTTTTTTTAATATATGTATAAACAAATTGGTATAGATAATTACTTAATGAACTAGTTTGTCATCAGAAGAATGTTTTATCTGGGCCAGGAGAATAGTTTTTAAAGAAATTATACAATAATACATTTTGCTTTAAACAATCTGTCATTAAATTTATGTTCACTAAATATTTTCTGTTTTTGTTTTGATTTCAATAGATAATCAATGAAAGGATCCTAGAAGGCACCTCAGGGGTGCTGTCTGTTAGCCTGTCCACGGTTTTAAGCTGCTGCCATGGGATTTTGACCTCTCCTGTCCTCTCTGTGAGCTACACTGCCAGATATGATCTGCTGGTCGAACTGCTGGTGAGGATCTGTGGTTTGGCCTGCTTCCAGCTTAGCCAACAGGAATCATCGGAGCCTCTTAGACCTAAGGTGTTTGAGGCTCTGTTTCTTGTTCTCAGTACCTACCTGACTGTACAAAAACAGCAAGGCAACACCAACAGAGTTTTTACCCAGGTCACTGAACACCTTTTACAGCCGCTTTGTCTGCTGAGACACTTGCTGACCACAAGGGCATGGACTGAGGAAGATGACTTGAGAATCCGGCAGCATCTGAACAAAGACATCCGGAGCAAAGTGGACCTGATTCTTCAGTCAGCTCTTTTCTTCCATGACCGCCTACCATACTACAAAGAAGAGGTTGTGCCATCAGAACGAGGATCAGGTGCCAAAAAGGGATCTGCAAGCAATACGTACTTCTGCCCTGTTGCAACAATTCTGTCGAAACTTGTCCACAGACATGGAGATGACAAAGAAGCTTTGTTTTACGCTGTCAGGTGCAATTCTCTCCCATTACTCTTTAAATTTGCTTTAGATTCATTTTGCAAGGAAGAAGAGAACAAGCTACTTTGCTTTCACATTATGGCAAAGTTTATTACTGCTTTAGATTTTACAGAGGATCTGAGCGTCAAGGAAACATTTAATACAGAAAACTGGAGCCTTGTTTTGCTTTCACTAGAGAACATTTTGAACTCCTGCTTGGCTGGAGATATCTATAATGTAGCCGCAGACAGAATACATCACAAAGAGGTGCAGTTACATTTCTACAGGAAAGTGGCACAGCTTTTTTTTAATAACGCACAGACAGACATACCAGCCTGGTACCGCTGCCTGAAAATTCTGCTTACACTGAACCACCAAATCCTGGAGCCCGATCTTGATGAGCTTATCTCAACGGCTTGGGTGGATGCGGACAACTTTGAATTAAGGGTAAAGAAAGCCCGTGAAACGCTCATGTGTGCGGTCATTCAGACCTATGCTAAACTACGACAGCTGCCGAGACTCTTTGAGGAACTGCTGGTCGTAATCTGTCGACCAGCCGCTGATGAACTGAGGCAGGAGCTGTTGCCTGAGGCTGTGCAGAAGAGTTTGACTCAGTGTCTTTTGGACAACCCTCCCAGCCAGAATCTTGAAATCTGCAGGCTTATTCTGAAGAATATGCCAAATGTGAGTGAAATGAGAAACGAGTCTGCACTGAAGCTGTTCTTTCTGAGCATCCTCCTTCATGCAGTTATTTTTAATCTGAAGACCCTAGATGACAGCACGCCAGTCCCTACTGTCAGGCAAACTCAGAGTTTAATGGAGGAGATGCTTAAGTTTGTTAGGTCCCTTTTACAGTGCCTTGAGGGGGTTTTAATGACAGACACCCTCTGGGGAGAGAAAATTCAAGAGACGACTCTTCTTCTTACTCACACTTGGCATGAGGCTGATGCCCTCTTTCAAATTCACTGCAGTAAATACACATCCCCAGCAGGTGCAAACCATGACATGAGCCCTGTCTATGATACAGTAGAGAAAGGTTTGGCACTAATGGGCTCAGCAGGCAGGGTCAGTAGTCCACTAAGTAGGCTTCTGCAGAAGCTTCTAGCTCTCCAAAGGATGAAGAAACACTTGCTCGTTTCACCCAATGCAGACACAAAAAGCATTCTTTGTGAAACTGCTCAGTATGTTGTAAATAGACAAGAACCTTTAATAAATATGAGCAGTGACCAAACCTGGGATCTCCAGCTTTGCAGTGTGAATAGTGACACCTATTCTGTGGCCTACTGGTTTGTTGTAACCACCAATCTGCCTTTAATTGCCCCATATCTCTCCCTGGAGGATGCATCTTATATAGCAGACACAATGTTGAACTCCCTACTTCAGAGTGACTTTGGAAGCAATTCGGAGAAGACAGATCGGTCCATCTTCCTGATTTCAAAACAGCTACTTGAGAGTATGGTTCTTTGTGAATTACCACAGTTACATTCTGCAGTGGTGACTTCTATAACAAAGAGGGTTTTTGAGGTGCTCTGTGCTTCTGATGTACCCTCATTTTTGAAATCTTCCACAGAATTTGGTGTTGAATCTGTAGACAAGGAAGAGCACACGGCTGATTTCTCACCTTCTTTGAAGAGACTGAAATCCATAGCCCAAGAGATCATGCACTGTGTTGAAACTGGTGTTTCGATACCTGTATCTGAAACACAAGTAAGTCATCTTCTGCAGTTAGTCAAGATCACAAGTGTCCTGAATCCACATGCAATGTCTCCTGAAGATTACCTAGAGCTTTTTCTGAGTTCATTCATGATGAACCTTTGTGTTCAGTGTGATGGAAATGGAGCACTGTCAGTACCCATCAGCCTCTTAGAACAGCTCTTCAGACTCATGGCATTGCTGCTGATGGGGCAGAATTCTTATATAGTCCTCAAGGTTGTACATGGTAGTACACTCTTAGAGGCAGCCATGACCTCTGTTTCCTCATGTTTTAGCAAGGGCCTTTTTTGTAGTGTGGACAGCTCGGCCTGGTTTCCTTTTCTTCAGTCAGTCCAAAGCTTCATTCAATGCCTAATCCAGCTCATAATCGCCCGAAAGAGTAGTGTACGCATAAATCTCGAAAAGTTTGCAAATTTCATGATTGAGAGAGTTGCTCTAGGTGGAACGTCTGCTGGTGATTCTGGGGAATGTGAAGAGGCTCTGTATGTACAGCTTCATCTAGCAACAATGAGCACACTTTGTAAAGAAATTATGCTGATCCTTGGAAAGACAAAGCAGCTGGATGAGACTCTTATTCAGTTGTTGGGGAAAATTGTCTCCATAATGGGGCCTGCCATCCAGGCTGTGTTGACTGGCAAGGCAGGCAGCATGCTCAGGCAGTCATTCTTTGTCGATGTGGTAACAGTGATGATTAAGAGTGAACTGGCAAAGGCTTCTCATCAGACTGAACACATTGCTGAAGGAAATGGAAAAGACAAAATCTCCCACATGGGATTTTACAAGAGCTTTGGCCAGCAGATCTTGAAGGAATTATGCCCAGCACCTCGACCCATGGATTTTCTTATTTCATCCATCCATTATCTTTCAGCATTTTATTTGGCTGCAGAGGCAACTAAGGAGTTGGATCTTAAAGATCCCCATTTTACGATTCTGCAGAGTGTCCATACACTGTTATCAGGTAGGCATTGAGGTCTTGTTTGTGAAGTGACATGTTTGACACTCTTTATTCCATTTCACCCAAGTTATCCATTTATGTCAGGTACATGGCTGTCTATATCAGAAGTGAAGGAACTTGAGGCACCAGTTAAGGACATGCTTGCTCAGCTGATGGGCAACTGTTCTAAAGAGCAGTTCCATTTGCTGTTTCTCTTGCTTCGGGATGGACTTGTTGCTTCAAAGGTTGGAGGAGGCTGCCACACAGTGAGTTTCCCTTTGTGGCATTAAATGTTAAATTGTTAAATTTGAAGTATTTGAATTTGCATCTTAAAAAGTACTAAAAGGTTTTGTTCTGTTCATTATAATTATGTACATTACCTGTATTGGTGTGTTTTTCTCAGTGCACAATATGTTACAGTATTTTTTTTTTGTAATGTGATGAGTCTAACAGGCAAAGTAGTGCAACATTTTCAAAAAACAAAAACTATGAATCCAATTATTAGTATTCAGTATTTCACATACTGCATTAAATCCAGTTAAACTCTTCATAACAAAACATGACATTGGGAAGTCCTTTTTTTAAGTACTGATGAAATCCACAGTATGCTCAGAAAAGCATATTGTGACATAATTTATCATATTAATGATAAATGCTGCCACTTTGCCCAACCCTAGATCATACGTTTGTTCAACCTTTTTACTCGTAGTTAAAATTAGTCCAATATCACATTTGACAGGAGGTCCTTGCAAGTCTGACTCTAATAAAGCTGCTGGCCTGCTCTTCGTTGCCAGACACCTGCTCAAAGCCATTCTGGCTTACAGTTCCACAAATCCTATCTTCTCTTGTTGTGAGTATTTCATTCTATTTTAGATGTGTGTTCTTACTTATTTGGTTCTGTCTGTATACAGTAACTTAAATGCACTGTTATTTAGAAGGCTAAAGAACTGCATTATTGTTGCATGTTTTCTACTGATGTTTATCTCCATGCTTTACTGTTTTTGCCTGATTTTGCTTTGGTATAGAAAAACACAATAAATGCCAGAATTTGAACTTTGGAATTGTAAAATTGTTTTATTAACATTCACTATCAATAAATGCCTCTATTTCAGTTTGTAATTAGAGAGTCTAGTGGAGTGGCTTCCCTCACCAGTGCCCTGACTGTGCCAGCAGTAGAAACCCTGACCACACTGCTTCGACAGGGGGAGTCTTGGCTCTCTAACCCACATCATGTTATCACGGGACTGGGAGCTCTCCATTTTGTGCCTCTGGACAGCCAGTCCATGGATGACTACTATTCTGCCTTCCAGGCCATCCATGAAGCCCTGTTTGCCATCATCCTGTGCTACCCTAAGGTGAATGATAACTGCAGTGTGGGCCTGAGTTCAGTGACAACATTTGTGTTGGTACATTTTGGGGAAAAGGATTAAAGAATTTACTGAAGTTTAATGAAGCAGTAGTGCTGTTCTAACTAAACGTTTGCTGCATTAAATGATGGACTTTACAATAGGATGACCTTTATTTATGTGCTAATACTTGAAAACAGTCAGTTTCCTCTGTGGAAAAAATAATAGAAAGAAATTAACTAAAGAATGGCTGGTCAATCAGTTTTGCTTTAACTTGACCTCTTTGCCTTTAGCAAGGGAATATATGCTTGCTTGGTATATAGGAAACAAAGACAAACTAGAGTCAAATGTAAACGCAGAGACTTTTCCTAGCAGCCAATGATTTTGGCAGTGATTTTTAGGTGCATGGATCCAACCATTTCACTGCTTGTTGAATGATTACTCGTTCCAACAGCTAAAAGCCTGGGAATGGACCTTTATTTCCTAAATTAATAGCACTTTGAATTGTACCACAATAAATGCAAAAAACTATAGGTTTGTTCCTGTAGGAAATGTTTTGACTGTATGTTCTTAAATGCGTTCATGTGTTTTTTTTGTAGGTGATGCTGAAGGCTGCTCCGACCTTCCTGAACTGTTTTTATCGTCTAGTGACGTCAATCATACATGAGGGCAGGCAAAAGGGCGAGAAGGAGAGAGGTAGGCTGGAAACACTGGAAAATCTTTAGTAATACATTCATTAAGCCAGATTCATTGATGCCCACAACAGGGCACAGCTTCCTCAGCACAGTTAAATGAAGCAGAACCAGTTGGATAGGATGGCTTAGTAAAGTAGTATTCACTGATTGACCTCATCTGACATCATTTCAAAACCAAAAACAGTTTAGACAAGCTCATACAATTCAAAAGCCTCCACATTATCAGTGAACAGAATGGGGAGCAATGACAAGCTTTATTATGTACGCAGTACATTGTCAATGACCCACTGTTGTCCATGTTGATTTTCGTCTTAACTTCCTTGTCCTGATTTTCCAACATGGCAGATGGAAAAAGAATCCAGTCGGTTCACATAAGTGCACTGTGGTGCAGAACATTATACAGCTTGCTAAATGATTACTCGTTCAGCAAGCTGTATCATTTCACAGTAGGGTTGAACAGCAACCGTGTGAAAAAAAACATGCTTAAAATTCACTTACTAGTGAAAAAAGTGTGGTATTGTATGGATTGTATTGTGTTAATTATCAAATGCAGTGTATTAGCTGCAAGTGTCTGGTTTTGTATTTTAATGCTAATTTGACTTCTATTTATTGTTATAAATGTCTTGACCAAGATCAGGATTTCTGTTTTTAGAGGTCAGTGATCACTATAACCATAACCATTATTCTGAGAAGTCTCTAGTATAGTTAAGACATTTTTGGCTGAGCTAGCGTTTATTAGCTTACAATTCAAGAACAAACTTTAGTAGTAAGGTTTACTATAGTTGATTGCAGTAGATGATGTGTGGATTAAACAATAGAGCTAAGTAAAAGGAACTTTGAGTGTGACAAAAATTGTTAAGCTCTGCTTAGGAAAGGCTGAAGCAGCAACTATGTAGCAATTATATAATAAGTATGACAGTCATAAAGGTTAAAACATACTATAAGGTCTGTTTACAGTGGATGGGTTCATGCTGTTCCGATGCTACTTTCATAGTAAAATCTCTACATATTAATGGCTTTTTATAAAATTTAATCCAGTTCATTTTTCTCTGTTTCCATGGCAGAGAAAGATTCTGGGACACTTCTGAAGTGTGCCATGCTAGTGGAGAGAATGTACACCCACATTGGCAACACAGCTGATGGTTTCACAGTCTTGTCATCTTTCATTGTGGCTCAGTATGTCAGCGAACTGCAGCGGGTAAGATCTAGTGTACAGATAGAAAACCATTCTGTCTCTGTACTTGAGGTATTCACATGATTGATGTTTTGCAAAAGACCCCTCTGTTTACAAAGAAAGGTTTAGTGTGCTGTTCAAATTGGCAAAACCCCTTAGAGGCTGTTCCAAATATGTTTTTTTTTAGAAGCGAGATCCAGACCCCACACATTAACCCCTTAGATGGGCAGGGCAAGTTTTATTGCACACTTGTGTAACCTAAGAATAGCTCCATTAGTTTGCACTGAAGTCCCTGTAGTTACTGAATAATAAGCCTTTGTGTGAAATAAATCTGGAATGTGAAGGGGTTAAAGGGGAATTCCACCTATTTAAATGGTGAGTTAAATGATTAAGATGTAAACAAAGCCATTCAGAGTTGTTTGATGTAAAATGTGGCCAAGTTAGAATAGTTCAAAGCAGCGGTGATAGAAGCCATACATCTGGAGGGATTAATGTCTCTGATAGCTACCTCATAGAAAGTTATTACATGAAATGGTTCCGAATGTTTTCTAATGCCTGAAACACTGTTTGTCACATGCTTCAAAACTACGTTTTGAAGCTACGTTGTAGGCAACAAGATGGTGATTAAAGTAATAAAAGGTTGGATTTTGTGGTTTACACAAACAGCTCAGTATTGGAAAAAAAAAAACTTATGATGTTTTATGCTGGAAACAGCATAAAAAGTCAGTGTTAAATTGTGCTCTGTGTTAGGTTGCTCCCTGCACTCCTCTATATTACTAGTCAAACTAATACTAAAAACGTAACTACCTACAAGAATGATCTCCTACTTTGACATTTTTAGATACTGTAATTTATTTATTCATTAGGAAATAGCTCCATCTACCGGTCTTTTTCCTGCTGTAACACAATGTAAACGGCTTTAGAAATACTGCCAAGTTAAACATTAAAAGACCATGTTTCTTTCCTTCAAAGCCAGAACTTTGATGTACCAAATTTACTCTCTCAGTGATGAAAGCTATAATAAGTACTTCTTTGTTTAATTTGTCAAGGTGACGCTCCAGCCAGAAATCAAGGCACACCTGACAGAAGGCATCTACCGTATCCTGGACGGCTGTGCCGAACAGGATATAAAGTTCTTGAACAGAACACTGCAAATGGGTGTTAAGGAGGTATTCAGCGAGCTGTACAAAAACTATGTACACTACCACAAATCTCAAAGGCAAGGGGAAGAGAAGTATACTGCCTGAGGGTTCCCTGCTCGCTGTTCTTCAAAAAATAAAAAGACCAAACAGATTTTTGTAATTAGTATCTTTTATATGTTTGTCATGACTGAACATATCATCCTTATTTTAAGTTGGAGCATAGTAGAATTCTTTAAGCAGTGTTTTACTGGCACAGAGAGGAGATTTTAGTAGTTTTTCAGCCAAGTTCTGTATGACGGTAACAAATGAGGTGGTAGAAATAAAAGAACTCGGGGCACAAACTTAAAGGACGTTTTGCCTAAAATAAGTGCTGTGGTTCCTTAGAATTTAAATAACTTGAATTTAAGTGCATTAAATTTTCTTCAGTGGCAGCATAATTATGTGGATTGTTCTGTTTGTTGAGTACATTTTTGTACATTCATGAACAGTTACTGTTTATTTGCTTAATTTAACAATGAAAAAAAGAAAACATAAAATATGGCCTGTGCAAAACTTTTTGTGCATTTTATATTTAATTTGATACAATATAAACTCACAAAAATTAAATAGGAATTGTGCACTAAAATTTGCAGAACAATTGCCTATTTAAGTGTATTCCCTGTAGAGGGTGTGTTCGCTTATAATTACTTTTGCAGATGCCTGTATACTTGTGTTTTATTTCCAACTAAACAACTAAACCTCAACCATCTCTGTGTGTTTTCGAATTACTGGGTTGTAGCCACAGTGTGCTGTTTGGCAAGTGGGTGAATCTAATGTATATACACACTGAGTTGCCAGTTTATTAGGTATGACCATGTATCTACACTCATTGGTCATTATTTCAGACAGACCTACCATCCATTTCCAGTTATAGGTGTGCAATAACTGACTGTATCCTATCTATTGCTGCACAATTTATCAGCCCCCCTCCACCATTACTGAAAAGAGACCACCACAGGATCACCACACACACACATCTTCTAAGCCGCTTATCCTTCTGGGCCGCGGGGGGAGCTGGAGCCTATCCCAGCAGTCATTGGGTGGAAGGCAAAATCCCTGGACAGGTCACCAGTCCATCGCAAGGCAGGATCACCAGTGACCAAATATTATTTGAGTGTTGGACCATTCTCAGCACAGCAATGATAGCAGCATGGTATTGACCTGGTAGTGTGTGGGAGGGCTGGTATGAGTGTATTAGGCACAGTATTGTTGCTGCAGTTTTTACACACGGTGTACACTTACTTAGACACACTTTGTTGGTCCACCTTGTATGACTGCTGATGTATTTACTTGACAGAAAATCCAGACTGCATTTTAAAATTACATTTTTAAAGTTAGTGTTTTGAAGTTCAAATAGATTTTAGCCAAGAAAAAATCACATTACTGAAAGTACTTTTAAGACACATCACATGGTATATGGTATATGACACATCATATATATATATATATATATAGTGTTTGACTGCCACACCGTAAAGTTACAATATTACTTATTACAATATTATTTTTTAATTCGCCGCAGACGAAGCCGAAGTGTGGAGCGTAGACTGTTTAGATTTAGATGTAAGCTGGAGTTTTAGTGCTCTTTAGTCCCAACTAGATAAAAATAGAGTACTTTAAACAAATGTTGCAATTTTGCATCAGACTGTGTCCGATGATTAAACACTGCTAGACGACTAATAGTTTTATTAGTAAAAACTAATTTGGTTGCAAACTTTCTCCTGCATGGAACCAAACACGCAGTGAGTGTTTCTATCCGGGTCCTTCAAGTCACGCAGCTCTGTCCCGTTGGAAAACTGGAGCCGGAGAGGACCGTAACAACAAGACGGAGTCAGTCACAGAAAAAACACTCTGTTTGCATTTAAGGTCAGTCATTTGGGACATTTGTCTGTCTGGTCATATACACCATAAGCAGTGTGTGCGGTCGTGTCCGCTGTGAAGCTGATAGTTGTGATCTGAGAGTTGGGAATTAATGAATAGCGGTTTAACAAATCGGCGCCTTCTCTCCACTCACGGATCACAGCGGTGGCTAGTAAACGTGGTAAATATAGGGAAATAAAGTGGCCCGTATGTAGTGCAACATCAGGAGATAACATTTATTAACAGCTTGTATAGCTATAACTGCTACTTTACACATCCAGACCAACCTCCGATTTAATGCTAAGAAGAGTAAATTATACAGTAAATACAAATCTCGCCGTGGTCTCTCCGAGCCTGCTAACGGTTAGGTTGTCGATACCGAATCATCGATACTTTCGATCGTGTCGTTTTCTTCGATTCTCACACGAAAATAGATATATAAGCTATATATAAAAGTATCTCATTTTATAAACCGGTTTAATGCTGAAGTGTGAATCTGATTTGGTGAGTTTCTCTAGAACTGAGCATTTCAAACCACTCTTTACATCTTACGCTTTTTGAAAAATCGGTGCAGTTCCCTGTTTTATTATGATGTTGCCTCATTACTTACTGTTTAGAGTACTTGTTTTGATGATTTGGCATAATAGAGGTCACATAAAAGAGGCCTGCACTTTGTGTTTTATGTTTATGTCCAGAAATAACTATTTGAAGCTGTCATGAAATATTTTACAGGGATTAATTGGATATTCAAACAAGGCAAGTATAGTTGAAAAAAACAGATTATATTGTATTTTTATTTACCCAACATGCAATATATAATCAAGAATGTCAGAACATAATTAGCAGATATTGCATCTAAGGCAACGGTCACTGATCTCACGTTCATTGAAATGGCAAATCTAAGCAGAGCTGTAAATTAAAATATTTTACATAAAAATGTCTGATTTTACTGTGGAAATCAGAAAGACTTCCCTGTCTTACGTGTACTTAAATGTATTGTAATGGAGTGGGATGAGCTTTGGTATTACTTTGTATTAGATAAAACGATGTTGCATGATGATGTCCATCCCTAGAGGAGATTTTAATAGTTCTCCAACAAAACTTAATTTAACTGACTTCTTGCAAACTCTCTGGTTACATTTATTATTATTTTTTTGTTTTTATTTATTCCAGCATATAACTACGTAACTTTGTTTTACAGAAAGTGGATATCCTCCTTTCTTCTCTGCTAAGCTGTCTTTTATTCGTCCAATACCATGGAGGTGGAGGACCCCATAACTGCCAAATTTCAGACTCTTGTTGAGTCACTCATGGCAAAAACAACCTCAGAGATTGTGAAGGTTTTTGCTGAGGTGCTCTTGGAAATAAGGCTGGAGATTTCCCAAAGCTGGAGCAGAATTGATGAGCTTAAGCTGGAAGAGAGCGAGGAGCAGAGCACAGAGGACCTTTTCAGAAGTGAAGCAACTGTCAACTTTAAAAGAGAAATGGAGGAGGTGCTCGTGTCAGATGTGAGATATAGAAACAAAATTTGATTTATCTCTGTTTCATAGTGATAGCAGGGTTAGACAGACAATTGCTGTCCCTTCTTTCATCCCTTCATCATCCTGTAATAACTTTACAGATTTTGATACAAAATGACAGTCTGTATCTTTCTTTCATCCTTCCACTGCCTCAGGAAAACATATTGATTTTGCGACACACAAACCCACATAAAAAGGACATAAGTGTTTGTCATATTGATAGCAGGGTTAGACAGATACGTGCTCTGATTTCCATCACCCATCTGTCCTCCAACTAGAACCCACTGATACCTTCAGTTTTCAAGATACAGCCACCAAACTTTGTCTAAAAGCTGTTTGTTTCGTTTTATCATTGCTATTCTTCTATTCTTCTCTCCATCATCTCATAGAAACGATTTGTTTTTAATTTGTCACATTGGAGCAACATTCATCAAATCCAATAGAAAAAAATCACCCAAATGACATGACTGTATTTCATATTGATATGACACTAACATGCCTCCATTACATAAAACCTATGAATTGCAACACTCCTCAAATCTGCAAACTAGACAGCTCCCTTGTTCTTACTTTCCACATATTTTATGTGTGTAGGACATAATTGCTTGCTATATTTTATTTTGTTGTAATTTTAGTAATAAAAACCCAGAGCCGATGAAACAGCACTGCATCTGCCTCGAGAGATGTACATTTATAATATACACATGTTTTAGTGCAGTGTTGTTTGAAAGCTTCTTTTTTCCTTCCCTGTAGGATGTAGCGCAAATGCCTAGAGATACCACCACTGAGAACACAGGCATCACACAGAGCAGTGTGGTGATCCATGAGTCAGAAACTTCACAGACCACACCATCTGGTAAAGCTTAAAGATTCAAGTGCCAATTGATGATGGCTTCACCATGCTTATCATTACTTAAAGTGTTTGATGTCATATTTTCATAACCCAAAAAAGTGTTGTGAACATATATCTGCTTTTAAATTTTATGATTAATATTAAATATAAAAAAATGTTTTTATGCTTTCATATTTTACAGATACATCTGATAATAACCAGTCTGTAAATAGTCCAAACCAAACTCAAGGGGGCCAAGTGTCCCGGACAGTAGTTAAACGTAAAAGAGGTCGTCCAGCTATATCACCCAGAGTCACAGAGCATCAAAAATCAACGGTCGAAGTTGTGTCAAAGTCTCCACTTCAGGCTATTTCTATGGTCAGTCCTCTGCAACCTTCTTGCAGCTCCTCCACCCTGGCCTCTGCCTCCCCCAACACAGAGGCTCTGGCTTTAAACACAGACTTTCTTGCTGCAGAAGATATCCAGGATGAGGAGACAGTAAGGCTAGTTTATACAACATTGTGCCCAGTTTCTGTAGATTGTATAGACAATACAAATAGGTGTAATTTGTGAGATCAAAAGTTCTATTAAATGACATTTATTTCCATTTGTGTAGGCTGTCGACGAAAAGGGCATTCCTGGTTTTCACCATGTGGAAAGACTAGCTGAGTACCTAGTGGAACTGCGAAATCTGACTACCATGACCCTGACAAATCAGCAAGCCAGCATGATCATTGACCTGTGGCAGAATCTGGACACCTGGGATAAGCAGCGGATAGTTTCTGTTGCTCAGAACCAGGGCAGGTTGTTGACTAACCATTTCCAGTCACCAGAAAAAGAGGCCACTTTCACACCAGGTTTGGAGAGCACAACAAAACGTGACCTAGGAGCAAGTGTCTCATCAGCACAGCGGCCTGACTGCTGCCGCTTGTTAGAAGCCATTTTTGTCAGGCTCTGTGATATCCACTGCAGTCCCCAGAAAAAACATGAGGGAACGCTTACACAATGGACATCAATTCTGCAAGATTATAGAAAGATCAGAGGGCTTGTGTTGGGGAACAGTGCAGTAATACAAGGTACATCCCTGCAGTTAGTAGATGTGAATCAGAACTCATTGATTCAGTGGCACAATCACCGCATAAAAGACCAGGGTTTGACTGTATTGCTCAAGGAGGACCATGCTCCATCACTACCAGAAGTTGAGGACCCACTTGTGCAGGCCAGACTTCTTCCAGTAGAACCCACCCAACACCAGTCATTGGCACAAGACTATATGCCTCCAGAAAGTATAGCAGGACATCCCAGACTAAAGGGAAGGGATATAGGTGAACCACCAGCAATTAGGCCAAAGCTGTCTACACAGAGGGAGCTGTTTGGGCCAGCTCCAAAACCTGCGCAGTACTTGCAAGTGGTGCCACACATTTCAGTCAGGGCAGCACCAGTGTTGCAGGCATTGCATGTGCTCCAGCCAATGCCCACTTTTGTCTGTGCCCCACCTCAGAACACCATACAACAATGTGCTACCCAGGACCCTCCCCAGCCCCGCCAGAAACGTGCCTACAACAGAGTAGTGCAGGGAAACACCTGTAAAAAATGCGGCCAGTTTCGCTCAGCAGTCACTGGTCATAGCCAGTACAAAGGAATTGTTTACTGCCCTCAAACTGAAACACTGGACAAAAAACAGTGGTTGGAAAAGATGAGAAAAAAATGTAAATAGTTTTTTTTGTTGTTTTGTTTTTGTCAGAGTAAATAGTAGGTTGTAAATAATTTTAATATCTGCTAATATCTGCTTATTCATATGTTGTCATTTTGTATAAATGACAATAAAGCCTCTGAAATCAAATATTCTGCTGGGTTCTTTTGTCAGTAGTTGACCCACTTTATGATTAAACTTACACATCATAATACATGACATAGAACACTAGAAGTCAACATTAGCCAATTTATTAGAGACACCTACCATACAGGTGCTCTTTGGAGTGAAAGGAATGAGAATTGTCTCCTGATTATTGTGTGAGTATGTACTTTTTGCTTGGTAATCTTGTTAACCTGTGCATTTTTTTACAATCATAGAGTCACCATCGTCTTTATGTTACTGTCCGATAATTGCATATGAATCTTTTCCTTGCTCCAAAACTGTAGGAATAGGTATTGTTAGATTACTTTTTGGCTTCTTTTGTTTTCTGGAACTTTGGAGGCTTGAAGGTTGATCCTTCAGAGGGTTGTTGTGCTTGAGATAAGGTTTCGCTTATGCCCATCTTTAGACTATCAAGAGACTAGCCACGCTTACATGCAGCCTAATAATCCGACTAATAGCTCAATCAGAATGCGTCCATGTCCGATTGAGTCCATTCGGAATACCATTTCTATCCGGTTGAACGAGGTGGGTAATCCTGTAAATAATACGTTAAATAGCAGAATAATAACCGTGTAAAGGCCTGTATCCGATTACATTCCCAATGGGAACGCGTAAGTATCTTCTGCGCATGTGCGTTCGCGTCATAGCGAAAGTTTTAAAACGTTTGGCGTGGCGGGAACAGAAACTGGTCTTCAGAGGAGACGAAGGTTACGCTTTGAACTTGAAAAGACGGAGGTGGGACTAAAGTCCGGCTTATGTGTCTCGGAACATGACGTCTTCCTCTCGCCGCTTCCTTAATAAGTACATGTGAAGTACGTTTTTCTGAGTCTGCCATAATTTCAAAGCCATTAAAAACACAAGCGCGCCAACTGAAAACTCGTCTCTGACAGGACCTCACGTGATGCTTGCTGTCATGGTAACGTTTGCACTAAGTGGTACTCTACGCATGTGCGTCATTTTGGATCTGATTACTTGTACTGCGCATGTAAACGGAGATTTTCCATCAGATTGTTGAGTAGAGTGCATATAAACACCGCAGTCGTAATCTGTAATCGTAATGAATTCAGTCGGATTGGCAAAAATAGCCACTGTGCCACCAAGATCATGAAACTGGATGAAAGTAAATTTGTGGAGATTATTCAAGGATGTTCGCCTGCCCTGTGAGGAACTGGCGGCCTGTCCAGGATGTTTCCAATGAGCGCTGGGATAGGTTTCCAGGATTTTTAAACACTGTGGGCACTTGCCACTTTATTAGACAGTTACCTTGTTGGAACAGCTTGTAGGTCCGCAGGTAGAGACTATGGCTCATCTTTTTCCATGCACAATTTTGTTAGTCATCCTCTAGACCACAGCTTCACAACCTTGGTCCTGGAGTACCCCCTGCCCTGCACAGTGTGCAATGTTAGTATCACTGCTGAGCTAAGAATGGTTTACAACCCCAATAATATCTGTTTAGTAGTGGTCCTGTGGTGGTCCCTTTCCAATGATGGATGGTTTGGGTTGTTCATAAATTATGCAGTAACAAATAGGCTACAATCAAGCACACTAACTGTACATGAAAAATGTAGGCGATAAAGTAGCCAATGGGTGTAGGTGCAAGGTAGGTGTGTTAAACTGGCAATTCTGTGCTGCTAATCCGCAGCTGATAATCAAAGTATGGCACCAGGGGACTGTGGTGGGTAAATGGATAATGGATTTTCAGGATGTGTGTATATACACTTGCCGAGCAATTTATTAGGAACACCTGTACATCTACTCATTTATGCAATTATGTAATCAGCCAATTGTGTCGCAGCACTGCTGTGCATTAAATCAGATTTAGGACCAGCAGCTTCAGGTAATGTTCACATCAACCATCAGAATGGGGAAAAAATTTGACCTCAGTGATTTTGACCATGGCATGATTGTTGTTGCCAGACAAGCTGGTTTGAGTATTTCTATAACTGCTGATCCCCTAGGTTTTTCACACACAACAGACTCTCTTTCCTCAGAATGGCGCAATAAAGACATCCAGTAAGCGGTAGTTCTGTGGACGGAAATGCCTTGTTGGTGAGAGAGGTCAATGGGGAATGACCAGACTGGTTTGAGCTAACAGAAAGACTATAGTAACTCAGATAGCCACTCTGTACAATTGTGGTGAGCAGAAAAGACACATTTAACATCAAACCTTGAGGTGGATGGGCTACAACAGCAGAAGATCACATCAGGTTCCGCTTCTGTCAGCTAAGAAGAGAGAGCTGAGGCTGCCGTGGGCACAGGCTCAGCAAACTGGACTGCTTAAGGCTGGAAAAATGTAGCCTGGTCTGATGACTCTCAATTTCTGCTGAGGTTAGAATTTGGCAGCATGAGTCCATGGACTCAACTTGCCTTGTGTTGGCTGTGTAGGCTGGTGGAGGTGGTGCAATGGTGTGGGGAATGTTTTCTTGGCACACTTTGGGCCTGTTAAGCAATCATAATTAATCAATCATTAATTATTCATCACTTGAATGCTACAACCTGTTTGAGTATTGTTGGTGACCATGTGTATCCCTTATGGTCACAATTTACCCATCTTCTAATGGCTACTTCCATCATTATGTCACAAAGCAAACATAGTCACATACTGGTTTTATGAACATGACAATGAGTTTAGTGTTCTTCAGTGGCCTTCCTAGTGACCAGATCTGAATCCAGTAGAACACCTTTGGGATGTGGTAGAAGAGGAGAATCATAGCATGAAAGTACACCTGAAAAATGTTCTGGAACTGCATAGTGCAATCATGTCAGCATGGACCAGAATCTCAAAGGAATGTTTCCAACATCTTGTAGAATCCTTGCCACAAAGAATTCAGGCTACTTTGAGAGCAAAGAAAGGCCATACTCAGTATATAATTATTACTGTTGTGCACATAAATTGTCAAATTGTAAAATATCATATAAACACTCTGCCCTGTGATGGACTGGCGACCTGTCCAGGGTGTTTCCTGCCTTACGCCCAATGACTGGGATAGGCTCCAGCAACACCTGCAACCCAGGAGGATAAGCAGCTAAAATAATGTGTGTGTGTGTGTGTGTGTGTGTGTGTGTGTATACACATGTATCTGTGTATTTCAAACACATGTAAAGCTAGAATGAGATTTTTTTTAGTTGTGTAAGATTTTTCCTCTTGTCTTTCCCTTCTTTGATACACTTTTATTACCTATGCCAGTGGTCTCTTGTTTTAAAGAAGCACTCATGCAAATCATGGTACTATGGCCCCCATATTTCACACATGAAATGGTATGCTTTGGATCAAGCAGTATTATTCTCTGTCCATTACTTTAGTCCATCACTCTAGAAAAAAGACAATTCATAGAAAATAGCTTTATCATCTGTCCATAATACATTGCCTCAGAACTAGTTTTAACTAGTTTTTAACTAACTGTAAACTGGTATTTCTATTCTCAAAGTTTAGTAGCGGCTGCATTTTGTTGTGTCCCCTTAGAGGCATAAGCTTATTCTTTTGATATATGCCTATATACTGGAAGTAGCTATTGGTCATCCACTGTTGTGGTCTGTGTTTTGGCTTTTTTTCTGGCTTCGGGACCCCTTCTGCACTTACACATTTGCATGTATGAAAAGGCAGTTTAAGGGGAAATTTCATTTATTCAACCTGCAGTCCCCTTTCAGTCACAGCAAGACTGAGAAGGGTCTGTTTCAGCCACTCTGTAGCGTTTTCGGCTCCTAAAACTGTGATTGTTGATTTGTTTACTTGACAAACCAAATAAAGCTATAAAAAATTAAGAAAAACATGCATAAATGTGTATTATTTCAAGTACCTCGTCTGTATCGGTAGTCTAACTTTTCCACACTTACATTTATAAACAGCGCTGTGCGAAAATACATTTTTAAATAAAATATTATTTGTAAAATATTGGCGCTCGAACTTTCATTAGTAACGACGGTTTGATTTACATTTATGTTGTTTTTTCAAACGTTTTTAACATTTTTCTCCCCCTGCATGGAACCGAACACATAGCGAGTGTTTCTATCCGGCTCTTTCCCAGATCACACAGCTCTCTCCCGTTGGAGAATTCCCTCGTTGTAGTGATAAAAAGGAGGAATCAGTCAGAGAAAACGCTCTTTTTGCATTTGGGGTAAGTCATTTGGGACCTTTGTTATGTTTGAAGAAATCAGCATAAATACTGTTTGCATACATATTCTTGGTGTGTTGTGTTAATCATGATAAGAGATCTGTGTTAGGAGATGAATCGGCTCCGTAGCGGTTTACCAAACAAAACCTGCGTTTTTCCTGAACTCCCTGAACAGCTAGCCGGTAAATGGAGGGGAAATAGTATACACGGAGTATAATGTAAGGACAGGACCTTTACTAACTTCACAATTCTAACCTCTTTTATAAATTCTGCATCCCTCGTAAACTCGTTTTTACTGCGCACAAGGTTAAAATAGACAGGCATAAATCGTGAGTTTGCTTACGAGTATCTTTTAGCTTGCTAACGCTAGCTACGTGCATTTGTAGTTACCAGCAGTAAATGCCTCTGTATATATTGATGATTTTTCCTTTTTGTATCACAGTATGGCTTGGCTGTTTTGAAGATACAGTGGAACTGAAATTTCCGAAATGACTCAATTTCTCAAACAGAAAACAGTGATGAATATATGAACAATTCGGAGAATATGTACTTTTATCAGGCATTTCTCTCACACAACATCTGTATGTCTCTTCTGTATTATTGACTGCTTTTTTTCCGACTGATTTTTTAAGGAGGCACATAGACTGGGAATTCTTACAGCATGAGCCATATAACTTAGCATTTAGGACAGGACCTCAGATAGGACAAAGGGCCAGTTTCCCAGATATAGTTTCAGCCTAGTCTTGGACTAAACTGCCATGCCAGTGGTGAACTAATTTTAGAAAGTTTTACTTTAGGCTTAGGCTTAATCTAGGTCTGGGGAAACTGTGTTTCCATGGGCTGTTGCAGAAGCACTAGATAAATGTTAATGGGTTTCTCAAAACTAATTGTTCAGGAGCACGTTGACTAGAGTGTGCTGATGCTCTACTGGCTTGGCTGTTACCACCTCTCCAAAAAAATAAAATCAACATCTTAGATGGGAAATATAGCATCTTGATTAATCTGTTCTTGCTGTGTTGTTTCTAACTCTCCAATTAGTCTGAAATAATATGGATGAGCATCTTTTGTGATTTGCAGAGCATGAATTAGTGTAACTTACATTGACATCTTACATCTTACGTCTGTTTGCATTTATTTTGCAAAGCTGCATATTTGTTCCAAATAAAACTTTTCCCCCCTACAGTAAGTCCATGTCCTGCTTTCTTCTACTCTGCAACTGAGCTGTTTGTTTTTCCTCATCAAGCAGCATGGAGGTGGAGGACCCCATATCTGCCAAATTTCAGACTCTCATTGAGTCTCTTATGGCGAAAACAACCTCAGAGATTGTGAAGGTTTTTGCTGAAGTGCTCTTGGAGACTAGGGTGGAGATCTCCCGTAGCTGGAAAGAAATTGATGAGCTGAAGCAGAAGTTGGAAGTGAGTGAGGAGCAGAGGGCAGAGGCTATTTTGAGAAGTGAAACAACTGTCAGCTTCAAAGGAGAAACGGAGGAGGTATCGGTGTCGCATGAGAGCCCTCAAATTGCTGTTTCAGACGCTAGTACCATTTGCCCAGAGGAGAGAGGAAGTGAGGTATGTAATTTTTTCATACACATTGCACTCTGTAAATAATTAGACATTGGGCTTAAGGTGTGGCGTGTTAACTTCAGTTAGCAGGTTTCTATGGCCCTGTTCACACCTGCAATTAACATACTTGTGTGATCCAGTCCTAAGAGGATTGCACTATTACAGTTGTAAATGGCGTCTAATGTGTCTCTAATTGTACCATTTGCAGTGTGTTCTGATGTGTCCTAAACGCCATAGAAGTACCATTTAATCAACTCTCCATCGTAACTGAAAATGTAATCCTTACAGGATTGGTTGGAAATCGCACCAACAGTTAAGTTTGCGACCACCAGCTGAGAGCGGATCAATCGCTAACTAGCTGTAAGAGCAGGAGTGGTTCTCCTGCTCAAACACACATGATTCAACTCCTCGGTTAATCACAGGGTTTAGTTGAAATGTTAGAGAATGGAAATCACTAAACCGTGCTGGACTCTTGCACTGAGTTCCCCTCCAAGAAGGATTTCTTGTGGCTAGAGCACCAGTGAAACTTGTCACACAGTCATATCACAAGTGACCATTGGAGGCACTTTAAAAATACATGGAAATGTCAGATGTAAATGGCTATATGTCTGAACTGTCTGCTTATGATTGCATCATTCTAAACAAATGTTAATACCAGGTGTGACTGGCATCTCTGTTGAAAGAATCGTATAGGAATCACAGCTCTTTTTACACTGGTGCCTCAAATGAAGGCTGCAGACATGGTAGGAGAGAAATCTTTAGCACTGGTATTTAAACCTCTTCTTCAGGGCTCACTCATGTCCATTCAAGATATGCCGACAAGTCACGGTTTACTGACATAAGCAACAAGATGTGTTTAATTCTTATGTTTAATAATATTCATTTAAAATGTACACTTAATTACATTTCATTACAAACTCTGGTGCCACAGCATCTCACCACTTGTGGATGTTTCCTGACGTTTTTCAAATAATTTTTGCGCAGCATATGAAGGGTTGTGGATGACTGAAGCCCTCAACAGATACACAAATTATGCCCTTCAGTTTCTTACAAATGAAGGACACGTTTCTGGGCTGCATTTGAAGGCTCCTACAAAACGGGACAGTCTTGAGTGACAAAACATATGAGAAAAGCAGCCTTCCTTGACTGCATCCTTGGCTGAGACATGGCTATAATCTCTTCCTCCTGCTTTTCAGGGGACCATAAGTAAATGGATGGTCGGATGCTCAGTTGATTCTTAACCAGCTATCTGGTGTTGCGTCATTAGTTTACTTGTTTGGTGCTCGTGTTGAGAATCAAAGGCAATAGATTGTAGATGCCAGTGTCCCATCCACCCACAATAAACTTTGAATTTTTTCTTAGCTCTTTTGTGCTTCTGTTTTTCTAGAATGCAGATTCAGAACAACCGAAATTGTGTCCCTGTCCAATCATTTATGGACTGCACTGTTTCTCAAACTGAGAATCATTCAACTTAAAAAAAGACAAATAATCGTGTATTAAGATCCCTCCCACTTTTATTTGGTGGTCAGTTTATTAACCTTGTGCCCATGCTCATTGACCATTTTTTTCAGAAACATCGAACATATAAGTGCACCTTGTATGTAAACAGCTACTGACTGTAGCCCATCTATTACTGTACAGTTTATCCATTATATTATTTGGGTAGTGGACTATTATCAGTAGAGCAGGGACAAAGTTTAGTTGGAGTGTTAGAACAAGGAAATCACCAGTAGTGGCATGCCAATGTATGTCGTATGAGTTTGTCAGGCACAGCAGTGTTGCGTTTTTCTTAAACACTATATACATTTGTGTACACTTACTGGTCACTGTATTAGACACACCTTCCTTGTAGGCATACCTTGTATGTGCACCAACTATGTCTTCTTTTTCCTTGCACAATTTCTGGAACCTCGTTAGTGTCTGATATGGTCATACCACTCTGGTAACAACATATTGTGAAAACATTGTCGCAATGTATGTGTATGTGTGTAAAGTTATTTTAATGTTATTAAAGGAATATATGAAGCAACATAGCAGCTGCACCAACAGGTCGAAAGTTGCATTATTGCAGTATATTAAATATACATATTGTACGTTTTAGTGGGGTGGTTGGTGTTATTTGAAACCTTTTGTTTTTTCAGTACTTAAAACTTGCTTTTGAACTGTAGTGACTGAGGTTTTAACCTCTTATGACTTAAGTCATCAGCCAAAGTGTGGTTCTTAAGAGCTTTTGATGAAACTGGAAGTAAAACCTCTTTCCTCCTCCACTGCAGGGTGTAGTGCAAATATCTAAGGATACCATAGTTGAGAACCCAGAGATCACAGAGAGCAGCGTGGTGGTCCATGAACCAGCAACTTCACAGACAACACCAGGTAATAAAGCTTTAGAGACCTTATTGCCTAAAAACGTAATCTCAATGAAAAATTTGAACCTGTAGTTATTCAAAATGTTGAATATATCTTTTCAGTGCTTAAAAGTTAACTTTTTTATTTTTGCAGATATATGTGGTGTTAACTCATCTATAACCAGTCCAAACCACACCCAAGAGATCCAAGTTTCCCAGACTGTAGTTAAACGTAAAAGAGGTCGTCCTGCTAAATCGTCCAAAGTCACAGAACTTCAAAAATCAGCACAGACCGAAGTGGTGTCAAAATTGCCACTCCAGGCTATTTCAGTGGTTGACCCTCAACTACCCTCCTCTAGTACTGGCATAATAATACTCAGTAAGAACAGAGGTAAGAGGGGAGCAGTGGTGACAAGGAAAAAATACATCCAAAAAAGATTGGCCTCAAAAAGTAGCATCACTACTACACCCACACTTCGTGACAGACAGCTCCTTAACAGCCAGAGGCCTTGTTTGTGCTGCTCGTCAGACCAATGCTCAGAGCAAGAGAAGCAGCTAAATAACAATCCCCAGGAGGTTCTACAAGTATACACCTGCAGGAAATGTGGAAATAAGTTTCATGAACGGATGCAATTCAAAGGCCACAAGTGCTCCACTATGCATGAGTGCAACAGGTGTGGACAGACATTCAAAAATCTGAGGAATCTCGCTGCACACAGGCGAAGTGTACAGTCTTCAACCAAGCCATTCCCATACTGCTGCTATCTTTGTGGTCATATGTTTGCTACCCAGTGTGGTTGGAATATGCACAAGAGGATTCATGCCCATTCTAATCTTGCTGAGAATTCTCTCCAAGACAACCCCAAACCCCCGCAACTTACACTGCCCAAAGAACTTAAGGCCAAGGTGGAGGTTCGCTTGGAGAGGATTTCAAATGCTCAGTTGGAAGCTGCCTTGTGCCCTAAAAGCTCTTTATTGCAAGATGAAAAAGCCAGTCTGAGCTCCATGGCCATGGTGCAGAACCTGCCCTCAGGAGTGGAAACCCTTACATCTAGCATGGATGCCAATGTGCCATCAACAGACAGAGTTATGAGTGCACTTGAGCCAAGCAAGGAATCTGGCTCTCAGACCGTGACCAAAGGTATCTTGGGTTCTAGATCAGGACCTGGGATAAATGAAAACATGAAGCAATCAGATGACAAGATGAGAGATCCTGTCATTCCAGCTGCCTCTGGCGAAATCCAGCCAACAAAAAAGGAGAGTTGCTCAATATCATTGACTGTACCTACAGTCGCCAGTGAAGAATGTAAAGAAGGATCTTCTGGTGGAAGTGATGAATTAACACCGGGATTAAATTCACTTTCAAGAAAGCGGAAAATGTCAGGTAAAGTTCTGACATCTAGTTTTTGAGCCAGCGATTTCCTCATGAAGTCTCTTCAAGGTTGATAAAAGGTTGATAGTAGCAGTGGATAAATTATTGTTTGTAATTTTGTGGTCAAACTGTGATCCTTCACACTGTAAATTGTAATGTTTCAAAGATCTCAATAGGATGACTATTTTTTTTCCAGATTGCAATCATGACGTGTACAATGGGGTATTTCCTGTTGAGAAAATTCTTAGATGGCGAAACACAAAGGTAGGTTCAAAGAATATTAATTTAGATGACAACCAATTTTCTTGGTATATAAAAAAGTATTAAAAATAAATGTACACCCACCAAGCACTTTATTAGGGACACTATACTAATACTGGGTAGGGCCTCTCTTTGCTCTCAAAACAGCCTTGATTCTTTTTGGCACTGATTCCACAAGGTGTAGGAAAGATTTCTTTGTGGTCCGTGTTGACTTACATGAATTGCATGAATGAGTAGGTGTACAGTACTGTGCGGAAGTCAAAACTGAGTCCAAGTCCAAGCTATTCCTTTTTCAGGCTAAAAACCAACAAGTTACAGCTGTCTTCCAAACAAAAGATGTTCACTGTCATTGTGTTCCCTTTTAAGGAGACACTAACATTGACACAAGCAAACACCCAAACACATCTAACCTGGCTTGCACATTTCTTTAGAGTGCTTCTCAGATACTAAATTAAAAGCTTATGTTAAGTAAAATTGTTGTTATTTGGGCTCATGTTTCACTTTCCTGTTCTCTCAATTTTAAGGGCCGAAATGAAGTCAGAGTTAAGTGGATGCCTTGCTCATTATGGTAAGCTGTTCTGTTCCATTTTAACTCGCCATGAAACTGTGCCATGACCTACAATGCTATTAATGACTATGAGCTGTAAGGTTAAAATATAACTTGCATACAGTTGGCTTGCTCAGCCAATAATATTTTGCATTTAACATGGACTGAAGAACAATTATTTTGTTTCTACAAGCCTGTTTGGTTAAAAACTGTCTTGTGCCAGTCAGTTTATAGGACTTGTATTGTGTATTGTATGAGACATATATTGTTTTGTCTTTCAGTGGGGCAAAATGGAAAAACACATGGGAGCCAGCTGAAAGTTTTACCTCTTACAAGGACAGCAGAAATGAAGATGCAAAATGAAGAATCCGAAATGCAAATAAGCAGAATTGAAATTTTATTCTGAGTACAAAGACTATGGTTAAAATTTAAAATGTGTGTTGTAATATATTTAATGTTTCCACTCACTCACCAATGTTATCTGGACCCATATAAATGAAGCATCTCTGTACAGTTACTCCTTTCGATTTATAGTGAGCTGTATGCGTTTGGAGACATTAGCCGTTGTATTCTGGGAGATTTTATTTAAATAACACCATTACTGCATGACTTGTCTCAACATGCTGTGGCCTCTTAAAACAAAAATAGAGGTCAAAGCAGACAAAAGGTGACAAAGCGATGTACCTAAGATTCACTGATTTAGATGGTTTTACATGTTTAGGGATTCTGATATGTGGACAGAGATGTGTAGTGATTTTAATTGAAGGATTTTTGAAGGTTATTTTGCAGCTGCAAGTTATAGGGTTTAATGTCTGTCAAATTGTCCATTTAAATTGTTCATTGGTTTGCTGCATCATAAAGTCAGTGGGAGGTTCATCAGTTTGTTAAATTTCGTTAAAGATTGTCCTCTCAGAATTGCCATATTACATTTCTTTCAGAGTACTGAAAAGTTTAGTTTCAGTTAATAAATTGGTTCCGGACTATTTTACTTATCTTTTAGAATGTTACAAGCTACATAGTGTTGTGTATTTTTGGTGATCAATGTAATGTCCATTGTTTGGAGAGATACCATGCTTTTCCCCCATATGAGAGCTAGGTATTCTTGCTTTATTTAAAATAAAATTTACAAAATTATATATATATTGAGCAGTAAGTGGTCAAGTTGTGTGCAATTTGTCTCTAGAACCACTGTGGTTTTACTTTTTACTTTGAAGGCCTTAAGACCATTTTGTGTCAGCTGATTAATGACTGACTTTTGAAGCAAATGTTTACATGATGTTATGTCAGTGTACGAAACATGTTCCTAAATTTTTTGCAAGTTTTCCTGAAAGTCACTTTAAGCACAATACCTAAGTCAGTTCCATGCTGTATAGCTTTAACAAAAACATTGACGTTGAATCTCAGTTGCTGCAGAAAATTACATGTGCAGTACGTAGATGTGAACTAAATTTTAAAACTGCTTCATGTTGTTCTACTGTTAAATATCTCTGCATCTTGTGCAATTGTGCTATTACAACCTGTAGCACTGAAGAATGTGTGTTCTTTGTTTTTTTCAACTATAAAATCGGTGGTTACCCTTTTATATTTAAGCTCTTTATCGTGTCTTTGTCTGTTTGAAATATTGCCATCTTCATTAATGTTGTTTAATCAAGGTTACGAGTGTCCCTCTAAAGTGCTTGCAATTTCAAAATCCTCCACAAAGGTTCAATGGGACTGAAGTCAGAAGATTGGCTAAGCCATGCAAGCATTCGCCTCTTTTTAGAAACCAGTCTAGTCTTATTTTGATTTTATGTTGCTGATCACTGTCTTGTTGAAATGCCCAAGTTCTTTCCAAATTCAGTTTCTTGGCTGATGGGATTCAAGTCTCCTCTTCTATGTCCCCCTTATGTTTCCTTTGATGACACGTAATGCCAGAATATCTTTTGCAGAGAAGCAGCCCCTTATCATGATGCTCCCACCTTCATGCTGCACTATAGTTATGGTGTTTTTGCCAAAGAGTTCTATTTTTCTTTTGTATGGCAAAAGTATAAAAAGTCTTTGTTTCTTTTTTTTTAGTGGTGGAGTATTGGGTAAGGTATATAAACAGAGATGACTGCAGTGCAGTTCATTGTTTATCGTTCACTGTGTAACTGTTGTTCCTGCTGCTTTCAGGATGCAATGCAGTTCTTTTTGAGTGTCAGCTTTTCATTTACCTTCTTAACCTTCAAAAATATTGTGTGGTGCACCTGTGCTTGGACGATAAGTTGTGGTTGGATGAGCTTTCCTCTTGTGTGTTTTTGAAACAATTGTACTGACAGGGACGTTTAAGGTCCTTGCTATGGCTCTGTAGCCTTTTCCATTCGAGTGGTGTTTGATAACGTTGTTCCTGCGAACTTTAGGAAGCTCCGTCACTTTCACCATGCCTTTTGTAATGACACCAGGTGCAATTTGCACAAGAACAGCATTAATATCTAGAAAATGCTTTATTTTGTGTGACCTTTACATTTATATTTTGAATATGTTGTCTGAATATCCATATCAATTTCAATTTTTAAACCTATCTTCGCTTATGCTGATGAATACATACTTTTTTGTTCGTACAAAGTCACACACAAATTTCTGTCCTGCTATGTCTGCCCCAGTCAACTGTAAGTGACCAATTTGGTCAATATAGGCTTTAATAATGGCTTAGAATGAATAGAAAAGTGTAATTGTGAAATGCAGTTTTTTAAAAGTCAATTAATCATCAGCTAGCATGATTGTGACAGATACAAATATTCACGCCCTGTTGAGGCATAATGTTTGGGTACTTTTGTTTAAAACCCACACGCAAAATTTTAAGCATTTGCACTGCTGATATCCAGAATTGTAAATGTGTGTAAAGAAGACTAATTAATGATGTGGCGTGGTCTTGTTTTAATTCATACTGTTGCTATTTTTCATTGTTTACTGTTTTTCATTGGAGATTTGGTCCTAAAATGTTTGTGGTAACTGGTCCAGAAAAACGTGACCACTAAACACAGACCTGTTGTAAATGTGTTGAGGAAGTCACACATAAGAGATCAAAAGTTGCCCCACATCCGTTTACAGGCAGCTTCCTGTTGGTGAGTGCAGAATTTTGCCCCTTTGAGTAGTGATGTAAGATTTTAATTTATTTATTTCAGTTAGTTGTTTGATTGGTTGATTGTTTTTTTTAATTGTGAAATACAGAACTAAATATATAACCTCACTGGACACAAGCAATAATTCTTCTTTTAAAGGCAGCAATAAAGTAGTGATTAGTCATAACAGAGTTTTCAGCAAAAGAGACATCTAGTTTCTATCATTTTGTGCCAAAGAATGAATGTGTTACAAAAAATAGCACTTTTATTTTGTGTGACTTCAGGGAATACATCCTGCCTGTGTTCTTTAGAAATTTGCGGTGTTCAAAGACGTGTTTGCTTTAGGTGTGAGGGGGCAGAGTAATGGAAAAATGCAGTTTTACTTTCATTTACATCAGGCACATTTGAAATTACTCTGAAAAGAAACAGCATGGACTCAACGTGGAAACACAGGATGCTGCTGTCTTGGTTACTTTCATGTGCTGGTGAGTTTCATACCTTAATATTGTTAAAAAGGGCATTGAGTTGTCTGGTTTGCCTTGTAAAAATAAAATGCTATGGCATTAAATGGTAAGTTAAAGCAACATTTCTCTTTAAAAAGATGATCCTTTAAGGATTCTTTGGTAACGACAATAGTTTTATACAGAACTAGGAACACTCAAAGAACCATTTGCATGCTTAAAGGGTTCTTTGCATCGTGTAATGATTCTTCAGATTGACAGAGAATGTCTTGTATATGGTTCTATACAGAATCTTTTTAAAAATGGTTTTATTTAGCATCAAAAAAGATTCTTCTATGGTTATGATGTCAAGCTTGTAACCCTTTTCAAAAAAGGTTCTATACAGAACCATATACAACACGTTCTCTGTTAATCCAAAGAATCGTCACACGATGCAAAGAACCCTTTAAGCATGCAAATAGTTCTTTGAGTGTTAATGGTTCTACAGAGAACAATTTTCTTTACTAAAGAACCCTTGAAGAACCATTTTTAAGAGTGTACTCTAATATATATGTATTTTTTTCTGTAGCAGTGGTCCTTGTTCTACCATTGACAGCTTTGGAGGCAGTAGAAATGAAACCAGTTACACTTGGAGAAACCGTTGTACTGAAGTGTAACATTTCTTTGCACCATGAGATCTTCTGGTTGAGAGTGAGCATGGAGGAAAGGCCAAGGGTTCTGATGGTTACAGGCCTGAAGAGTGATGGGAAATTGTCAGAAGTTTGGAATTACAATTCCACTCATTTTAAGGGTTGTCTGGTGGACATGTTTTTTGGACTGAAGATTTCCCATGTCTTGAAAAGTGATCTCGGCTCGTACTACTGTGGAACTGCAGATGGCAAACGCATGGAGTTTGAAGAAGGAGTGCACATATATGGTAACAGATTTTTGGTGTAATTTAAATTTAGTTGAGTGCTGTGATCTGCAGATCTCTTTATAAGATTTTATATGTGTGTCATCTTTCAGCTAAGCCTATTCACCCATGGAGAGAAATAAGAGCTGAAAATATCTCTAACTATGAAAAAGGTAAGCTAAAACCCATGGCACTGCTCAGTTTGAGTCTTTGTAAGGCTGTACGAAGGCAATAAATGCAGTCACCTTTGATTTCTGAAAGCTTGTACAGACCACACTGATGATCATATCATACATTTCTTTAGTTCAAAAATTCTTATCAGCATCTACAAAGCCAATAACTCATCTTTTCTGATATCCATATAGTCGCATACTCTTATGGTAACTGTTTTCTCTTAATTTCCTCAGATGCAGTTCTTTCAGTGGCAGAAAAAAGTCTCATCCCTTACCCAATATTTGCAGCAGTGTTGGGTTTTGGGCAGCTAGGATTGGTGCTGGCAGTTGCTGTTGTGCATGTGATAAGTTGGAAGAAAAACAGACTCAGTGAGGCATCTAAAAGGAAGCCCTTTTGAAAATCAGTATCTTGTAATATTGTAATATCTGGTCAGTTTTTAATAGTGAGGGTATTTGCCTAGAAAAAAACATATATAGTGCTGTCATCTTGCATTTTGTTGAAAGATAATTATTTAAGAATTTTTAAGAATAATTAAAAATGACTTTGATGGCAAATGTTATGTCTGGACTTTTCTAAGCAACAAATATACTTTTTGTTGTGTGTTATATAAAGAGGAGGACCCATGAGTAGCCTATCTAACCTTTTAAATTAAATTTGGGAAAATAAAAATAAAAACTGGGCCTTGCCTATTCTGATGTATATTTCTTGTAGCAAAATGAAGAGTAAATCACTTTGGACACTATATTGTCTATTGCAAGAATAGAATTATTATATAGAATTATTGAATAGAAGAGCTTATTGTGCAATGATGCATGGAGTAATGAATGTATCAGAAAACAAAAAAGGCTTGTGTTTTTAATACTTCATACGTGTTCTTGAAAAACCTTAATGTGTGTGTGTGTATACATATACATGCACACACGTGAGTATACACACGTGTGAGTATATATATATATATATATGTGTGTTTTTTTTAGTTTTTTTTTATTCTGACAGCGTAAAGAGCAAGTTTTGTTCTGGCGGCAATGATATGTAGTCAACTGAACCCTACTGAAAACCAGTTTGTTCTGAAGAGGGCTATCCATAAAGGCTGCCCCTCTTTATGGCCACTTGTGAAGGGTGATCCTTCCAAGCTCTAAAAACAGAGGTGGCATTTGTGTTTTATTAATTAAAAAATAAAATACAGAACACTACAATGTAACAAACAAACATACACACCTTTCTACGTAACTAAATAAGATAATGGTCTAACTTTGAATCAGAGACTTTCTTTGCAGGTCTGCCTTGCTGTTTATCTTTGGTCTAAAGCATTGTATGAGGTAAGTTATGCAATTGCTCAGGATTCTATTGATTTTTTTTTTTCCTTTCTTTATTAAAGAATTCATACAATAACATAACTTAGAACAACCAACAGCCAGGGGTGTGCTTACACCTTAAATAAATCATAATCAACATATAATTCCAAAGTCCTTTTTGCTTTCTTGTTTTTTCTATTTTTTAAAGAAGTGCCATATTCCTTAAGATCACAGAAGAAATGTGTAAAGTTTGGCTTATAATCAAACCATCTCTTCTTATGTAAATGATATTTACCCATAATAATGAAGTATTATACAAAAAGAAATACTTTAACATCTAATCTGTAAAATAAATAACAACATCTGAAACATCCAGTGTAATACAGTGTCTAGTCTTTCTTCTAACAAAGTTTTCCACATCAATCCAAAACACTTTAGTATAAGTACACTGGTAAAACAGACGGGTAACTGTTTCCTTTTCCAAACCACAAAAGGTACAGAAACATTCATTAATAATAATCATCTCTCTAAAACACTCGACAGGCAGCGCTCTATTGACGATACGCTCAGAAAAGCGCATTGTGACGTAATTTCTCGCCACGACGATGGTTTCGTCATATTAAGACACACAAACAGCTCGCACGTTGTACGTTGTACTGTTACCTGTTTTTCCTCTACAGCAGATACAATGCAACATCTTTCCCCAAAGTATTAAAAATATAACACAGTAACTGGTAAGTAAAGGCGGTTTTAACGTTACTTAAAGCAGGACGGAGACAGACAATTAACTACTACGCTTGCTTTACGCCACGCACATATGCTAGCTAACCTAGCACTGTAGCACGAAAACCTTGGCAAAGAAAATAATAATAGTGGTTTTAGTAAGAGTTGCTGTTTTGTTTGTTAGTTTGAAAACTAGTTTTACATAGAACATTACTAAGCTAACGTTACTGAAATGGTATATTATCTGGCCAAAAACACACTATTTAGCTCACGCTAGGCTACAAGTTCCCAAAACCGACCCTGAGTGGTTGCATCTAGTTCCGTCCTGAGAGCTCTGTGCTCCAACACACCCACTTAGAATGGTTTCATTAATTAGCTTATTAGATGAATCAGGTGTGCTGGAGCAGGAAACACAGTAAAGTGCAGGTGCTCCTCGAGGATTGTGAACCACTGAGCTAACTAGCTGACTAACATTAGTGACGAAGAAAGCCTGGATATAAAATACCTTTAACTCGCTTGTTAGCTTATGGGTCATATTCAGGAAATGGTAAAGCATAAGAACAGAAAGAAATGTGGAGTGTGGGTGTTTTGCAGCTGACTGGTCGCAATTCTAGCTCGTACAATGAACAGAACTGACTAAGTAAACTGTTCGTGTACAAGCTGCAAATTCAACCCAGTACCTGAGAAACAACAGAGTTGCATAAAAATCCAGCTCCTCTTATCGTGTTCCCATTGGTCCAGGCCTGAAGTCAGACCACGTCGTCTTAATAGGCTACTTGCTGCATTCAGTAGTGTTTTTAAGAATGTTTAGATTTTTTATTTAAGACTTTGTATTTTACAGCATGATTTTCAGATTACTGGATTTTCAGATTAACCAGGGTACATTAAAATATAGTACACTGAATACACATGTGCTGAAAGCAAGGCTGGTGGCTGGTTTGTGGCTGCATCTGGTTCTGTCTCGATGACTGTTTTTGTCAAAGTGGCTGGTTCTGGAAAGTGGCTCTCTGGAAAGACCTGAGACTTGTCTGGTTCTGTCTTGACAGCTGGTTCTGGAAAGTGGCTCTCTGGACAGATCTGGATTGTGTCTGGTTCTGTCTTGACAGCTGGTTCTGGAAAGTGGCTCTCTGGAAAGACCTGAGACTTGTCTGGTTCTGTCTTGACAGCTGGTTCTGGAAAGTGGCTCTCTGGACAGATCTGGATTGTGTCTGGTTCTGTTTTAATGGTGGGATCAGTGATGGCATCTGGTTCTATTTTGATGGATGGTTTTGTAATCAAGCATCGTTTTCTACATGCTGTCAAATGTTTTACTATTTGAATCCTCCTTATAATGGTCGTTGGGCAATAGCAGCAGTGAAAATGTGCCTGGTCTCTGCAGTACAAATTGCATTTGACTATGTAGAACTCTGAAAGTGAAAGTATAAAGAAGGGTAAAAACAGAGCATGTATGAAAATGATATGCATAGTATTTAAAAAGTGTGTATAAAATGACAGAAGTAATTGCCATATATATCCTAGACGTTCCCCATGTATTAGTAGTGTAATGAATGTTTCAAAAAAGTTACCTTCATGCTTTACTGCCAGGCTTAAATGATTATGGACATGGTATTGCACCTGGTGTAGTTCCATGGCGGGACGGTAAACTTGAGGTTTGCAAAATGGGCAGTGATATTTATTACTGCAACACTTGATGCATTTTTCTATGACAGGACTCTGCCCTCTCCTCAAAATTGTTATATGCATCTGTGGACAATAAGAAAATATGCAGTACACATTATTGTTATAGCTAGCTCCAATTTGGGGCCCAACAACGTACACAGTTTTATGCATTCCCTCATCTATTATCCCTTATTCAACTGATTAACAAGCTGGGCCAGGCGTATTAGAGTAGAAAAAGAGAAAACAGTGCAGATCATGGGGTCCCAGGACTGGCTTGGTAACCACTCTGAAAACTGTGGGACATTCTGAAATGATTTACATGAGGAAAAGGCTTAAAGGGGACCTATTATGCTCATTTTCATTGTTGATAATTGTATTTTTGGGGTCTACTAGAATAGATTTACGTGCTTCAGTGTTCCAAAAACACATTTTTCTCATACCATACATCTCTATTCACACTCTGTTAGATTGCCTGTGTCTTTAAGCCCCGCCTCTCAATGAGCCGAGTGTGCTCTGATTTGTCAGCTCGCCCAGAAAGAAGGTAGACTTAACGCATTGGATAGTCAGATTAACCAGGATACATTAAAAACCAGTACAATATATACACGTGCTGATAGAAAGGCTGGTGGCTGGTTTGTGGCTGCATCTGGTTCTGTCTTGACAGCTGGTTTTGGAAAGTGGCTCTCTGGAAAGACCTGAGACTTGTCTGGTTCTGTCTTGACAGCTGGTTCTGGAAAGTGGCTCTCTGGACAGATCTGGATTGTGTCTGGTTCTCTTTTAATGGTGGGATCAGTGATGGCATCTGGTTCTATTTTGATGGATGGTTTTGTAATCAAGCATCGTTTTCTACATGCTGTCAAATGTTTTACTATTTGAACCCTCCTTATAATGGTCGTTGGGCAATAGCAGCAGTGAAAATGTGCCTGGTCTCTGCAGTACAAATTGCATTTGACTATGTAGAACTCTGAAAGTGAAAGTATAAAGAAGGGTAAAAACAGAGCATGTATGAAAATGATATGCATAGTATTTAAAAAGTGTGTATAAAATGACAGAAGTAATTGCCATATATATCCTAGACGTTCCCCATGTATTAGTAGCGTAATGAATGTTTCAAAACAACAGAAGAGCGAGTTACCTTGATGCTTTACTGCCAGACTTAAATGATTATGGACATGGTATTGCACCTGGTGTAGTTCCATGGCGGGACGGTAAACTTGAGGTTTGCAAAATGGGCAGTGATATTTACTACTGCAACACTTGATGCATTTTTCTATGACAGGACTCTGCCTTCTCCTCAAAATTGTTATATGCATCTGTGGACAGTAAGAAAATATGCAGTACACATTATTGTTATAGCTAGCTCCAATTTGGGGCCCAACAACATACACAGTTTTATGCATTCCCTCATCTATTATCCCTTATTCAACTGATTAACAAGCTGGGCCAGGCGTATTAGAGTAGAAAAAGAGAAAACAGTGCAGATCATGGGGTCCCAGGACTGGCTTGGGAACCACTCTGAAAACTGTGGGACATTCTGAAATGATTTACATGAGGAAAAGGCTTAAAGGGGACCTATTATGCTCATTTTCATTGTTGATAATTGTATTTTTGGGGTCTACTAGAATAGATTTACGTGCTTCAGTGTTCCAAAAACACATTTTTCTCATACCATACATCTCTATTCACACTAGATTGCCTGTGTCTTTAAGCCCCGCCTCTCAATGAGCCGAGTGTGCTCTGATTTGTCAGCTCGCCCAGAAAGAAGGTAGACTTAACGCATTGGATATTTAGATTAACCAGGATACATTAAAAACCAGTACAGTGAATACACATGTGCTGATAGAAAGGCTGGTGGCTGCATCTGGTTCTGTCTTGACAGCTGGTTCTGGAAAGTGGCTCTCTGGAAAGATCTGAATTGTGTCTTTTTCTGTCTTGACAGCTGGTTCTGGAAAGTGGCTCTCTGGACAGATCTTGAAAGTGTCTGGTTATTGGTTATGACCAATAAGATGTGAGAGAAAGTTGTTTTTTCACAAGTCATATCAATCTTGTTCCATGTTACGAATTTGAAGGGGAATTCCATAAGCTTTTCAAAATGTCTGCATAATTAAATCATTGAGATGTAAACAAAGTCATTCACACTGAAATGTGAAATGTGAGATGTGAAACGATGCATCTTAGAAAAACTTACAGACCGGTTTCTTTACAGTGGCGGTGATAGGAACCAGGGATTGAAATCTCTACAATGCAAATATAGCAATTTTATTTACTATTCAATATGACCAGTTAACAGACACATGTCCTCTGAGTTTTTACATGCAATGTTGATGATGATAAAATTGTGATAAATCTGAAAATGTCAGTCCTTTTTGGGGTCTGTTTGGCCTTACAAAGCCCTGCATGTATCCCTCCACCTTGAATAGATTTTGAACAACAGCCTAAGTTTTAGACCAAACATAGAGCTCAAAACTATAATAAAACAATGTCTCAGGGATCAGGCAGCACAATCATAACCATTTTGAGTAATAACTTTGGGACCAGCTTTTAGAGGCATTAAAATGTTCTGACTGGTTCCCATCAACACCACTGTGAGCAAATCTGAATGGCACGTTGCACATCAAACTACTCTGAATGTCAACAATTATGCAGAAAATCTGGGGGAAAACATTGCAATTTCCCTTGAAGGGGTACATTTTAGCCCTCCTTCTTTTTAAAATGTGATTTTTTTTTAGTTATCACCCCTTTTACAGCAATGATCCGTGTCAAATACTTTTCATAGTAAACTGATGAACCACACTAAGAACCCCGGCCGGTCAGCAATCCTCCAGACCAAAACCATAGCTGAGTCACTGACTCTTGATTTCACTTAAACATTATGTACAATGAAATGTTCAACGTGCAAACACAGAGCTGAGTTTCACTAGCTCTTGCTGCATTTGTTAGCCAGTTAGCCGTTAACTCGACCTTTTTCTCAAGAGACCGAATCCGATTGGTCGTCTCTCGACAGACCCGGGCGATCGTTTTATGTAAAAGAAGTAGCCAGATACACGGCTTAGCCAGACAGACAGCTACACTACACAATCCCACTTCCCACGTCTCAAGCAGCGTAGAGAACAGACCTACCCTTTTTGTGCACTGCCTTCCTTGTTGTTCCGTGGCAAAATTATAATACTAATGAGCGGCCTGAACAAAAACGTGGAAATCGCGTTGTTGAGTCCAGCTCACATGGCAATACAGACCAGTGAAAACACGACACCGGAGGAGCTGGATTTGGATCAGACCCCACCCCCTGGACTTTTGTTTCTTTGTGTGTTTTGTAATTTCCCGTTGGCTCTAAATTGTTGCCTGGTACTAACACCGAAGCTTACTTAAACAGATTACTCGGTTACAGTCACACCTGCAGCTCATTGTTTCATCTGGGTATTGCGACCAACTTTACTGATTTAATTATTTTGAAATACCCGTTTAGTAAACCGAACTGTGTGAAATATGACAATAATGAACACTGAATTGGTCTGATAAAGACCGTATAATTGTAGACAATGTCTGAACAAAACACTTATTTGCATAGTGTTGCTATGTGAAACTCGTTTATAAGCGTTACTAATTATTCAGCTATTTAGAAGACGGCACAGTGAAATCCTGTAGTTTCTCTGTTTCATACTTTCCCTCCGTCTCTAAGATCCCTGGTGGTCTAGTGGTTAGGATTCGGCGCTCTCACCGCCGCGGCCCGGGTTCGATTCCCGGTCAGGGAACGTGATGTTTTTGGTCCCAAATCTAACGGGTGGTCTTGCATCATTGCATGTTGTGCCAAACCAGAATAGCTGTCTCTAGTAGTTCATTGATCGCTGCCATTATGTATTCCATACAATTAGTAGTTGAACCAAAATTCTACAGGTACACGTTTTTCCTTCTTGCTCCAAAAGTAGTGTGTAGTTTCTGCTGCTGTGCTGGCATAGTGCTATTTACAAATCAATAAACGTGTGGGAACAAAATTCAGGCTTCAAGTCACAGTGGTTGCTATTATTATTTGTAGATATACAACCGAGTTATCCTATCTTGTCCCGTCTTGGAAGGTGGGCGCATTTGTCTCGTTCAGGTCCGTTCTGACTTACAGCCCGGCTAGCTCAGTCGGTAGAGCATGAGACTCTTAATCTCAGGGTCGTGGGTTCGAGCCCCACGTTGGGCGAATAGGATATTTTCTTGAGTGGTCCTTAGATTAGACGGATCACTACTACAAATTGTAGCGTGCGTAATTTCTCAGTTATAATGTTGAGGGTAGGTAGGCAGTCTGACTAGCCCAGTACTGCCTGAGCAGAACATTAATATTTGGCACTAATGCGTCCTGAATATGCTACAAATGTAGATGGCAATATCAGACAACACAATTAAGTATTCTTTGTTTGTTTGTTTGAACATATACTGTATTTATCATATTGTGTTAGATAAATGTATATGAATAGTGTTTGTCAAAGAAAGCAGGGAGCTCCCGCCTTATCCTCAGTTGCTTCAGGCTAATGAGTCTTTTATAAGTCTAATACTGTTACACATAAGCTAACTAGCTAAGGACTAAAAGGGCTACATGATAAGATATAGCCTACTGTTTTTTTTCTTTATGTGGCATAAGTGATTCGGTAATGGGATTAAAGCGCTAGATACACTAAAACTGTGAACTATTTGCTAAAACGTAGACAAGCTGAAGTTACCTTGTATGCTAAGTTTTATATGACACATACTTTTGTATAAGAAAAACTCTCGCCCGAACAGGGACTTGAACCCTGGACCCTCAGATTAAAAGTCTGATGCTCTACCGACTGAGCTATCCGGGCTCTGGCAAACCTCACAGAAGGGCTACTTTAGAGGAAATGACACGAAGACCGCGTGTTACATTCGACGGGTTCAGTGTTTAGGTGTTGTGTATGCACACGCACGCACGCACACACACACGCACACATCATTATCCTTCTGGGTCGCGGGGCGTGCTGGAACATATCCCAGCTGTCGTTCTGTGAAGGGCAGAATACACCCTGGACAGGTCGCAAGTCCATCGCAGGGCATCAATTAAACACTCCCTTCATTATAAATGTAATGAAATCCCATGTAGATTTTTGCAATAATCCATGTTCACTTTTAAAAGCCAGTTGTAAGACGTAACTTTTCTAGAAGCCATGAGATCTCGATCTTCAGACACAGTGAAGTTGTATTGAGAGATATTCAGACCCTGAGCGGGACGTATAGTCAAACTGTGTCACCACTGCTTGTGTAAATTCAATTTATGCCTCTAACTTAACTATCCCAGAGGATATATTCCCCTTTGAATCTTGCCTTCTCAACGTCCCTTACTCATGCCATTTTATTTTTTTTATTCTGTTTTATGTTGGTTACTTCGCTCTCAACACAGACTAAAGCATAACGCAGGAAGGAAATAAGGTTCAAATATGTTATTGTTACGTCCGGTTTACATGTGTGTCTGAATTCAGTGCTATTGTAACCGATAAATAAAGAAAAAAGTGGTGTTGAGGCCCCAGCGAGATTTGAACTCGCGACCCCTGGTTTACAAGACCAGTGCTCTAACCCCTGAGCTATGGAGCCCTACGGACAGCCGGAGCGCACAATAGTGTTTTTATCCATACACGCTTCTACACTTTCTTTCTCGCCTGCTAACATTTTAAAAAATACAATAAAAAATTATTGTGATGAGTAAGATCGTTCTACACTAATAAGACATTTTGGGCTAAATGACATACAACTGGGTTTGTCTTTAACACTACCGCCTATACGGTAAAACAGGCACTTTTGTAAGGCACTTGCGCCATCTAATGGAATAAAATTTCGCTTGCATCAGATTTACAGCTGCTTTTCTTTGAATTCTCTGGGCCTGTCCTAAAAGATGCCCTACGCCCTACGGTCCTAGTTTTTTGTGCTAGGTTTAAATAAGTTAATTTGGGACAGACTTGTGCGTCACACAGGCCATACAGGTATCTACTACATCCAGAAAAATCATCTACCGTGGCTCTACATAGACACGCATAATGCAACTCAATTACAATGTCAATTAATAAACAAATGCATTTTAGCTCACATCTTCTGCACCATGTTGGTCAGACAGCTGTTAACAAATCCCTCCTCTTTTGACTGGTCCTCATATGTATCTTCACAAAGGAATTTTGGGTAAAAGGCCACATACATGCGGTCCTAACCGAAGGCCCCACTAAGGGCACATAAACTGTGCTTGTGAGTAACCCTTTGAACACCAGAATGAGAAATGAGACACTCCTGCTCTTCAGGCGTCCATGCACGAAGGAGGACTGAAGGACTGCAAGTGTACCAACAGGGTTTACACCTCTACCGACTGCTCATTTGTGCATGCATTATTGCAGCTTGGGAGAATAACTGTTTCCAACAGGAGGCACTTATATGTTCCAAGCAATTTTAGGCTAAATGCTTTTACAAATTCTTGGATAAATCTTGAATTGTTAGATGTGAACTGATGGTATCTTACTGTAGGCTATTTTTGGAAACTACAGCACTAAATAGCAGGCTAAGCCCAAATGGTGCATAAACAATTGCATACCAAAACATTAGCCTAGGTTATTTTAGTGTATTGGCATATTCAGGTTGAGATACTCAGTGTCTTTTTAAAGGATGTGACTATTTAAATAGTGGCCTGTTCAAAGTTATGTACAGCATGTTGCGAATCTGTGATATTACACAAACATTTTTAGGGCAGGCATTGACATAGCATCAATTAATTGTTTCAAAGTTAAAAGAAATTATCTGCCTGAGATCTGTTAAATGACTGACAACTGCTAAGACCAAGTCCCTTTTTTAGTGCAAAGGAAAGCGCTTAGTGCAAAGTTTAACAGTGTTTAGCTTTGTGTAAAATGTTGTCTCTATCAATTACAGCACATCACTGTAGCCCTCACAAGACAATTAACTCAAACTACAACCCCATTGCCAAATAATTTGGGACGCTGTGAAAAATGTAAATAAAAGCAAAATGCAATGATGTGCAAATCATTTAAACCCTATATTTCTTCAAAATTGCTTCAAAGACAACATATCAAATGTTGAAACTGAGAAATGTTATTGTTCTTTGAAAGATATATGCCCATTTTAAATTTGATGCCAACAACACGTTCCAAAAAAGCAACAAAAGGCTGGTAAAGTTGTGTAATGCTAAAAAAAACACCTGGTGGTTATTTGGCAACAGGTCAATAACATGATTGGGTATAAAATGAGCATTCCAGAAAAGATTAAGTCTTCCAGAAGTAAAGATGAGGAGGGGTTCACCACTGTGAAAGACTGCACAGTCAAATAGTGCAATAATTCAAAAATAACGTTTCTCAACATAAAATAGAAAAGAGCTTTTGCATTCCATCATCTACGGTACATAATAACATTAAAAGATTCAGAGAATCTGGACAAATCTCTGTATGCAAGGGACAAAGCCAAAAAACAGTATTTGCTGGCCATGATCTTTGGTGCATTAAAAACAGACATGATTCTTTAGTGGAAATCACTGCATGAGCAGTGAAACACTTCTGAAAAACATTGTCTGTGAAAACAGTTCGTTGCTGCATCCACAAATGCTAATTAAAACTCTTAAACGGAAAGAAGAAACCATATATGAACAGGATCCAGGAATGCTGCCATCTTCTCTGGGCCCGAGCTCACTTAAAATGGACTGAAAGAAAATGGAGAAGTGTCCTGTGGTCCGATGAATCAACATTTAAATTCTTTTTGGAAATCATGACCACTCAGCTTGTTATCAGTGCACAATTCAAAAGTCAGTATTCATGATGGTAAAGGGGCACATTAGTACACACAGCATGGGAGACGTGCACATCTATGAAGGCACCATTAATGCTGAACGATATATACGTTTTGGCAACATATGCTGCCATCCAGACGACATCTTTTTCAGAGAAGGCCTTGATTATTTCAGCAAGACAATGACAAACCACATTCTGCATGTATTACAACAGCATGGCTCTGTATTAAAAGAGTCTGGGTGCTAAACTGGTCTGCCAGACCTTTGCACATTATAAAATGAAAAATACGACAAAGGAGACCCCGAACTGATGAGCAGCTGAAATCCTATGTTAAGCAAGAATGGGAAAACATTTCACTTTCAACACTACAGCAATTGGGCTCCTCAGTTCCCAAACGCTTACAGAGTGTTGTTAAAAGAAGCGATGATGAAACACAGTGGTAAACATGCCCCCATCCCAGCTTTTTTGGAACATGTTGTTGGCATCAAATTCAAAATAGGCATATATTTTTCAAAAAACAATAAAATTCCTCAGTTTCAACATTTGATTCTTTGTCTTTGTACTATTTTCAGTGAAATATAGGGTTTAAATGATTTGCATATCATTGAATTTTGTTTTTATTTATATTTTGCACAGCGTCCCAACTTTTTTGGTAAAGGGGTTGCATTTAAGGTGTTGCACAAACCTGACCTTTTTTAGTTTCAATAACTTTAACATCATTAATTTGTTTATCCCTTTAGTGTCCTCACCCAGACAAAAGCAAAGGAATTTTATTTTTTGTATTTTTTATTTGTTTGGGGCAATAATAAAAACAATCAGTGTTTTTTTTTTTTTCGTTTTTTGACCCCACAGTTTTTAAAATATTCACATCTACTAAACGGTCAAGATGGCACTTTGTGGCATATATAGTGACTCAAATGTGCTCTACCAAATGGTTGAGCAGAACATTAAAGGGTTATTTTCACAATATTGACATAATTGCAATGAGTACAAACTATATTGTCTCTTTGAAAACATATCTGAAGAAAAAATAGAACTAATATACAGTAATTAACTAGCTTGCTAGGAATTCTGGGTGACTCTGCCCCATACGCTCTCATTACATGTCTTTTTTAAGTTTGTTCTTCTCATAAAAATAAATACATTTAATTTTTCAACCAGACAGTTCAAACAAATGTGCAGGTTCCCAACCCATGCCCTGCACTTTTTATTGTTTTCTGGTCCTAAAACACACCCACTTCAAATCATAAAGGTCTTGTTAAGGAGTTGATTAATTGGATCAGGTGTGTTGGGAGCAGGGGGGCACTAAAATGTGCAGGCTGGGGTACCCCATGACTAAGGTTGGGAACCACTGAATTATTGAATTGATACTATTATCACAATCAATACTATCGATAGAGCCTGTTTCCCAGAGATATGTATCACAATTTCAGACAAAATATGTAAGAGGTAGGCCTGCAGCTTTGATTTTTTTTTCATAAGAATCATATTTTTTTTTCATTTGTACACTATAGATTTTTGCATAAAGTGAATAAAATCACTCAAAAATCATCTATGGATGAAAATATGTCAGTAATGAAATTCACGAAATGCTGTTGATCTTTCAGCTGAGCCGACTCTTTGTACCAAGCTGAACCGACACCAATCGTTCAAGAAGCCGTTCAAAAAGATGAAGGATCTCTACGAGCCCATCACTTTGAAGCTGATGAGAATACAGCAACCGCAAGAAGCTAAACACGTTTGACTTCGTTAAAATGACTAACAATTTTCTAAACTGCTTTTAGTAAAGAACACCGGACCTTTTGTCATCCTACAAGATATGACGTCAGGTTGAGGGGCAGAAAGCTAGGGTGTAATTTTCATGGAAAATAAGGTGGATAGGTCCCGCTCCTGGGACTGAAACAGCAACCTGCTGGATTTCGCGTCGCAGAGTGAGTAAAACTGAGAACTTTATCAGTCAACATGATCGTTTATTGTCTACAGTTTACAACACTTAGTTCTGTCCTTGTAGATCACTTGTTTTGCTTTAATGGGCGAAAAAGCAAATGAAACTTCAATTTGAATTTAGTTAGCCTATTGGAGTGTTCAGTATCTCTGTTTAGCTCAGTCCAACGACTGTGGCTAAACTCGAGAAGCAGGATGTCTCATTCAGCAGTTTGGTTTCTTGTAGAAAATAACAGACCAACCAAACCTGTTTGTCGTGTATATATGTGTGTGTGTGTGTGTGTGTGTGTGTGTGTGAGAGAGAGAGGGAGAGAGGGAGAGAGAGAGAGAGAGAGATAGAGAGAGAGAGAGAGAGTGAGAGTGGGTGAGTGAATGAGTGAGTGGATATGGGAGTAACAGAATGAGAGCTCAGCCCAGGTTTATGTAAAGCCGCTCCTGTCAGTTGTTCTGTAGTCTGTAATCTACGCTCCGCTCCAGTAACTGAAAGGCGTTTGGACTCGTGTTTTCCAGCAGTCCCCGCTGCTGTGAACAGCGCCACGCTGTAAGCTGTGAGCTCCGTGTCACACAGCGCTCTTCACTAACCGGAGCGAGCGTCTCGGCTGTGACAGAGGCAGAGAAAAGCCTAAACTGTGTGGATGCGAAAGAGGAGGTGAACACGAATGAGACGGATAAATGGTTCGCCTGTGGTTTCGTTTAATCGGCTTCTGACCCCCGAAAGGAGCTGCGCTGTGTCCAGCCATGGAAGTGGGACGGAGATTTCTGACCAGATGCTGCTCTCTCTTGCCTTAGCTTCCCCAAAGCTGACTAAATGTGAGTGAACGAATGAGGGGGTTTGTTCGACATTATTTAGCGTTATGTTAAACCATAACCGGAGGGTTTTAGATGCTGTGCAGTGGCAGTGACGCTGCCCGTGTTTGTCCGCCACCCATTTCTGTAGCTGCAGTTGCTGAGAGCGTAGCAGTGAGGCTGTATCTGAAAGCCGTGTGTCTGTGTTTTTTTAGGGACACGATGCTACTCGCCTCCGCCGCGGTGGTGTGGGAATGGCTGAACGAGCACGGGCGCTGGCGGCCCTACAGCCCGGCCGTGTCTCATCACATCGAGGCGGTGATACGAAGCGATCCTCGGGGCGGCAGCGTCGTACTAGGCCAAGTCGACAACCGCCTCTCGCCCTATATCATTGACTTGCACTCAATGCACCAGTTCAGACAGGACACAGGTAAGATGACCGTCTTTAAATTGCATGTCCGCACTATTCAGGGTTATGTACGATAGCTGGAAACACACCCCATCTTGGAAAATGTCAGCAAAATGTATTTTTTGGCAGTGCTGCTAGCACGGAAAGCTCCCTTTGTCATTAGCTGTTACTGTGTTGCAACAGTTCGGTTAAGTTGTCGTTCACACCCTTTCCAGTAAACTGTGACAGCCACGCTGAGCTGACAGTCAGTGGTGCCTCGCACAAGTTGGAGAGGACTTGCAGTGATAGCTCACTGGTTTGTCATTTGTCACTGGTTTGAAGTGAGTAGGGGGGGCAAAGTGATACCACAAAACAGCTGGAAAGCAGGCTTTTGCCTGGCCACATTCCTTTTATATTAGAACCAGTGATACCCATGCAGCTGTTGTGTTGTATGGAAATGTTATGGGAATGACACACAAAGAGGAGAAAGGGATGAGAGAGGACAGAGCTGAACTAGAGACAGTATTTCAAAACATATATAAGGAGACAGTCTTCCTTAGAAGCCTGATCACCAAAGGTACCCTTTTAAACCTCATTCTTTTCTTGTGACAGATGATCTCATGGGAGTTTTGTCCTGGGTTGGGATTTCGTGGAGGGAAAGGCAGGCAGGCATGCAGGCAGGCAGATAGACAGAGAAAGGGCGCTCTATCCAGGCTTAGATAGAGGTGGGGGTGGGGACTAAGAATATCTGCGAGTGAGGGGGACTCCAGTGTTTGGGAAAGGCACCCTCACCCACCCTCTTTGTTGAATTGGAGGAACAGATGTGAGTGGAGTCGAGAGCGTGGGACAGAATTCTCAGAGCAAGTAGGAGCAGAGAATTCACCAAGACGGAATGATTAGGCACAGTGTGCTTTCTAATTATGTGATCAGAGGACAAGGCTTTCTAAAGACAAAGAGAGAGGTACAACCTTTCCTGGTGAAAGGAAAAATAATAATAGTATGTCCCTGAGCATTACTAATTGAACACCATTGTGCTTGATTGCTGAAGTGACCCAACCTAGAGACCGAAGACACTTTTCCGCTTATTAAGTCTTTAAGGTGTCACAGGGTAGTCTATGTAGGAAATAATAATCTATAATGGCTTTGCTATTATTGCAGTCAGTATCCACAAAGGCCCTCTATTGTTAACATTTTTTAGGCATCAGAGAGGCTCTGCTGTTTTTTTTTGTAAAGCAATAGTAATAATCTGTAATTTGCTAACTGTTGGTACAGTATCCACAAAGAACATGATGTCTTAGCAACAAAAAAAATCTCTTTCTCTCTCTCCTCCCCCCTTCTCTCTCACTCTTATTCTCGTTCTCCAAGTTTCATGAATGCTCTGATGTGAGGTGTACTCAGATTACAGTGAAATCTTGCCTAACTTTGTGGTCTCTGTGAGGTAAATGTATTTCCTCTTCTCTGCCAGTCATCGGTGATAGTAAGCATTTCAACTAGTCATACTACCGTTTTGTCACAGAGAATTGAGTGCATTATTGTAAAGGTGTCAGTAATGCTCAAAAGCAGTAACTCACACTCAGTTTATCTTAATTTGCTACAGAATCATTAAGTGTCCCTATTTTTCTCTCAGGAGTAATCAGGTTAGAAAAGTAATTATAAGATTTTCCACAGAAAAGTCTAACAAAACTCACATGCTCCAGTCATTCTGAAACTGAAACTTTCTGATTAAGACTGAATTTCTTGTGAGGAGGATGTTTTTTGTGTGTGTGGAGTCAGTGAGATCTGACAGAAGAAACATAGTCTGGCTCAGTATTTGGCAGAGAGGTTAAAGACAGTCAGCTGTGGAATAACCCCCCATTCTGTCCAGCTGGTCCAACCTAGCAAGAGTCATTCCAAATGTCCACAAAACCTAAGAACAGACACACACACACACACACACACACACACACACACACACACACAAATCAAACGCTGAAGTTCCAAGAAAGTGTCTCAAGCAAGCAGGGCCCAGGGAGACCGACCACTTCCAAGTTGAAAAATGCTGCACAAAAGGCAAAGGGGGGGCGGGGGCTGCTATGTGCTCTGCAGGCGCTGAGGGAGAGAGGGGTTAGCGAAATAATGCAGAGAGAAAGACTGAGAAGGAAAACAGAGAGGAGCGGCTGTAAGTTTGTCCGTACGATTGCGCAACTGACTGTATAGAGTTTCAACAGCCCCAGGCCCCTGGGTGCCGTCACTCACCCCATGTTTTCCAGTGAAGGCTAGAGATTAATCATGCGCGCACACAGACATATCCATCCATGCATGTGTGCGTGCGCATGCATACACAAGGCTGCATTGTTTTGGTCTGCCTAATGACTCTCATGTGATTATGCTGTGGAGTGGAGAGAGAAGGTTTAGTTTTTTTTGTTGTTTTTTTTAATTATTTACTGAACTGTCCACCCCCTCTTTTCTGCAGAAGAAGCCTTAGTGTCATGTTTCCGTATGTGTACAGGTCATTGTTTGATCGAAAAGGGAAATGAAAAAATAAATAATGCGCATAGGAGAAGTAAAAGTGATGGGTGGGGGGCTTCAAAGGCAAGATTTGTGTTAATTTAAGAGCAAAAAGATAAGGCCTGTGAACAACATACACATTGAACTGATCTGTTTCGTAATTTTGTGTTTGAACATTACGACAAAAATGGTTATGACATCAACCAAATTGACCACGTGTGGAACAGTGTGTTTGCCATCTTCCAAAAGTTCTGTTTTAAAATGTTAAAACAAAGGTAGGTTGGAGCTTTAAGTCGCAACGCATTTGTAATTCAGATTAGTTTTTATGGTACGTTGAGCATATTGGTTATATATATAATTACTACATAATGCCATAGTCCACCCCCCGCCTTATGATTCTTTGCTTTTTTCACTTTTGAATTACTTCCTAAATCATTAAAGAGGAATTTCACCAGATTTTCGAAAATGTCAGCATAAATTTCTTGTTGAGAAGTAAATAAAGTCACACAGAATATTCAAAAAGAAAAATAGTCCTTTCTAGTCCATTTTGGTGACCAGTTCTACAATGTGAGTGATAGGAACTGGTGGTTGTAACATCTACAACATAAATAAGGTTCTTACAGATATATGTAAAAGTTTGTGCACCCCTGGCCAAATTACATATTTTGTTGATTCATGAAGTGGAAGGAAGTAAACATGACCTCACAGCAAACTGTTAAAAAGCACACAGCAAACTCTTGTCAGCTGTACTTTCCCATGACTGAGCCCAAGTGTTAGCACAAGTGAGAGAAGTCAGAGGATTAATTACACTCTGGAATTGTCATCAGCTGAAAGTTCCTAATGACAGTTCTTGACCTGCCTAACCAGTCCTTATGAGTCATTTATACATTAAGTTTCGAGGCTTTGCACATGCCGCAGTGACTATTTTCTTTCTGTTTTTTAAGTTAATTAAGTATAAAGTAACTGCACATAACATTCGCAGATAGAAAAAAATATTGTTTGTGATAGTTTACTGTGGAGATTGTGACTTCTTTTCATTAAAAAAAGTCAACAGGAGGGATTTTTATTTTTTTTTTTTCGATTTTCATTTTTCTACATCCTTTGAGCACAGCGTCTGCCCTTTACAATGCATGGAATATGCTCTCTTTACATAAACTTACATTACAACTAAATGAAATTTTTGCCCTCTGTAAAATTGCCATTTTTTGACAGCTACGATATGTACTGTTAATAATGCAGAAGTGTTGTTAGTTATTAACAATATTACTTTGAGTACTACTTTCACTGACAAATTCTTGTGTGTACTTTACTAATCAGAATATACTTCTTTATAAAAAAATACACCTTAGGCAAAAATGCACCGTATTGTAAAGGTAATGTAAAACAGTCTTGAAAGGCATCAGGCAGTGTATTTGTAATCAATTTGTGTTATAATTTTCTGTGAGGCAGCTTTTAGAGGTTCTGGACGCAAGGTTCTTTTTACTGCTATTCTGCACACTTCTGAGTCAGTGAATTTCTCTAGAATAATGGCCCTATGCATTTTTTACAAAAACTGTCTGCATGACAAGCAACCAATGCTGAAATTTTTGAAAAAATCATTGCAGTTCCCCTTAGTGCAGGAAAAAGAAGGAAAAGTAAGGTCCATTTACCCTCAATCAGATTATTTTTCTAGTATGCCTTGTCTCCCCTGTCCACTGCCTGGTTGGTGATATTTGCCACATCTTAGTCATAGAACTCATTCAAAGCTGAAGCAAAAATGGAGGAAAAGTCAGCTTTTAGTTTGTAATCCATACTTCACTAGGCTGAGGCCTGTTTCTTTAGTGATAAATAAAATGAAATAGGATGAAATAATCAAAATAATCTAAAAGCTACCTGAGTTTTCTTTCTGTGTTGAAAGCTTTATTATCAACATTTTTATCACTATGTTGTAGAAGAAACAAACAGATCCTGCCCATGTTTTAGCAGATTTCTCATTTGCGGGAAGAAAGGAACCAAACTTGTCAGCTGTGTGGTGGAAATGTAGCGCTTAAGAGTTGAGAGCAGTTTTAAGCAGTTTGGTCAGGGATGCTGTCTTTTCTGCACATTCTCCTCCAGCATGTAACAGTTTCCAAAGCCATTAAACTTTAATTGCAATTCACAAAATTTACTGCTTGAATAACAATAACAATAGAGGAGGGGTCCACAGTCAGTGTGAGGGAGGATGAGATCTGGGTTGGGGGAGCAGGGGGTCGTAGAAGCAAGGCGTTCTTAACAATTGAACAGATGGACAGTCTCTGTACACCTGCTTTAAGACTTTGTCTCTCCTCAGAGGTCCTGGGATCTTGAACCTAATGTCACACACTGTGATGTACTGTGACACTGACCGTCGCCACACACACATGCTGACACAAACTTGCATATATGGATGCATTTCCACACGTTAGTACTGTGGATAAATTGATTGGCATGTGAAAGTGGACATGACCATCTGTTGATGTGGCTGCAATATGAAAAGGAGGAATTAGTACTGAAAAATGTTTCTGTGTTGGACTGGGAAAAGAACATCAGGCAGTTTTCAGTATGTTGTGTTTGGTGCCATTAGTCACTCACTACAACTCACTGTATTAGTGTAGACATTGTGCAATTTTGTGCATGAGCATGTAGTATGTGTTCTGTATTAAATAATGGGAAATATGTTTGAGGAATGGAACAGTAACACTGAAGTGTAATTTTAGCTGCTTAGTTGTATATGTACAGTTTGTTAAATGGAAAATGTAGGGTTGGAGACTATTCTGATAAAACACCAAAGAGGTTGTCCATGCACGCCTGTTGTGTTTTTGCAGTTCTTTGGATTTCTTTTATTTTAATTGTTTATTTTGATCAAAGATGACAATTAAGTATTCAATGTGTTTAGCCTAATTTAAATTTAAACCAAACATAAATTGTTTATATTCCAATTTTGCATTTTAAAACCTAAACTGTAAAGTGTAGAGGGACAGTTTCCAAGACAGGGTTAAGCCTTGTTCTGGACTACACACCATTTTGAATGGAGATTCCCCGCTGAAAGGAAAATGTAGTCCATTACCAAGCTTAATCCCTGCCTGGGAACCCTCCCCCAAATTACTAGTATAATTTATCATTTTAGTGAATAAAACCTAAACTGCAATTACATTGTAATAATTAAACTCAAAGGTAATTATTACCCACTTTTCAGGAAAAGTGTCAATCACAACACCATCCTTTTCAACTCATGGATACACAGACTTAAAAAACGGCGAAATTTTATTAAATATGCATTTACTGTGTATTGCATTTAATTTAAAATTTGGAAAATCAAGTTACATTTACATTTTTGTCTGCTTTTTGTGTATCTTGGCAAACAGGTTGATGTTTACAAAACATTGTAGCTGACTTTATCATTTTTTTTATGAATGTAAATGATCAGTTTATTGGAGTTCCTTGTAAATTGTAATGAAACTGTCAGGAGTAGGATGTCAAACAAATGAAAAACCGCCACATTGCATCCTGGCTTTTGTGCAAGAGCAATACTTGCACACAGGTGTAAAAGCTCTGTTTACCCTCACAACTACTTGCTGTTGAAGGCCTTTGGACCACACCTCTTCCTACCTTCTGTTTAATCACTCTTAAAACGCACCCTCTCCCCAGTGGCACTGACTCATGTGGAGCAAGAGAAAAGTCACTTAATGGCCAAGGGAATACTCTGCCATTCTTGCTTTAATGAAAGAAAACGAGATTATCCCCTTACAGAGGGAAGAATGTGAACTTTGGTACGAAAGGGCTAGGAGGAAGTGACTATATTCTAAGCTCGAAGGTGAAGGGATGAACTTGGAAATGTTTGGAAATTTAGCACCAAGAAAAAGTATCACATTGAAGAAAGTCCTCTGCTTTTGTTTGTCAACATTTTGCTACATTCAGAAACTTAATCTTCAGGAACAAAAAATGTTCACTGAGAATGAAGTCTCCTCTTTCACTCTCTTGTCCCCCAGGTCACAGTAATATCCACTGTTAGCTTTGGCATGTATCACCATTCACTGTCAGCACAAAGCAAATGTTGACCCTCTTAGGCCTTTCTCCCATGCTTGTATGTCCCTCCACCCACTGCCAGGAGTCTGCGAATGTGTCCTTTTCCTCACTGCCTGGGTTTTGGCTGAATATCCATGGCATACACTACTTGTATTTAGTGGATGAGATTTGATTGGGTGCTGCTTTACCCCTCACTGCAGGACTCAACAGGGTCTCATAGGGGAAAAGTATCATATTTAATTCTGTTCAGGTGAATTGGTGTAAATTATAAATATTCATCAAGCAGCACACTGTGTGTTCATTGCGTCTAGAGTAGGCTATGTTGTTGAAAATCAGAATTACATTGTGTATGCTGCAATGTCAATACTCCCACAGTGTTGTCTGTTGAATAGCAACTAAAACAGAGCTTATTGTATGCTCATATACAAAGACGTATGTGTTTGATCTATTGCGTATGCTCATGTACAAACAAGCATTGACTTTCTGTACCGCTGTGGACAAAAGCCTGCTCATTTTTATTTTTTTCTTGGAATGGATGAACTACTATCAAACTACTGTCAAACTAATGATCTAATGTTTTAATCATTTGTTGATTATTCCATAGCTACTTCTTGTGTTTATTCAGTTAACTGTGGATATGTGCTAGGGCTGGGAGGCACAGACTTAAATTTTAAACAATGGCATAGTTTCAAACTTAGATGACATCAGTGTGTGGTATGCTTGTTTTTCTTTTACAAAAAAAGACTTCTTCTTGCAGACCACCCAGAATGGCAGTTTGACATTATAAAATGTCTTCTGTAATTTGGAATATCAGTTTATACATACATATCAGACAGTAGACGTTTTAAACAGAAACTGTACAGAAGTCCTTAAATTAGTATTTTAATTAATAATGAATTCACAGAAGATGTTGTATGCAATGTAGATCTATTAGATTCACAAATTGAGCGTGCCCCTTTCACTTTTAAGAAATGTAAAGTGAACTTGGAATTTTTGTTTTAAAGAAAAAAATTTGTCTTAAGCTGTTTTATAAAAGCTACTCTGAAGTTCTGTATACAAGTAACACATTTTATACAGTTTAACAGCTACCTAGCTAGCTGGGCGAGATATCATGTATGAGGCCTATTATGCATGAAGTCAAAATAAATTTCCTTTTGCTGTTAAACTTGTCACTGCAGGGCATTGCGATTAATTAGAACTCTCTTATAGGTATATAGTCTAATCTCACTGTGTCTTTCCACAGGTACATTAAGGCCAGTACGACGGAGTTTCTATGATCCTACTTCAGCACCAGGCCAAGGCTGGCTGTGGGAGTGGGAGAATGATGCGGGTTCTTGGACACCGTACGACATGGAGGTCTGCATCGCCCTGCAAGCGGCGAAGGACCGCCAGCAGCCCTGGTTGGACCTGGCACCACTTGGCTTCTGCTACCTCGTGGACTTCCAGAGCATGACTCAGGTCAACCGACAAACACAGAGACGCCGCCGCATTCAGAGACGCTCAGACATAGCTTACCCACTGGTCTCTGGGCCACTGCCGAAAGCCTCCCAGGCTTGGGGAGCTGGTACTGGAGGGGCAGCTGGTGGAATGCCGTCAGGTGGAGGCTCAACTGGAGGACTTCTGGGTGTAGGAGTGTCTGGTTCTAGCTCAAGTGATAATGGGAGCGCGATTTATCCTAGTGGAACTCTTTCAATGTCGTCTCTTGCCCCTCTTGGACAGCCATGTGCCTGCCAGCAGTGTATGCTTGTCTTAAGTGTGAAAGCAAATGCCTTGGCTTCACACACACTAGGGCGCAGACCTCCTCAAATGAAGCCCCCAAGTCCTAAGTCCAGCCTAGGGACACTTCCCTCCTTGTCTAAGACTTCATCCATGTCTAATTCATATTCACAGACGCTGCCTCATGGGCTGTCCTTTAACCGCTCCCTCTCGCAAGAACGCAAGAACGCTGCTGCCTTTGCTCATTCGCTGTCCATGCTCACCTCGAACACTGCCACCCTTTCGCTGTCCTCTGGTCGTCCACCTCCTCCACCTTTGCCCCCTCCTCCACCTCCTTCAGGATCCAGCCAGCAGCCTTTAACTGTGCCAAACTGCTCCTCAACATCTCCTCCGTCAGTGCCAACTGCAACGCTCATCACTGTGGCATCGAGCACCACATTGTGTTCACCCACACCTTCGCCTTCAGCAACAGTTCCGCCTCAGCGTTCCACGGCATGTGCCGCTCCTCTGCCTCCTCGTGCCAGTCTTGCAGGGCTGAGCCGGCCAGCTCTACAAAGAATCGCCATGGCACAGTCACGTGCGCTCATTGCCTCTGGGTGAGAAGAAACAGCTACTAAAGTCATTACCCTGCACTCTGCTGTCCCTGGTGGATGGGAGGGCCAATGTGTGGTCAGTGGGAAGCTGTAGTTATTAGTGGGCTGATGTACTGACATTGGGTATTGACAGTTTACTCAGCTAATGTCTTAGAAGCCCAAGCCATTTAGTCTTATTGAAATGAGATTAAAGCTGAACGAGTAATCAGTTTTGCTTCAAAATCGCTGTTTGAAAGGGTGCAATTTTCAAACTGAAAGAGCTGTAATTATAGTCATATTATACAATATTTAACATTGTCTTTGAACATTTTAACTTAAAAAAAGGCTTTAACCTAATAACACAGAGCTTGTGAAGTAGCATTCTGAATCACTACATTCAGCGTTCAGGTCTCATTCTGAAAGAGTGCTGGTCTTATAGGGAAAAATACATAAATAAAGGCCTGGGGTATAGTTCTTGGAGAAGAATAACATTTAAACTACAATCACAGTATTGGTAAGAAAAATCCACAAATCATTCAGCCCTACAAAAGATTCTTAACAAATTAGAGCCTAGCGGAAAACAGCATGATATGGTGCCAAGTTTCTTTTGTATCATCTTGTAATTTCTCCAGCATTTCAGAGTATAGCTTTTTTGTTGTTGTGATAATGTAGTAAACCTAAGCAACTTAGGTTTTAAAAAAACAAGTGTGCCTAAATAGGCAGGTGCTTCCTTTCTCAGTTAATTTTAAATAAGAAGAAATATGAAAATTGATTCTCTGTCATTTGGTTAGATTGCTTGAAGGGTTTCAAATCTAGGACATTAGATGAACCATAATGCTGCTTGTGAGCATGTTGTTGTTTTTGATTCTAATACTGTTGGTTTAGGTCTTCTGTCATGTGTTTTTGGTTACAGTTTAGGGAACTGAGATGTTTTCATTGGTTTTGTATGTTGTCCAGATGATTTTGGGAGGATCTATGTTCATTCTTAGTTGTTTAAAAGTGTTTCTGCTGCAAATTTGGGTGTGTATTGCTCAGCACATGTTGCGCATTTGTGAATGTTTGAATGTCTGGGAGTGCGTATAGGCAAGTGTGTATGTGTGTGTGTGTATGTGTGTGTACGTTTATAAAGTGTGTGGGGGCAGTGTGTTTCTCACAGTGCTAAATCATCCAACACAGCTCAGCTTGATGACCATCTGGGGACAGAACTGAGTGCATGAACAGTGGAGGAATGAGATGTGGAGGAATGGTGGAAGAAGAAAGAGAGGGAGCTACAAAAAAAGCAGTGAGACACTGAAAGGAGGAAAGTGGAGGGGGTCAGGGAGGGTCATTACCTCCCTCTGTTTCCCCTCCCTCCTCCTTCTCTGTCTCTCCTTCCCCCTCTTTTCCATCAACTTCCCAGGCTTCACCCCCCACTCTACTGGCCATTGTATGCTCATGCTTGGTTTCTATGGTAACCTTTGTTGGCATGGCAAAGCCTAGTCAGCATTAGCAACACAATGCTGCTTCACTGCAAATGTGTGTGTACGTGTGTATGGTGAGAAGGGACGAAGGGATAGAAAGACAAAAGGGCAGTCATTATACTGTCTGGAGGTATTGGTTTTGGCGAGAATCAGCCACACTACAACTCAAGGAGCAGTGTATGAGTAGCCTTTTACAGATGCTGTTATGGTAGCGTATGACAGACTGGAGGACAACAACAGCCCAAGGATCATTTTTATTAGCTTTTATTTTTTAACTTGAACCTCATGCTGTGTGGGCTAAACGTACATATGAAATGCAAATAGCACATTTCCAGTGCATTTCATTAGCCGTAATATAAATAAAATTATTTGCAGTTTAATTAGACAAACTAGTATTTTAAGTTTGTAAATGAAAAATCAGGAAAAATCTGTAGAATATTTAAATAATGTGAATCAAATTTAGTGCCACATCAAAAATGAGAAGCAACTGGCTGTTTAACACAGTGAGCCATGCATAACGTATGCTACAACATTTTGGTAAAGGTGTAGCAGTGACTTACCTTACTCAACGTTATTTACATTGTACAATTGCAACACAATTCAGCCAAAATATAAATAATAAATTGGCCGATTCCGATCAGAGAATCAGCAGAACAGAGAGCTGGAAATTACGAAGAAAACGAAGATTAGAGTGTTGTGGTTTTTAGAAAATGAAGGGTTAAAGAGATATAAGAACTTGAGAACATGTTTTATTGAAACAGCATGCATAGAACATGCATTGAAAACAAGCATGTCAAAACAAAACAAAGTGCAGAAACAGGACAGACATTCAATTGAGTATGTTTAGAAATCTCAGTTTTCAGAAAAACACACATCCCTCGCTCCTAGTCAGGCACGCAGAAAAGTAAATAATGAGTGTTTAACTGACGGCTGGTGAGAATGTTAAATGTATAGACAAGATTTGTAAAAAATAAATTGTGCTTTCCTTGTAAATGTAGCATGTTCACATATGACAGCAAATTAACAACACCTGCATCAAACTAAAAATTAAAAGTAGGGTGGTGTAACACAATTTAGATGATCAGGATTGCAGTGCTCCACCTGTTGAGGGAGCTGTGTAACTTTAGCTGATGCAGTCATGTTAGAGGATGGTGAAATAGCAGGATGAGCATGACTGTGTTTTCTTTATATGCTACCTTTCTAAATTACCTTTAACTAAATTGTCCTCACACAAAGTTTAATAACACTGAATCTTGATACTCTCTGAACATCAGTCTATAAATGAAAGGCACTGCACTTTCAGATTTTGTTGGATTTTGACCATTACCACAGCCTTCATCAGCTGAAAACACCTATGTAGGAATATAGCTATTAAATTTGTGTAGTCTAACCTGTAATTATATTAATTTGAGTTATTTTGATTTTAATTTCCTTTTCAGAAATTTCCTTTTGCCAGGAAAAATGAGCAACCTACGAATACCTACACTCCTTTCCTGCTTTCTTCACAGTCTGTGAAAGTGACTATATTCATGCTTCTGGTTTAAGTGTCATTTGATTTGATTCAGTCTTTGAGCTAATTTGTAGTTGAAGCATATGGCTTTCTGTAAACTTTGAAAACTTGTGTACGTAGCCAAATCTTTGCAACTGTTTATTTTTTATTACTTACAAAAAGTGAAAATCAAGCTTTACTCAGAAAATGTAAAAAGAATACAAGGTATCCCCCCAAGATTTTGATGTGCAGTGTACCTGTAAATATAAATTGGCCCATAAATATTATTATTATTATTAGTTTTGTTTTATTTAAATAAGTTTTAGAATCTTTAAAAAATTGAAACAAAGAAAATATGTGACAGTTAAAATGAAATATACAAAATTCTGCACTATACAAAGGTCAGTTTTTTTTTTAAAAAAGTTCAGGTGAGATTTAGTTGGATTTGATCTACTGGTCAGAGGCTTTTCCACAAATGTCTGGAGTCCGTGCCAGCTTGAGTGCATGCTGTCATTAAAGCAAAAGGGGGGCATACCAAATACTCAGAAGTTCTGACATTCATGTAAACATTCAAGGACATTCAAAAATTTTCTTTTCAGTCAAATTTTTATGATGATAATCATTTGTAATGGAAGAAAATGGAAAGAAATGCAAAATAGAAGCATTTTCAACTGTGGTCTCAGACATTTGGACCCCACTGTACCTGCTCTATGTTTGACTAGCACTAAATCTAATTGTAGAAGGTAATACGTCAGATTAGGTCAACATTCTCCATCTGCTTCACATAAGGGCTGCTTAGGAAGCACACAGAAATCTTACACTCATTCATCTACTGTTCAATCAGCCATTGTTTTACTCCCATTAGCTTATTACTTCACCTGAAAGTTTACCTGGTCATTCATTAACTCTATCATTATACTCTTCTGTTGCTAACTCTGGCCTTTTTTCCATAGCCCTACTCAAATCACTGGCTAACTTGGTATTATTGCATCTACTCATTACTATCTCTGTCATCACTGTGTGTCTGTTTGTGTATCTGTGTCTCAGTGGGGCAGCCAGCAATTGTGTTAATGCTTCCCAGATTAGTAAGGGATCAAACGTGAGTAAACAGTCTCCAGCGTCTGTCTCACCTCGCACCTGCCTCGTTACTCACACTGCAGTGCATTAGCAGTACACTAATACACTAGGTAATATGAATGATGCGATTACTCTGCCTCCTTCCTTTTTACAACAGCTGACGTAGAAGGAGCACAGTTTCCCTGTAGCAAACACATCACTGCATTAGCTGTTTATTATTACACTGTTATCAGTGATCAGATCACTAAATCCTTCTGGCTCTTATTTTCACAATCAACATAAAGCATGCCTGGAAGGATGGGAAGGACCCAATGCATCTAACCATTTTAGGAATATTTAAGCCAGAAATACTAGTTAATACATGAAACCCAGGAGGCCAGATGAGGTTGTACTAACTGCGTTTTATTCACTGTGGCGGCACTACAAAACTGAGTTGTTGTATCAACAATAACAAGCCATGCATAGCCCTTCAAAGGTTTTAAAATGACTTAAATAAGAAAAACACTAAACAGCAAAAATGCATATAAATGGGTGTGTACATCAGGCTCTGTTCTTTGTAGTAGGGGAATTTTTAATATCGTCAGAGCTGAACAAAGTCTTTTGATGAACAGACCAACAGAAGTAGTCCAAAACTACTTAACAAGATTTTTTTTTTTACAATAGCTTATATTGAAATTTTTTTTTCTCTTGTCCTTCAAAACTAATTTTTCCAAGATGCAAGGTTTTGTTCTGGCAGTGATGATATGCTTCATTATCATGCAGATTTCCAACTAATCATTACTCATTCTTTTAGAATGGCAATTTTAATTGTCACCCTTAGTACCTGTCTGTTTGCATCTTTAATAAAACAATGGGTTTACAAGACCTAATGAGGTCTGTAACCGAGACTGTTTACTGGAAAAAAATCTAGTTTCTCTTCTCCTGTCCAGAATTTTGTCTCTCTTTTTTTTCCCCTCAAGTATGTTAGAAAGCGTCACAAATCAACAGCAAATCTTTGTTAAAAACTTTTCTTTTAAGAATTAAAAGTAATGTAATATCTCAGAGGGTTCTGAAGTACATTTGTGTGATTCTTGTCGAAACTCAAAAAGACTGCTGAGAAGTTCTGAAATTAGTTGGTTTGTAGATTCGGAAGAATTCTGTTTTGTCAAGATATGCTGTTCTTAATTCTCTGTAGATTAACATATGTTCCTGTTGCATCACTTAAATACTGTATATGTGGAAATGTGTGTATTTGTCTGCGTCTATGTAGCTGGAGGCAGGTGTATGTCTGCACAGGCTGTAGTCTCAGGAGCTTGTGACGTGCAGGTAATCTGTTGCAGATGTGACACTTGTGTATTGTGAGGTCAGTCACCAGATGGAAATAGATTAGGTCTATAATGGATTAGGTCTATAAGAGAGCAGGAAGATGATCACAAGGCATTCAGATACTCGTGAGGTAGCCGAGATACTGTCACACTGCCGCATAGATAGTGATCTGCGTACTGGAGAGACTTTCAGAGTCGAGAAATATAATGAGAGAATGCGATTGCTGTGATTCAGACACAGGATAAAGAAGATACTACACAGAATACCTGCTTTGGAGATAAAGTCCTCTTTCTTTTTCCTTCTAAATCTTCCTCTGAGCTAGGAAAAGGAGTTCTGTTTTTTTCTGTATATACAGATTTGTACCAGATTTTTTACCTGGTTTGGACTAAACTGAAATATGACTGTGCTCACTCATATTGAGTAAGTATTTGATTTCAAAAGGATGTGGTGCTGTGGGAACACAGTTTGGAAAACTGTGTAGGACTGCATAGATCTCTGTGTGTAGTTATTTTTGGTGTTGTCATTGTGTGTGTGTGTGTGTGTGTGTGTGTGTGTGTGTGTGATACCATATGGTAGGTTAGCAACACTTTAGCCTTCAATATAAAATGACACATAATGTGGTTCGACATTTGTTTTTCTTTTATTTTTAGAGTACCGACAGTACCTGTAAAGAACCTCAATGGCTCCAGCCCTGTTCATCCAGCTTTAGCAGGTAATAATGAGTACAAACTGATATGATACAAACACAAATACAGAAACAAATATACACATACTATCTCTGTCTCATCTGGCTCATATGTTTACTACTCACCCGTAATAAATCTACAAAGGCCATCAGCTGCTCATTCAAAACCAGTATTGTGTGCCCTCTACATGTGCAAGTTTGTTCTAGTCAGACGTTAATCCTCTGTGCTTTGCAGGAATCACCGGCATTCTAATGAGCGCTGCAGCGCTGCCTGTGTGTTTGACTCGTCCTCCTAAACTGGTGCTGCACCCTCCTCCTGTCAGTAAGAGTGACATCAAACCCATCCCTGGCCTTGGACACTGCTGCCGCAAAACCACCAAAAAACAGGCTCGCAAGGGTGAGATTTGGCACACACATTTGTACCAGGTTATCCAACCAAACTGGTTCCAACGAAAGATAGCCTGTCCTTTGTCTATAATAGCACATTGCAGTCTCATTTATCTTATACACAGAACTGAAGTGATTGTTTGCAAAGCTGTGCAGGCTCAAATTGGCTTTTTTCCATTCTAGGCAAGACTCCTGAAGAAGTAGTGAAGAGGTACTTGCAGAAAGTCAGAAATCCTCCTGAAGAGGTACGTCATTGTTCTTAGCCTTACATCCTCACTGTATTCTTTTGTCACTCGTGGCTGTGAGCTAGAGGGGTGGGGAGTAAGGCCACACAGCTTACAATGTGCCAGACTACTCGCCTGTTAACCCCCAAGAAATAATATTAGCTTATTACATGTACCTGGTAAGACCATGTGACTTAATCCAAAAAAAAAAAGTCAGAAAATTTGTATATTAAAACCATATCATGTTAATTCCATTCAGTTTCTGCTTACATTGTTCCTTGCACTTAAATTATACAGAAGCATTAAATCTATTAAATCTTTTCAATATTAATACAGTGTTTTGACTCATAGTGTGTATATACTATAAGTTGTACAATTAATGTTACCGTTGCTTCCTCTTAGGACTGCACTATCTGTATGGAGGCTCTGACCGGTCCCTCTGGGTATAAAGGCCCAGGCGTGGGTGGTGTGTCGCGTGCAGAGTCAGTGGGTCGACTGGCACAATGTGGCCATCAGTACCATCTGCAGTGCTTGGTTGCTATGTACAACAATGGCAACAAAGACGGCAGCCTACAGTGCCCCACGTGCAAGACCATCTATGGTGTGAAGACGGGCAACCAGCCACCCGGCAAGATGGAGTACCATGTCATCCCCCATTCACTGCCAGGACACCCTGACTGCAAAACCATCCGCATTATTTATAACATACCACCCGGCATACAGGTACAGCCTTGTCATTTAGTGTTTGACGCAAACATACACAAAAGCTGTATTTATGATTTGCCTTCCTCCAGAGCTGAGAGAGGCTTGTGTATACAGTTCTTTTATTTTTTTTATTTTTAAGAGCCCTGAGCACCCGAACCCAGGAAAGCCATTCACTGCAAGAGGATTTCCCCGTCACTGCTATCTTCCAGACAGCGAGAAAGGACGCAAGGTCGGCACTTCACATGTCTCATGGGCACTATCACAGCATTTCTCAGCACCAGTCCTGAAACCTCCTGAGCTGAAAGTTGCTACTGTTGTTGCTCTGATGGTTTTTTGCATCTTGGTCCCTGCAAGCTAGCTGTAGTGATGCATTTCTTCAAAATACTGCATCAACAGTGGCACCAGTACCAACCTTATTAAATGGATCGCATATCAGTCAGGCGTGACCACATTAGATTTTGTTTCCTAGTCATGGTCACGGTCAGTTGTAGCAGTGCAGATTTATAAACCTTTCAGGACACTATATTAATTTAAAAGCTGAATAGTACTAAAATGAATTTTGGTGTATGGATGTCTATTTCCACTATGGCACATTTTGCCTCTATGCATGTGCAATATGACAATGTTTTGTAATATCTTGATTGATTAACTCATAATATACCACAACATGCTTTTCTCAGCATAGCGTGAACATTGTCAATATTTAAAGAACATTAAACAACTGCATGTTTCTTTTAAAAAAAAAAACATAATTAGTCATGTTTATTTGATTTTACTGCAGAATGTGAAAAGTTAAATGAAAACACAGTACTCATAATTTTTTTTGTATTTTTACGTGAGGCACTACTGGTGCATTGTCTAGCCCTAGGCCCTTAACAGAGCACTGTATCAGATCGGCATGATTTGGTGCATATGTTATTTTCACACAAACAGCAACAGCTAATCTAATCCCTAAATTCAGTAATAGTAGATTATGAGCACAGTTAAAAGGTATTTTAATGTATTAAAATGAAAGCCTTCTCATGTCTTGTAGGTGTTGAGGCTTTTGCTGGTAGCTTGGGACAGGCGACTGATTTTCTCAGTGGGCACCTCCAGCACCACTGGCGAGTCAGACACGGTTATCTGGAACGAAGTTCACCACAAGACTGAGTTTGGCTCCAACCTCACGGGCCATGGGTACCCTGACCCTGGCTACTTAGATAATGTGCTGGAAGAGCTGAAAGCCCAAGGCATCACAGAGGAGGATGGACAGCAGCTGTGAGGAGCAGGAGAAAGGAGGCAAAAAGTCCAAACAAAAGGAGAAGGCTGGATGTGTGAGAAATGGACATAGAATGGAGAGAAGAATGACTGGACAAACTTTTTTTGTGTGTTGGTGGTGCTGATTTTGGAAGAGTCGTTTCTGGGGCACGCGTGTGTATGTGTGTGTGTGTGTGTGTGTGTGTGTGTGTTTGTGTGTGTGTGTGTGTGAGAGTGAGAGAGAGAGAGAGAGAGAAGCTGTGAGTGAGTTAGTGACAGCAATGACTTTACATCAGAGGAAAAGAAAGATCAGATCCTAACTTACATGTTGCTGTGTTGTGGGCCCAGTATTTTAGATATATGCATATTAATGCGTACTGTGGTTTATCTAAACCAGGCGTGCCCAGCCCTCCAGCTGAAGTTCTGTTCTTTTTTAGTATCAATCCTAGACTGACACTTCAGGTTCTGATATTCTGATGCTCCTGAAGATCTGGATAAGTTAGAATAGGTGTGTCTGATTAGGGCTGGAATTATACCTGGAAGAGAATTAACTCTTGAATAAATCCCATATCTATTTGCCTATAGATCTCTGTAGTGGTTCTGGGTACTGAATAATAGACTCTGGGGCTTTAGTGCTGTAGCACTAATACCACTGCACTTATAAAGGAAACTGGGCTATAGTTGAAAGGTGGTGATAACTGAAAGATACATGGAATGAAGGAAGAGAAGGTATATTGGCTGAAAGATTAGAAGACTGGGAGGGGGAAGGAATAGAGGCGAGACAAAGAGAAGGAACTAAGAGAAAGAATGAATAAACGAAAGGCCAAAGAAAGTAGTTTTAACCTTATTTGCTGATACATTAGGTAGTTGTCTAGCTGAAGCTGTAATGAAAGACTGTGCCTAGTGTGTGTGTGTGTGTGTTTGTGTGTGTGTGTGTGTGTGTTTGTGTGTGTGTGTGTGTGTGTGTGTGCACGCTTGTAGGAGAAAGTGCAAAAGAGCAAGATCCTTGATGAACCCACTTGTGCCCTCAAATGATTTGTGCTCTTTTCCTCAGAAACATTCCTTTTTATGGCCACTTATGATTGAGAGTTACATAAACAGCATCATGAGTACTTAACTTGCATTATAATTGATATTATCTTGTAATTCCATTCCATGTGTTAGATTTATCTACTCATGTTTTTATTGTATTATTTTTTGTAAAAGTTGTGGATGTGGTATGGCTCAAAGAGCAAATTAGTGAGACTGTTGAAGTACCCCTTCACAGAGTCGTGATCATTTACTAGTTTCTTAGGACAAAGATAACGTTTAGGTTGGAACTGAAAAGCAATTGTTCACAGTTGTTCTTAATTAAAATGTCTTATACAGTCCAGGTTTACACGTATTCCCTGTACACCTAATTTCTCCATATCAAATGTCAGTGCCTCTTTGAGGTTTGACAGGCTGTTATAATTAAAACTTTAAGTCCTTGATTTTCATAGGGGTAGAGTATTGTTTATGGTACAGCATGATCGAGTTAATACATGAATAAGTACTGCTTGCTTTTTTTAAAAGGATCTGGAGGAATAGTGTTCATCCAGTAGAAAGGTTGTAGTGTAAAAAAATGTACGATTGAACAGGTTATGAGGAAGTGGTGGAAGGGGGAGCAACAGCTTGGAATTAAAAAAAGAAAAAAGTTTGGCAAAAATAAAACAAGTCACGTAAAAACTCGATTTGCAGTAATTAAACAGATTTTTGAACAAGTCTGTTGGAAATTTAGCATGAGTGTGGTCTGAGTGTTAGGTCTGTTTGGTTTAAATGGTGACAGTTTCCTTGAAAAATATTGTCCAGTACTTTGTTGTGATGCAAGCTGTGTTGCACTGCCCTCCATGCCTACCCTGTTTCCTGTCCAGTCTCTGTGTTCGGTCAGTAACTGACCTGTTTATGCTCCTCTTTCTGTGACCTAAATTGCGTGCCGGTGTGCAGGCATGTTTGTGTCTCTGTAAGGGTGAAGACATGCATGTGTGAGTCCATGCATCAACTGTATGCATGCATTTGTACTTGGATTACATGTATGAGTGTGTGTGTGTGGCGTTTGCTGGCCTGATTTAAGGTACTGTTCTGTGACTGATCTGCACATTTTTCTTTACTTATTTCAGTTCAAATTCTAGACCATTAGTGCATGTTTTTTCTTTATTTCATCCCATTCCATGTTCATTTTGAGGTAAATGTCTTTGAGATGTCACAGGTTTAGATCATGTTGTACATATTGCACAAGTCATTTCCATGTTTCAGGTTACTACTTTGGTTATAGAGCTCACCTGCTTTGAATTATACAGAAACTGTCTGTATTCTTGTTAGTGTCTTTTCTTTGTGAGAAGGAATCTAAACGTAGACTTTGCTGAATGTCAAGTGTTTTCTGAGCAGTACAACCTCCTTAAACTCGTTCAGAACAAATAGGAAGTGGGATTCACTGCAGTCATGATTGGACATTCATATGTATGAATGGACATTTCCCATTTCCTGAGCTCTTTTATAAAAGTCTATTTTCTGCACTGGAGGAGAACATTTGGTCTACTTCTCTAGCTACAATGTTTGAGATGAATGCAGGATCAAATAACAGTACATGTATATAGTAATGGGATACATGTAAATAACGTACTACAATACCGAGGTATGTTATTGATGAAAAATAAAGAATGAGTGATAGTTATCTGATTTATTTCATGACAACTTTTGTAGTAAAAATTTTGTCAGACTACGGACTACAGGCAGCACAAACAAATATCTGACTATAGAGACTTCATAGATACCACTTTGGTTCATGTGCCCTATCAGCCCGGCTAGCTCAGTCGGTAGAGCATGAGACTCTTAATCTCAGGGTCGTGGGTTCGAGCCCCACGTTGGGCGCACAGCTTTTGAAAATTCAGAGAGAGCTTGGTACGCCTTCGACATAAAATCGCGCGTGCTCCAAACGGTTGAATAATTTAACGTTGACATTAAAGTGCCAACACCGCCGATTTAAACAAAAAAGATCATTTTCCTCTAAGTTTGCTCCCCAGCTTTTTAAAAGTTGTTTCGAATTTACTATACTTGAGTCACCACTATCCTTTGCAAGAGTAGCTGGCTTCTGGCACAACAGCCAGAAGACGGACAGGTTACTACAAAAGGAAATTTAAAGAAAGGAAAGTGACAAAATATTTAAGATCTTGCACATTTCTAAGTCACTAGTCAAATTTGTCATTTGTCAATCAGAAAACAGTTGAGAAACATTGCTTTTTAACTAACTAGCTAACGTATACACACAATTCTTTGAAACTGTAAACGATTCTGCCGGTGGAAAATATACCCTGAACAGGTTGAAAGATCAAGGCTACTATCCCGACTGTTTTCATACAGTACAGCTCTCCCTGGTGGTCTAGTGGTTAGGATTCGGCGCTCTCACCGCCGCGGCCCGGGTTCGATTCCCGGTCAGGGAACAACAATTTTTCGGATGTAATACAACTTAGCCAGCCGCAGGAACTTGTTACCAACATATAGAGAGCTGACCAGAGGTCGCATTGTCGGCATTACGAGAACCACGTGTCGCGGAGGAAGTAGGTGTTAGGCCTATCCCTATCAGCTGTGTAGCATTGTGTGATACTAGGAGTCTCAGCTAGCGGGTGGAATAGTCAAAGTCTAAACCGGGTAGAAGACTGAGCAAAAAACGGATGGATGCATTTATAGAATTATACCAAGAATAATACCACGTGATCAATAAAGGGGACATCCAACCTGCCTGAAGAGTGGCTGGCTCAGTTCTACACAGCCATTACAGAGTCAGTCACCCCCTTAATCACAGTCCAGCACAGCTCTGCCACCAAAAAAAAATCATCTCTGACCCATCACACCCGGGTCATCATCTTGCTCCTCCCGTTTTTTTTTTTTTGCTTGAGATACACACTTACACAGTAACACATCTGATACATATATAAAAAAGAATAAACAGAGGGCATTACATGGAAATAATTACAAATTCATCCAACAAATAAATAGTCTTTTTAGCTTTCTTGTTCTTTTCCTGCTACTGCTGACCTCAAGCATGTCCAGCTGCTCTGCCTTGTTGGCTGGCCTGACTAACTAATGGCCTATTTAACCCTTGCGTGTACTAAAGCAATAAGCCACGAGAGGCTGATATGATATGTTCATAACAATGAACATATCATAACATAGCACCGTTTAATGCAACAACCTTTGCTTTATAAGTACTTTTTGGTCACCAAATTATCACCGCGAGTCTTATTTAGCACCAACCCAGCAGCGCCTCTGAGCCGTTTGGGATTCAGCCTGGGTTTAATGCTACTTCTGACTGAAACATGAACAGTTCAAGCGTGTAATTCATTCAAGTGACAATCATTTCATACGGCTCACTCACACTTTCACCCTGCTGTTTTACCGTTAATTATATCGTAAATACTTTAATTCAAGCCTATTAATGATGGGGTTGTTTAGGCTGTTGGCTATCTTTTAGCCTGTTAGCTAGCTGACCAGACGTTCTAGTTAAGAACATAAGTCGCCAGCCCCTCAGTTTAAATAAAAACGGGTTCTTACTTCATCAGTACACTTGGTGGTCCATGCGAGCATAACGGTTTTCTTTGTACCGTGGTGTAATAATATACAATTCAGTTGCTGTGGGAGGCGCCAGAGGTGCGCATATATCGTGGATTTTACAACGGCTTCGAAAGCGGCTCAGCCAATCAGATTTTAGGACTGGAACTATCGTCCAACTTTAAGTATTTTCCGCCTTCTAGGTGCGTAAACTGGATAGATTTAAAACATGACAGATATGATATTTGCTTTTCTGTTTGTATAAGTAATCTCTTTGTTGCGGCACAGTGTGACCTGTTATACATGTGGAAACACACAGGCAGATAAATAAATTAAATATTAACTATTTAGTTAGTTATGCTAGTTACTTGGAGCTTGCTAGTAGCTAACGTTACCTATGTTAGCTAACGTTATTTGCTTTCCATCTCGACAACACAAAGGAAATTACAGTTGTTAGCTCACTATGAAACTTTAAATTTCAGATAATCTGGCTTCAACCGTCAAAAAGTGGATACAATCATCCACCACAATCAGCCATCATGCATATGGCTGCTACTTACAGGCTGCTGTCGGGGTTGTGATGCTAATGAAGTTGAACTTCCCCTGTATTCAGTCTCTTATATGTCTCCAGAGTGAATCGCTGAGCGAAACTGCAGCATTTAAGGTGGAACGGAACATTTGATAAAAAAGCTGCCGAATAAATTGCGAATACGCGAAGAAGCCAACTTCAGCCTCATTGAAAGAAGAACATCAGCCATGCCGTGCACAGTTCCATGGGAAAGGTATGAAACGTGCCGACATTCACAGCCTGGAGCAGTACATTTTCTGCACATGTATGTAAGACTGCTATGTAACAGTTTAGGTTATTTATTTTGAAATTTGCTTGTTTAACTGTGCTGTTCTGCAAATGCAGGATTTGTGTTTGAAGGAGGACTGTTTGAGGTTCACGGTATGTCATGTACCGAACTCTCCTTATTTTACTATGGCAGGGGTGTCTAAATTTTTCAAAGTCAAAATGCCTAAGAGTCGGAATTTTATTAACAAATTATTCAAAACATTAAGTTTTCAAAACATGGAAAATACAACCGATGTACAGTGTAGAGTAGTCTACAGAGCTCAGTGTCTTGCCGGCGATCCATTCTGAATTTAGCGATGATCCCTCAAACATGTATAAATCTACTGATGGAGTTGCAACGCGTGCATGTTTTACACTGGTCAGTGAAACGTATCAGTACGTAGGATCAGAGTGTGAATGTCAGTGTGACCCACTGTGCTTCCTATCACGAGGCTTTTTATTGTTGGATTGCTCATTTAGAGTAATTTATAACAAATAATTACATTGTTTAAGAGTATCACTAAAACATGTTTAATGTAAGTATATTCCTATTGAAATGCTTGCTTGTTAAGAAGTATAATTATTGAGACTAAATAAAAATCTATTAATTTTTGTTCTTTACACATCAAATAACTACAGCCACTTCAGTCAGAAATCATTTTATTAAACAAAAAGAGCAGACTAAACAGCATAAATCGTCACATTTTTTGTTCGACCTTAAAAACGGTTAATGTCTACAGAACTACTGAATTTGCTGTGATAAGAAGTTGGTGCTGTGAGATTCAGCGCGGTGCATTACACTGTAATTTTACAGCACTGCTGCCACCATCAGGTCAAAGGAAGAACTGCAGTGTACTGGCTGGCGGGCCACTTATGACGCAGTCTAAAAGCAGAAACTACGGGCCTATTAAAAGTCTGTCCGCGGGCTGTATTTGGCCTTGAGACTTTGGACACTCATGAACTATGT